ACTCATCCGACACTCCTGTGGCACCACCGTCTAAGTCACCCTGCACACCCGCATTTGCGTTACATGTCACAGCACGGTCTTGTCCCAAGGTCGTTTCCCGAGTTGCCCTCCTCCCCAGCACCACCGTGCACGCCCTGTGTCGAGGGCCGGCTCCGCCGTGCCCCTCACTCCTCCTCGTTCCCCCCCATCGCCGCACCGCTACAGACCCTGCATTTGGACGTCAGGGGCCCCGCCCCCGTCCATGGGCCGCGTCGACAACGCTATTTCCTTGTGCTTGTCGACGACTACACGCGCTACACTACTGTGTTTCCCTTGGAACGGAAGGCCGACGTGCCTGACGTTCTCATCCCGTGGCTTGTCTCTGCGCGTGTCCACTGCGGTCTCCCTGTCCTGCGTCTCCACTCCGACCGTGGTGGCGAGTTTGCCTCTAATGTTCTTGGTCGTTTCTGTCGTGCGGAGGGCATCACCCAGATGTCACCTTGCCGGACTCCCCACAGCAGAATGGGGTCGCTGAGCAACGCATTGGTTTGGTCATGGAGGTCGCTCGTACCTCCATGATCCATGCTGGTGCACCCCATTTCCTGTGGTCGTTCGCCGTTCGCTACGCCACTCACCAGCTTAACCTGTGGCCACACCCCCAGCAGCCGCAGGTTTCGCCGACCGTCCTCTGGAACGGGTCCCCTGGTGACGCGTCTGCGTTCCACATCTGGGGCTGCCTTGCTCACGTCTGTGCCTCTGGCACAGACAAGCTCACTGCCCGCACCGTCCCCTATGTCTTCCTAGGTTTCCCCCTCGACTCGTCTGACTGGCACTTCTACCACCCGCCGTCTCACCGTATCTTTCATTCCCGCGACGTCACCTTTGACAAGTCCGTCTCCTTCTACCATCGCTTACCCCACCGTGGTCCCCCGGTTACTCCCCCACTATTCCTGGTTCCCCCTTCCCCGGTTGCCCCTGCCCCTCCCCCTCCCCCTCCCTGTCTTACCCCGTCTAATGTGTCTCACGTCACCCCCCTTCCGTCGGTTGTCTCGGTCGAGGATTCTGCTGACTCTGGTGGCCCTGCGGCGCTGTCCTCGCCGCCTGCCCCTCCCCAGGTGTCTCCTCCTCCGCCGACTCCATCGCCGCCGTCACCGCCGCTGTCGCAGCTGCAGTCCCTGCCGCCGCAGCCGTCGTTGCAGCCGCCACCGCTGCAGCCATAGACGCAGCCGTCCCAGCGGCAGTTCATTGACTCTGGGGGTGTTGCGTTCGGGTGGGTACTAGTCCTGGGTTCCTGTTGTGGCTTGTCCCAGCGGGCCTGGGGGTTGTACCGGTGCTGGAGGAGTTTTGGGCTCTGGGGGTGTTCCTTCTGGGGGTGCTAGAGTGGAGTGTCCCGGAGGTAGCCGTGGAGCAGCTTGCGGTCCGGGTGTTAGTGTCGTGCTGCCGCAGCAGCAGTCGCCGCCGGTGTCAGCTCTTCGCCTGCTCGGCCTTCCGTCCCCTGACCACGCGTCTATGCCGCTCCTCCCGTCTCCTCCTCTTCCTATCTACGGCCATGTGTTCCCTCCCCTGGACTCGTCTCGGGCTCGTCTTCCCCCTCGTTCCCCTCCTGTGTCCCCTCCTCTGTCTCCCGACCCGACTCCTCCGTCTCACGTCTGGTCTCGCCGCCCCTCCCGTGCTTGCCCTGTCTCCCCTGTCCCGTGCTCTCACCATATGTTGCTTCGTTCCCACGCGTCTCGTCCTCCCCTCCTACCGTCGCCTCCTCCGTCCTCCCTTGTTGTTGCGCCTCTGCCTCTGTCTGACTACCTTCGTGCCGCTCGTCCTCTTGTCCCTCGGGTCCTTGCCTCTCCCGTTGCCGACCCGTCTGTTCCGGTCTCGTGTCTTGATGCTCTTGTCGCTGCGGTAGCTGACTTCGCCTCTACCCGGTGTCTTGACTACGCCACCGCTCTGGTCTCTGACCCTGCCTGTCCTCCGTCTGTTGGGGGTGCTCCTGCCCTCGGCAGTGACGTTCTAGAGGACCGCCAGTACGAGCTTGCTTTCCTGTCCGAGGGTGCTCCCCATCTCTGTTCCATGCTGCTAGTCCCTGAGGGTGACCCAGACGCTTTCGACATCCCGACCCCTCGCACTTACGCTGAGGTGACCTCGGGACCTTGGGCCTCTCAGTGGATAGCTGCCATGGAGCAGGAGATGGCATCTTGGAGATCCACCGGCACCTATGTCGACGCAGTTCCCCCACCCGGGGTGAACGTAGTCGATGGTCGCTGGCTCTTTTAGGTGAAGCGCCCTCCTGGAGAGCCGCCTGTGTTCAAGGCGCGCTACGTGGCTAGAGGCTTTAGACAGCGTGAGGGGGTGGACTTCTTCCAGACCTTCGCCTTGACCCCGAAGATGACTACCCTTCGGGCACTACTACACATAGCAGCACAGCGTGACTACGAGTTACACTCCCTCGACTTCTCCACTTCCTTTTTTCAGGGCAGTCTACATGAGCAGGTCTACCTGCACCGCCCTCAGGGCTTCACTGGTACCTTCCCTCCTGGGACCCAGTGGCTCCTGCGGTGCCCAGTCTACGGCCTGCGGCAGGCGCCCCGTGAGTGCCACGGCACGCTGCGTGCTACCCTTGCAGACCTGCAGTTCTTTCCGCTCCCTGCAGACCCCTCGCTCTTCGTTCAGTCTGGCCAGACTCCATTCTACATCCTCGTTTACGTAGACGATCTGGTCTTTACCACTGCAGACACTGATGCAATGGCCTCCGTGAAGGCCGAGCTGCTGAGGAGACACACCTACACTGACCTAGGAGAGCTGCGCCGCTACTTTGGCTTGCAGATCTCCAGGGACAGAGCATCGCGCACCATCACCCTCACCCAGTCACACTTGGTGCGCCAGGTTCTTCAGAGGTTCGGTCTTCAGTTCTCCTCCGCACAGCCCACACTTCTGCCAGTAGACCATGGGCTCTCTGCTCCATTTTCTGAAGAGTCAGTAGAGCCCAGTGGTCCTTACACAGAGCTTGTGGGTTGCCTCATGTACCTGATGACTTGCACTCGTCCAGATCTCGCATACCCTCTCAGCATCCTGGCTCGCTTTGTGGCCACATGCAGACACCAACCTCAGCACTGGTCTGCGCTAAGAGGGTTTTGCGTTATCTTGCAAGTACATTGGGCATGGGGTTAGTGTTGGGAGGACGCAGGCCAGTGGTCCTTATTGGACACATAGATGCTTCCTGGGCAGACGACGCCGAGACCCTCAGGTCCTCACACGGCTACTGCTTTAGCCTTGGTTCAGGTGCTGTCTCGTGGAGAGCTACTCGCTCCTCGTCTGTTGCTCAGTCCAGCTGTGAGGCCGAGATCTACGCTGGTGCCATGGCGGTACAGGAGCTCCGCTGGCTGACCTTCTTGCTCACTGACTTAGGTGAGTGGCCTAGCTCTGCCCCAGTCCTGTACGCTGACAACAGGGCCATGATCCTCCTATGTCAGGAGCCTCGACTCGAGCGCAGAGCGAAGCACATTCAGCTGCGGTACTTCCTTTTGCGCGAGCTACAGTAGCGTCGCCAAGCCCGCGTAGTACACTTGGCCTCCAGTGCCAACACAGCTGATATCTTTACGAAGGCGATTGCGCCTAAAGATCATCAGCGGCACTGTGTACAGCTAGGTCTTGTTCCTGTTACATCTCACCTGCTAGGGCCTTGACTATGTACTGTCCTTTATATATTTTACCCTGACTGGCCTTGTGGCCTATCTCAGTGGTTGGACTAGTAGTGCCACCCTGGTCTTGCTCTTGTTGTACCTGTACTCTGTTTGACTGGTCTTTAGACCCTTGCCTCAGTGGCTGGACTAGTAGTGCCACCCTGAGCTTCTTGTTTTCCTGTTAGGCACTGTTAGGCACGAGATTAGATGTCTCTTAAGTAGCTGTTTCTTATATCACGGGAGTAGGAAACTTTGACTCAAAAGCTTGCTGATTGTGCCTGTATGGCTGTATGTCGATGTATAAACATATTAGTTTTTATGTACAGTAATGCTTTTGCGGGGTGCACCGTGAATCATGGCCTATTTTTCAAGCATTATTGCCCTAATTTTGATTCAAATAAAAGCTCTTTTTCAGCTGACCCCACAAATTAAGGACTGCCTTTTTATGAACCCGGAGGATTAGGGGTTAATGCAAAGTGCAACCTTAAAGATAATGTATATTATTTTCCTACCCTGATTATACTACTAGTGCTGGTAGGGCTACAGGGGGGATCTTCTTAGGAGGAACAAAAAAATTTGTTGTTCTCCCCACAGCACGTACTCACACCAAGTGACAACAGAGGGGAGATAACTCCCTTGGTAGATTTTCGTCCTCTTTTCTCGCAGCACGTTACTCACACCTCGTAGTCACAAACAGAGGGGAGACAACTCCATTGATAGAATTTCGTTCTTCTCCCCTCACAGCACGTTACTCACACCTCGTAGTCACAAACAGAAAGAGAGACAACTCACTTAGTAAATTCTTGTTTTTCTCCCCTCACAGCCCCGTGCGCGTCACTCACACCCTTCTCGTAGTGCCCATACATCTCCTGGTAGATTCTAACCATGGCAGTGAAAAGGGTACTGTATGAACGAGTCCTAATGATTAAGGGTTGCCGTTTGCTGGACCCTGAAAAGTCAGGGTAAAAGTTCAAGGAGCCAGATTAATCAAGGGTGACTAAAAACCAAAACTAAGCCCTGCTGTGAATGCCCAGGTCGCAGGTGGAGCTGGCGTTGATCGTCACGGGCACGTGGCGCTGATGCGAGACTCGGACAGCCCTCTGTAACCCGCGAGGGGGTTGGTGGCAGCTGGAATTTCGCTCCTCCCAAGGCTGGGTGTGCGACTCGAGTCGCTACTTGCCCCAGCTGACACGTCAGGCAGCACCAAGCCCAGCCTCTCTGTCGCACCTGCTGCGATATTTTCGCGGACACCACCAGCCGTCGCCCAACCACCGTCGCACCCGTCGATATTGTCGCCCGGCTGGCCTTCAAAACTCCCTCCCCCCGCCCAACCCACTCAGATTCAACATTCTGGTCTGCCTTGTGGTACCTGCTACTGCTGATCCGTTCTGCATTTCTTCGTTGTCCTGGAGTTTCAAGCACCATTGCCTGCTCATTGCGTAATTTGGGCCTGACTAGTCTGGTCTTTCTCTTTTTCTTCTCGGTCCCCTTGAACTTGGAACGATGGTGAAGATCTGCTGCATAGGAGCTGGCTACGTGGGGGGTCCCACCATGGCCATGATAGCATACAAATGTCCAGAGATTAAGGTCACTGTGGTCGACATAAGCAAGGCGAGAATCGCTGCGTGGAACAGGTATGTCAGCTTCTCGCTCTTCCACCATGACGCCACTGAAACCGGTTACGCGAAATCGACTTCTTTTTTTTTTCCGTCTACAGTGATAATCTGCCTATTTTCGAGCCTGGACTCGACGATGTCGTGAAGTCTTGCCGCGATAAGAACCTTTTTTTCTCGACTGACGTGGAAAAGAGCGTCGCTGAGGCCGACATTATCTTCGTATCCGTGAACACACCAACTAAGGTACATCAACAATGCAGAATCGTAGCTTTGTGAGCTGTAAAAATCTGGTCATGACAGACACTGGTCCTTAATGACATTTGCAGACCAGGGGATTAGGAGCTGGTCGAGCAGCCGACCTGACCTATTGGGAAAGCGCTGCTCGGATGATCGCTGACGTTTCTACTACTGACAAGATCGTGGTTGAGAAATCCACCGTTCCCGTGAAGACGGCGGAAGCCATAGAGAAGATTCTTACACACAACAAGAAAGGCATCAAGTTCCAGGTAACAAGTTTTCTTAGATCTGAAGCTTCATCTCACGTCAGTTCCGGCCAGTCCCCTAATTCGGCCCTTTTTGTGGTTAGATTCTATCGAATCCCGAATTTCTGGCGGAAGGCACTGCCATAGAAGACCTCGACAAGCCCGACCGCGTTCTTATCGGTAAGAACCCTGCGGTTTTACTTACGTTCATTGAATTCGGAAGTTCCTCCCTTGCTGAAGTATGGGGTTTTCCTTGCGACGGATTGTTTCATTTTCAGGTGGTCGTACATCCGAGGAAGGCCAGGCTGCAGCAGCGGCTCTTGCTGCGGTCTATGCTCACTGGGTGCCTCAAGAAAACATCATTGTGACCAACCTCTGGTGAGACTGAATGCAACAAAAACGAACTCAGCCAATAATGTTTTGGCTGGCACGCCTACAAGCCCGTGATTTCATGTTTTCCTTTTCATCCATGCCTTCATTCAGGTCCGCTGAGCTGACCAAGTTGGCAGCAAATGCGTTCCTCGCTCAGCGCATTTCATCAATCAACGCCATCTCTGCTCTGTGCGAGGCCACGGGGGCCAACGTCTCCGAAGTAGCATACGCGATTGGAAAGGATACCCGTATTGGTTCCAGATTCCTCCAGGCCTCTGTCGGTTTTGGTGGCTCCTGCTTCCAGAAGGTACCTTCCTCTTTTCCCCCACCACCCTCATCCTTACAGCTCTCCCACTCCTCCCTCCATCGCGCTCTCTATCTCTCACTCTCTCTCCCTCTCCCTCTCACTCCCCCCCCCCCCCGCGTTAGCTGTACCCCGTCTCTGTCATAAGCAAACAGGCATTCGTCACAGGCATTCGCAATGCATGCAGACACACACACGCACACACACCAAATGCGTTCACCTGCATTGTGGCTGCTTCACCATGTCTCTTGGCACCATACTCACTTGCCTGGTCACAAACCCACAGGACATTCTGAACCTTGTCTACATCTGCGAGTGCAATGGATTGGTGGAGGCCGCTCACTACTGGAAAACGGTGATTGACATTAACGAGTACCAGAAGTCTCGATTCATCAGCAGGATCGTGTCGTCCATGTTCAACACAGTCGTCAACAAGAAGATTGCCATCCTCGGGTTTGCCTTCAAGAAGGACACAGGCGACACCAGGGAGAGCCCTGCCATTGATGTTTGCCACGGGCTGCTCAGGGATCAGGCTGACGTCAGCATCTATGACCCACAAGTGAGTCTTTCCTCATACAGGTCTTCAAATACTCTCTTTTTTCCGCTATGGAGTTGAAGAGAAGGAATAACGAAACCTTGGTGTTTGCAGGTGACGGAGGAGCAGATCAGGCGTGACCTGTCCATGAACAAGTTCGACTGGGACCATCCGTATCACCTGCAGCCAGTCAGCCCCCGGGTGCACCAGAAGGTACAATCATTGCCGACACACACGACAAACCGGTTCAGTCAAAGTCATAAACTCCCAACAACCCCCCTAACATCTTTTGAGTCAGCAATCCCTCCCACAACTGACACGGTTCCAGGAGCAGTGTAAAGAGGTTTACCCCAGCCTCGGTTTATTGTTCACCCTTCTGGCGCTTTCGCATAACTCTGCCAGCCATGATTTGGGACGAAGTACATAAATTGTTGTGCTTCCCTTACACCTCGCGTCTCTCTTCCTCCATCACAGGTGTCCGTGTCATGGGATGCATATGGAGCGTGCAAGGGCGCTCATGGAATCTGCATTCTCACAGAGTGGGACGAGTTCAAGCAGCTGGACTACCAGGTGGGTGGGAATGAAACAGAAGACGAATGAGCAAATAACATAACGAAGAAAGAAGCCTCATCATGCTTGCTGTTGTACATAACACGTAACACCAATGACATGACCAAGTACCCCTCTCAACCCCCTAGTGTGTGTATAGTCCCTGGTGCTATCCCATCTCATCCCAATTGCATGTCCCAACCCATCCCAAGTCCCTGTCCCTGCTACCCCCCAACATGACCCACAGAAAATCTATGAGCACATGGAGAAACCAGCCTTCGTGTTTGATGGGCGCAACACGGTGAATGTGGCGAAGCTGAGGGAGATTGGCTTCATTGTGTTCTCCATTGGACAGCCGCTTGACCCCTGGGTGAAGGATCTCCCTTCCATGCACTAGTCTTGCATGGAGCAGGTCTTGGTCGTGGACCAGCAGCATGAATACTCGCCCAGGAGCCTGGGTGGTTAGCGTATAAAAACAACTAGGAAGTGGGAGTTACACGAACTGACCATCTAGATGGCATAGTGCAACCATGACTGTCTACGGGACATATGACACAAGTGATTAGTGTTTCGACATCTATCTCGATACTGTAGTTCCACATCGCAGCATGAGTAGAATGCACGACGCAATCAGGCATTCAAATCAGCTAGCCTGGTGAACCTCCACCAACACGATACATTAGAAGAAACAGTCATACGGTAAGGTAGAAGCTTTGTATGCACACCTTCATGGAAAACATACAAAAGCACTCAACCAATTCCTAGGCTGCACAGCCATTGCCCCCATCCTGCTTTAGCAGGCAGCTACTCCATCACATGTCAGCATCACCATTCCATGCTGGCTTCATCCAGAGGAGAATAGACCCGCAAGAACTTCCTCAGAAGCAGCGCCATAATGGCCACCACTATTGCCGCTGCCAGGGTGCTCAACACTCTGTCCTCTCCGGCTGCTGCCCTGCCACCTCGCCCCCGTCCTTCTGCTACACGAGTTTGTGTCTGCCCAGCCGCTGATCCCACTGCTCCTCCTGCTCTTGCTTCGGCACCTGAATGGGCTGCTGCTGCTGCTGTTGCTCCTCTTGGTGGCCGTGACTCTGTCATGGATTGTGGTTGTGGCGGCAACAGTGGTTCAGCAAGTGAATGGTGGTCAACAGCATTCAAGTGGCTCCCTGCTGACGCTGCACCTGCTGCAGCTGCAACTACATCAGCAGGTGGTGCTGATGACGCGCCTGCAGCTGCAGCAGACTGTGTTGCATCACCAGGTGTGCACCCAGCCTGTGCCAGCTGAGGAGTGGAAATGCTGCCATATGAGGAACCAGGCAGCCCCGTGCCAATCTCACTCAAGCCATCTGAGCCGGAGGATGGCCCCGACGCCACACCAGCAGTAGCAGGCTCAACAAGGGTGGTGGATGGTGACTCGCCTGCCTGTGCTGCTGCTGGCTGTGGGGATGGCGAGCTGGCATGAGGCTGCTCCACAGGGAGCCCAGCGGAAGAGGCAGGGGCTGATGAAGCAGCAGAGTCAGAAGCAGCAGCAGATGGGTCAGCAGCAGGAGGCAAGGCAGGGGTGGCCGGTGGGTCTTGAGGGGTGTCTGGAGCCATGGGTGCAGGAGAAGAAGCCGGTTGCAGAGTAGCAGGGATAGGCGGAGCGGTCTGCAGCATGGCTGAATGGATCTGGTCAATTACTTGCTGCCGCCCGGGGCTGCCGAATTTGGGCGGCGCCAGTCGGGATTTGATTGCGAGCTGGCGCCTCTCGTCCTTGGTGTAGTCCAGTGAGCCCAGGGCGCCGTCTGGCTTGGTGGGCATGAAGGCTATCAGCGCCACCAGAGCCGTGCGCACTGCAGGGGGGGGGGGGGGGGAGGAAGGACGAATGGGTTACATCCAGGCAACGAAGTCGAGGGAGGTGGGAGATGGTGATTGATGCGGCGCATAAGCACACCGAAGCATTGCTCGCACGTGTGAGAGCCAGGGCGCAAGTTGGAACGTTTTCTACGAGCTCACCACTCCAGGATGGCTGCCAGTGCTCCGGGTGGTGGTTGGAGATGCTCAGGCAGATCTTCGTCTGCACCTCAAAGCGCCCGCTGGGCTGCTCAGGGCAGGGCGACATGCAGGGCAGCGTGGGAGAGATGCAGGAAGGGTGGCCATGCAGGCAATGCGCTGTCAGCTGCAGATCACCCAAGACAAAATGAACCAACTAGGAGGGCGGCACTCACAGTGAGCAGCATGAAGGAGGGCGGCTTGAAGGGGTACTCGGCGGGCAGTGTGATGCGGCCGTGGTAGATGCCGCCCTCAAACTCCGTGTCCTTGGGGCCGTGGATCGCGAACTGCCACTCGAATATGTCCTCCTGGTAGGTGAGGTGAGGTGAGGTGCGGTGGGGTGTGGTGAGGTGGGTGAGGTGCAATGGGCAGGGCAGTTGAACAGAGGGTTGCGCGATCACAGGACGCCCTCGAATTCCGTATCCTTGGGGCCGTGGATGGCGGACTGCCACTCGACGATGTTAGTTGCTGAGCATACAGGAACGGACATTGAATTTTGCTGATGGAAACGCTTTGAGGCTAAGGGTAAAGGCAAAGGGACCCGCTCTCTCTCCGCCGCATCAGCACGCAACGCGGGAACAGCTTAACACCAGCTTTCGGGAGAAATTGCCACTGGCGAAATTCTTAGGCGCCTCGAGACTAAACTCCTCACTAATGAATCTCCTAGCACAATCCGAAGGATTTCGGGCTGTCCTGCGACCCCCGAAACGACACTCGCTAACTGCTAGTCGCTGTTGGTACTCGTCAAATATCTTTCGCCTACAGTCACCTCTCTCTAGCCTGCGCATCTCGAGCGGCATGCTGGCGTACTCGCGGCTGCCCTCGCGCCGACTCTACTCGCTCTACAGTCAAGCCACCATCCCCCAACAGTCAAGCCACCATCCCCCAACAGTCAAGCCACCATCCCCCAACAGTCAAGCCACCATCCCCCAACAGTCAAGCCACCATCCCCCAACCGTCAAGCCACCATCCCCCAACCGTCAAGCCACCATCCCCCAACAGTCAAGCCACCATCCCCCAACCGTCAAGCCACCATCCCCCAACCGTCAAGCCACCATCCCCCAACCGTCAAGCCACCATCCCCCAACAGTCAAGCCACCATCCCCCAACCGTCAAGCCACCATCCCCCAACCGTCAAGCCACCATCCCCCAACCGTCAAGCCACCATCCCCCAATCACCTCGAGCGGCAAGCTGGCGTACTCCTTGCTGCCCTCGCGCTGCACGCTACTCGCTAGTGCTCGTTTCAATCACTTCCTACACGCCTACAGTCACGTCCCCCTCTCCCTAATCACCTCGAGCGGCATGCTGGCGTACTCCTTGCTGCCCTCGCGCTGCATCTCCTTCACCTCCTGCAGGATGCGCTTCACCGCCGGGTTGCGCATGTTGAACTGCGCGCCCTTGCCGTCCGCCATCGCAGCCATCGCCGCGGATTGCGGAAGGCTCGTCAACGGCGGACACGTGCAGCCGACGGGGTAAACGATACTAGGGCAGGCCGCTGGGGTCGCGCGCAGCTTACACCGGCCTGAGGAGGCACGCAAGTTAGGTGTGGCAAGAGGCGGACTTCTACGGCTGAATCTGCACGAGACTGAGGAATTCACTGCTTCCAGAGCAGATACGCTTGAAAGGCGGTGGCTCGGCAATTTCTAGAACCAGCTGTGGTGGCAGGAAGACGTTTGGCGCATTAGTTAAAGCCCCGCTTGGCCCAGCCCGTTCGTCTTCCGCTGCTGGCAGGTTCCGTGTGCCGCTACAGCGCAATTAGGCAATTACTGGATTGAATACTAAAACAATAACTTCCCAAAACAAACTAGACTTACCGTATGAGAGTCTAAGTTGCTCTAAACTGTACCTTGTGCTGTATTATAAGTGGGATACACATCAACTAACAAATATGAACGTTACATTCGCATGAGGCACGGGGAGTTGGAGAAGACCTGGTCAAGTGAGCCATTTGGTGCACGGAGAAGACCTGGAGTGCTAGTAGTTGCGGTTAAGGGGGGGAAGGGGACCTAACATGGTGAGCTATCGGAGGCCTTGGAGGGAATCGAGGCCTGGCAGTGGAAGTGGCAAGACGAGAGAAGAGACATCCTGCTTGTTGTAGATGTTGTGCAAATAAGGATCAGTGTGAGTGACGTGCCTGTGCATTAGGGTGGGGAAGGGGCCTGTTCGAACTGTGCAGGGTGTGGAAGGCGGGCCATACGGGGACCTGCATGCAACCTGTTTGTGACTTTCTTGTAGCATGTGTTGGGCGAGGGAGTGCGGCTAGCAGGCTGACCAGCTGTGCCTCACTGTGATTCACCGTGCCTCACCGTGCTTCGTAATGCCTCCCTACGATCATAGCCAACCATACCTCAACATACCGTACCATACCTCACCTCTTGAACTATACTTTCAATACAGTTCTGCCCCAATGTCTACTCCATTCTCTCCCGCCCGGCAGCTACTTGATAAAAAAACGGTTAGGTCCTACTAGGACCCACCAGCATCCCCCAGCTGCTGCTGCTACTACCGCCCCTCTGCTGCTTCCTTGCACAGCTGCAGCACTACTAAGCCACCTGCACGCATGGGATAGATGGGGCAGGCAGAGGGGTGGATGCCTGGCAGAGAGGGAAGATGATTTGACACTTGGCTGAAGTGCTCTGACACTTGATTAAGTGCTCACACATTGGGCTGAACCCCCAGCACCCGCCATAAACCCCCAGCTCTCCCCAGCACCAGCCAGCACCTCACATCATTCCCCAGTCTTGACGCTCTTGTCCCTGACTTTGCTTCTACCCGCCGCCTTGACTACGCCACCGCTCTGGTCTCTGACCCTGCCCGTCCTCCGTCCGTCGGGAGTGCTCCTGCCCTCGGCAGTGACGTCCTGGAGGACCGACAGTACGAGCTTACTTTCCTGTCCGAGGGTACTCCCCATCTCTGTTCCATGCTGCTAGTCCCTGAGGGTGACCCAGACGCTTTCGACATCCCGACCCCTCGCACTTACGCTGAGGTGACCTCGGGACCTTGGGCCTCTCAGTGGATAGCTGCCATAGAGAAGGAGATGGCATCTTGGAGATCCACCGGCACTTACGTCGACGCAGTTCCCCCACCTGGGGCGAACGTAGTCGATGGCCACTGGCTCTTCAAAGTGAAGCGCCTCCCTGGAGAGCCACTTGTGTTCAAGGCGCGCTACGTGGCTAGAGGCTTTAGACAGCGTGAGGGGGTGGACTTCTTCCAGACCTTCGCCCTGACCCCGAAGATGACTACCCTTCGGGCACTACTACACGTAGCAGCACAGCGTGACTACGAGTTACACTCCCTCGACTTCTCCACTGCGTTTCTTCAGGGCAGCCTATACAAGCAGGTCTACCTGCCCCGCCCTCAGGGCTTCACTGGTACCTTCCCTCCTGGGACCCAGTGGATCCTGCGGCGCCCGATCTATGGCTTGCGGCAGTCGCCGCGTGAGTGGCACGACACGATGCATGCTACCCTTGCAGACCTGCAGTTCTTTCCGTCCTCTGCTGATCCCTCACTCTTCGTTCGTGCTGGCCAGACCCCGTTCTACATCCTCGTTTATGTAGACGACCAAGTCTTTGCGACTGCAGGCACTGACGCGCTGGCATTCGTGAAGACAGAGCTGCAGAAGAGACAGACATGCACTGACCTAGGAGAACTGCGCCACTACCTTGGCCTGCAGTAGACAGAGCAGCGCACACCATCACTCTCACCCAGTCACACTTGGTGCGCTAGGTCCTTCAGAGGTTCGGTCTTCAGTTCTCCTCCGCAGAGCCCACATCTCTACCAGTAGATCACAGGCTCTCGGCTCCAGTTCCTGAGGAATCAGCACAGCCCAATGGTCCTTACGCAGAGCAGGTGGGTTGCCTCATGTACCTGATGACTTGCACTCGTCCAGATCTCGCATACCTTCTCAGCATCCTAGCTCGCTTTATGGCCACATGCAGACACCGACCTCAGCACTGGTCTGCCGCTAAGAGGGTTTTGCGTTATCTCACAAGTACATCGGACATGGGGCTAGTGCTGGGAGGACGCAGGCCAGTGGTCCTTACTGGGCACAGAAACGCTTCTTGGACAAACGACGCTGAAACCCTCAGGTCCCCGCAGGGCTACTACTTTAGCCTTGGTTCAGGTGTTGTCTCGTGGAGAGCTACTCGCTCCTCGTCTGTTGCTCAGTCCAGTTGTGAGGCCGAGATCTACGTCGGTGCCATGGCGGTACAGGAGCTCCGCTGGCTGACCTTTTTGCTCACTGACTTAGGTGAGCGGCCTAGCTCTGCCCCGGTTCTGTACGCTGACAACAGGGCCATGATCCTCCTGTGTCAGGAGCCTCGACTTGAGGGCAGAGCGAAGCATATCCAGCTGCGGTACTTCCTCCTGCGCGAGGTACAGCAGTGTTTCCAGGCCCGCATAGTACACTTGGCCTCCGGTGCCAACACAGCTGATATCTTTACGAAGGCGCTTGCGCCTAAATATCATCAGCGGTACAGTGTACAGCTAGGTCTCGTTCCTGTAGCCTCTCATCTGCTAGGGCCTTGACTATGTACAAACCTTTATATATATTTTACCCTGACTGGCCTTGTGGCCTCTCCTAGTGGCTGGACTAGTAGTGCCGCCCTGGTCTTGCTCTTGCCTTGGTCTGTGCTTGTTTGACTGGTCTTTCGACCTATGCCTTAGAGGTTGGACTAGTAGTGCCACCCCGAATTGCTCATTCTCTCGTCAAGAACTGCCCCTATACATTCTAGGGGGTGTGTCAAACGTATATTGTTATGTTTGTGTAGACTGTATAGGTTTGTGCCTTAGAGGGTACAACCTTTATGACATATACCCTTGTACACAATGCATTCTAGTCATTATTTGTTTATGATAGGGGGAGTTTACCTATCACTAAAATCCGTGCTACAACTGCCTCCGGCTCGCCAGCTAGGATGAATTGGCCATGAGAAGTTGGAGGATGAAAGAAGAACAGTTTGCAGAAGACGTAGGAGAGGACTCACTGGGTAAGACAGACAGAGGTTAGGAGGTCTGCCAGGACCAGCAGGGAGAGGAAGGGGTGGCCATGGAGAGTTGGCGTACCAAGAGAATACTATTGAGGAGAGAGTCTGGGGAACTGACTTATGTGGTGCGATAGAGCCATGAGTGATGGTGGTATGGTGCTGGTTTGGAAGGGATGGTGTGAAAGTAGTGATTTCGGTTGAGGCAATACGGTGAAGAGGTTTGACGAGGTGTGAACAATGGTAGATGTGTCGTAGCGATTCTTTTTGGCGGGAAAAGGGTGCCAGGACCATGATAGTTCTGTGGGGCTGCAACGTTTCCAAAAACGGCGTACCCAATACCGGTAGCTCTGCTATTGATGCCTCAATACCATTTTTTTTTAGCGTCAAAGATAAAACAAGTACATATCATATGCGAGAGACTCCCAAAACGCGGCTCGTAAAAAATGGCGTACATGGCATAGTGGCGGTACGCTACGGGAAAACGGGACTATCGAGTTTCCATAATTATTGGATCTCTGTTTGATATGTATTGTTCATGGTCGGCGGCGTTGGCGTATGCTGCGAGTATTCGTCGCCCGCCATGTCGTACGCGTGTCAACCCTAGTTTCAAGACGAAGTTGCATGCTCTAATAATAAACAGCACAGTAGATGAAGATTAGGGTCTAGCTGTTTACATTTGCATTTTTAGAGAAATTCGTCAAGTTGTGGCGTTGACGAAAATTAGGGCAGTAGAGCAGGAACCTAGATGAACGCATATGACCTGTAGAGGGTGAGGCTGTAGCGTGCCCAATCAGCAATGCACTGTACAACAACACAAAACATACACTACACAATCAGCAAATCCAGGGCTTCATTTGGGCGGGTACAGCAGCACTTTCTTTTGCTGCAGCACTACGTGCCAGCCAGCCAACTGTCCCAAATTTCCGCTTGGTGTGGCATGCAGGGTCAGCGATAGAAGAGTGAAAGGCCTGATCTCAGAATCTCTGATCTCTATCCCAGTCACGGAATTTAGGGCATGTCATTTTATTTTGAAGTCTCGCGGGCATCGATTCAGCATCGATCATCAAATGTACACCTGTACACTCTGCGCTGTCTCAAACAATGACGAAGAGTTACTTGTTTTTGCGAATTTAACGACATTTGACGCCGCAGCTCGCTTGATAAACGAAATCTGTAACCTTGGGATCACAGGCCGATGCTGATCGATGTTAGCATCGCTCCCTTTTTTTTGGCGATGCCCGTGAATACCCGCAAAACGACACGCCCTTACCCCAGAAGCAAAACGGAGATTCCACAGAACTTCCGGGTTTCTCTGTTTTGATTCTGGACAATTTGATGAATTCAGGGTCCCCTACAAAAACAAAGCGAGAAGATGTTGTTGGAGCACATAAAATGTTTATGTAACATAGAGTACACTCGCTGCGACTCAAGGCAGCTGTGCTGTCCGATTTTCCGAGCGAACAAGGTGAAATTAGGCCAGTTCCAGAATTTTGAAGAATCTTGGGGGTACTTTCTGACCTGGTTCCGCAATGTCCGAGTTTTCCTTTCTACGGGCATGGCGCACAGAAGTTTGTCCATGTCCCCAGCAAACGCTTTCGTAACCGGCTTGAGCGAAAATGGTCTGGCGGGTTTCTTTGGTCGCCAAGTAATTCGCAGCGTGAGCAATCTTTTAGATTTCACTCGCACGCCGCCGAACTCCGCCCACATCCTGGCCTCCTGCAAGCCTTGCCCGCCAAACAGGCCCAGGCGCATGGAGCGAAGCCAGCAATTTTGTTTCGGTGGTCGCAACGAAATTCGTGGTCCTTACCGGCGAAATCTTCACCCCTCACCAGCCACAAATCTCTTCCGCCCATCCCTAGGCGGCAACTACTGGCCCCCCAGAATTTCGTGAATTCGGGCCGGTTCGGTTTGAAGAAGGCAACCAACCTTGTGGTTCCCAAGCCTCGCTTGACGAGCTTGTCGTGATGTGAAATACCCCAGACCCCCAAGCCAACTCGGTTCCATCCATGCCAAACCTAACAGCAAGTTTGAGGCAGTGTGAGGAGATCTGCATGCAGTCACCCCACTCGCTTCGCTTGAACTAAGCATTCGCCCCATTCAATCGAAACCTCCAACTGCTCAAATCTGTGATGATGTTTCTGGACTAATCCTTGTTTCCTGTTGGCCGTAGTGGGGCTTGCTGGCGCTGGCCTCTTCCGAACTGCTGAATCAGCCGCATCTTCCTGAGTGTATCTACGTGGCTTGGCAGTGGTCATGGGCCAATCCGGCTCGTCAGCGATTGCGATGGTCTCGATTGTACCTTATTCTCGGAACCCCATGTGAGATAAGGAAGCCACTTCCTTTTGCCTTTCCGGATCTAAGATTTTCAACATGCATCCGATTAGACCACCGGAACCCTCTTCGATTCCTCAGCAATCTCCCGCGGAAGCCAGCTCGCTCCCGCGCTCTTCCGCAGCTGCCCCGAATCCCCCCATGCAGCCCGCGCAGACTGCCTCCGCGCAGCAAAGCTCCCCGCAGCCGGAGCCCCCGCCGGTCCCTCCGCCGCAGCATGAGAGCGGAAGCCCCCCGGAGGGCAGTCACGCGCCCGCCGTTCCTCGCCCCACGCGGGGGATCTCCCCGCTCCAGCAGGCGCTGGGGCGGCGCCCGCGCGTGCTGCTGGCGGCGAGCGGCAGCGTGGCGGCGATCAAGTTCCACATCGTGGCGCGCGGGCTGGTGGAGTGGGCGGAGTTGCGCGCGGTGAGCACGCGGTCCGCGCTGCACTTCCTGGACCGGCCCGCGCTGCCCGTGGAGATGCCGCTGTTCACGGACGAGGACGAGTGGCGGCGGTGGAGCCGCCTGGGCGACTCCGTGCTGCACATCGAGCTCAGGAAGTGGGCCGACGTCATGGTCATCGCGCCGCTCTCTGCTAATACCCTCGCTAAGGTGACCCTCGCTAAGGTGACCCTCGCTAAGGTGGCCTAAGAGCCCTGAAACCACAACCCTTACTGTCTTGTCGATGGCTTTAGATCCGTCGATGTGCTCCGACGTTCGATGGGTATCCCCCCCCGGTGGCTATTGCGACGCTCGCGTTCCATCCCCACCCATCCCCCCCACCTCCCACCCCCCCTCCGCTCTCACACTCCCCCGTCGAATGGCTAGCGGAATACACCTGTCGTGCGCGCGTGGGTCTTCAACAAGCCCTTGCTGCTGGCTTCCGCCATGAACACCCTCCCCCCCTCCCCCTTCCGCCCCCTCCCGCTTTCCCCCACTCCCCGTCAGATGGCGAGCGGCATCTGCGACAACCTCCTCACGTCCGTGGTGCGCGCGTGGGACTTCTCCAAGCCGCTGCTCCTCGCGCCCGCCATGAACACGCACATGTGGACGTCGCCATTCACGGCGCGCCACCTGGCGATCCTGGAAGGCCTCGGCGCGCAGCTCGTGTCGCCCGTGAGCAAGAAGCTGGCGTGCGGCGACGTGGGCACCGGCGCCATGGCGGAGCCGGCCAGCATAGAGGCGGCGATCAGGGCGGTGGTGACGGCCATGAGGGCGGATAAACGCGTGGCGGTGGAGGCAGGCCCGTCCAAACCCTAATGGGAGGGGGAAGGGGGGGGAATGGGCGGGGGAGGGCTGGCTGGTGGAGGCAGTTCTGGTGTGGAGTGGTGGGGGCAAGGACTGCTGGCGTGCGGGGCCGTGGGCACGGGCGCCATGGCGGAACCGGCGAGCATGAGGCGGGTGTGAGGCAGGTGGTGGCGGCTCTGGGGGGGGGATAAACGGAGGGCGCTGGAGGGCAGGGCCGTCCAAACCCTAATGGCCGTCCAAAGCAGGCAGCGACCTCTAAAAGCGGATGAGGCTCTGCCGAATGGCAAAGACGCGGCAGCAATAGGCGAGCAGTGGTTTTCAGTCCATATCATGCGAGATCATGCCGGCCAGGGATAATGCCGGGGGAATAATAAGCGACTGGGTGGGAGGCACAAATCTGCCGCTCCCAGTTGCACACACACACACGGAGGGGAAAGACCATGGCTTTGTGGGAGAGGAGAGCTCTCAGAGAAGATGCATGCGCTGGGGCAGCCGTGGGGAGCGCTGCACGAATAAAAGGAAGGCGGGTTGATTCGAGAGGGAATGCGGCATCGACTGAGGGAAGTCTAGCTAGGCGTTTGATCCAGCTGGCTTGAGATCCATATACTGCCTGCAGGGTCCTCCTTGCTTCCCCTTCAAGGGAGCCAGCTTTGCAGGGATTTCCCACCCTCCATTCCCTCCTTCCTCCCACCTTCAGCTTCCTTCCCCACTTTTCCTCCCCCCCTTTCCCACACCTGCTCTTGGTGGTCAGGCTAGGCTGGTTTTCCTAGCGGAGATGGATGGTACCGTATGTGCATTTCTGGTTGCAGTTGCCCTTCAGGTGAATGGGTTACAAGTAGTCCATCCATATGTATGATGGACATACAGTATTAGCAGCAACCTTCTGCAGGGTCACTCCAACCAGAGTTGCTGCAGTTTCTCTTTTTTGGTTCTGTTACAACGGTTTTTTTACTGCTACTACCTTTTTAATGATGTTATAGATGTAGCTTGGAAAATGGCTTTCCTTAGATAATAAAAATGGCGTTGTTGCTATAGCGAAGTTGGGAATCTGAGCAAGAATAATCCCTTAGGTCCCCATGTTGGTATCGAACTGCCCGCCTGTCCAATCATTTATCAGCTTGGTAGTACCACGAGACAGCAGCACTGGTTGACCAGCTGTGCTTTCTCTCAAGTCGCAGTTGCTGCTTGGACAGATTGCTCGACGGCGACGCTGCGCTGCTAGGAGCCGCCATGGCGTCGATTGCTGGCTTGAATCGCCGTGTTGCTCGTCGCCTTGATCCACTGCATCCGCTGCGTCAACTGCATCAGCTGCATCTCCGCCTGGTCACTCTCCTGCGCGCACCACTGGCACTGACTCCACGGTTCCTTCGACCGACATGAGCAGTTACCCCACGAGCATCGCACGCACACTCGCACGTTGCTGCTCCGCGCCACGCGATTCGCTCGAGTGTTAGCGATAGAGTCCGATGGAAGCCTCACAGGCCGACTTCCCTTGTCGCACTCTCCCCCTCCCCGCCATGCGGTTCGCGTGGGTGTTGGCGGTAGAAGCTGTGGCGGCACTCGTCGTGCTCGCTTGCGAGCTGCCTTTCGTGCAGCGGCTGCTGAGGCGCAGAGGGTGGCGCGAGTGGCGGGAGGCGGAGGGAGATGGGGGGGAGAGCGGAGAGAACGGAGAGCATTTACGACAGAACGGAGACGCAGCGCCCGATGGGTTTGGCGGGGGTGGCTCGATAAGCGAGCGAGGGGGGAGGGGACGGCACCCTCGTTTGAGCGACATGGTGATTCGCGATCCCGCGCTGCTGACTCGACACATGACGCAGCTGTACGGGAGATGACGCGTTTCAGCGGGACATGAGGCGGCTCCGCAGTAACGACACAGACTGCAGATGGATGAGACACCATAGCCATAGATATGCCATAATCTGACATGTCGCGGGGCTCTCACAAGGCGTGGGTGGGCGCCCCATGAGACCCTATGAAGCGGTGTGCATGATGGGGTAGGACCAATGAGGGTAAAGAAACGGTGCGTGTGTGTACGCACTTTATGAATGATTAAGTGGGTTTATTTCCAGTCTATGCATCTTCCCCAGCCATGCCACGGACGTCCTCTCTCTGCTTATGCCTGGGTCGGCTCAGCTCTTCTTCCCACGCTCCTTCCTAGCCACAGCTTTCTTCCTCTCCTCCTACTGCCTCCTCCTCTCCTCCTACTGCCTCCTCCTCTCCTCCTACTGCCTCCTCCTCTCCTCCTTGTACCTCCTCTCCCGTTCACTCTTCTCTCTCACTCTCTCCGCCTCCCTCTCCCCCTCCCTCTCCTCCATCTGCCGTGCCGTGAAGTCCCCTCGCTCTCTCATCCGCCACGCACTCCCATTCAGCCCCACGGCTGCCAGCATGCCCGTCATCACCCGATGCCGCCGCACCATGAATTCTGGTACCAGCCGCTCATCCATCCCCCCTCCACCACTCCCCCTCCCCCACGTCCCCCGGATAAGCCCCCCCCTGCCACTCCTCCTCCCTGGTTGCCCCCTCCCCCGGGACCCACCTGCCCCCCCTGCCACGCGGCCCTCTCTCTCGCTGCGGCCTCCCTGGCCAGCTTGCGCTGCAGCGCCTGCCACACCATGTCCTCGGCTCCCCCGTCCGCTGCTGGGGTGCCGAATAAGAAGTGGCGTTGCACCTGGTGTGAGAGAGAGGGTTCAGGGGGGGGACAGAGTGCCTGAGTGCCTGCCACACCATGTCCTCGGCTCCCCCGTCCGCTGCTGGGGTGCTGAATAAGAAGTGGCGTTGCACCTGGAGCGGGCGAGCACACACATTCACATTCAAGCTTGCGCTGCAGCGCCTGCAACACCATGCCCTCTGCCCTGCCCTGCGCTGCTGGCGAGCCGAATTGGCAGTGACGCTGCACCTGGTGTTGACAGATGGGGGTGAGGGGGGGAAAGAGGGGAGGGATTGCGTCTGTCCTCTGCTCATCCTTCCACAGTAAACGCCTTCCGCATAACATTCTTGATGGCATAACATACATGCAGGACTGTGCACTGGTGCCCACTGCAGGGCACTCACTGCAGTGCTGCAGTGCACTCGCAGGGCTGCGCTGGGCTGGGCTGCGCTGATGACACACGTTGAAGGGTACGTTAGTGTCCCCCTCACCTGTCGCAGCTCCTCCCACATGGCCCGCCACGTGCTGGCGTCCATGCGCAGCAGCGACGCCAGGTAGCCAAAGCGAGTGGCAAGCTCCGCGGGCACGAAGAGGGCGAAGCGAGTGAAGTCGATGGCGTCCTCGAAGGGTAGCGTGATGCTGTCGCTCACCACCACTGGGATGCACCCGCTGGCCATGGCGTTGAAGAGGCGCGAGGAAGAAACAGTGTTGCCTGCATGGGTGGGTAGCGGCAGGGCGCAGGGATGCATGGGCGTGACAGGGTGAGATAAGAAGGGGCAGCGTGATGGCCTCACTGGCCACCACTAGGCTGCACCCGCTGGCTGTGGCGTTGAGATGGGAGATGGCACGGAGCAGCCATGGCGTTGAGGGGATGGGAGATGGCAAGTAGCAGCCATGGGGATGCACCCACTCACTATGCTGTTCATTGCAAGAGGCACACAGCGTAGCAGCTGATGCAAGCAAGTCTACCTTCAGGTACGAGGCAGAAGCGGCTGCGGCGCATGGCGTGCTGCATGGCCGCTACATCCGCCACTGTCACCTGGCTGGCGTCCTCCCGATCAGCTGCTTCGAACACCGCCCCCTGCATCCCCTGAGGCGCCTCAAACAACTTGGCCAGGCCTCGCCGCAACGCCCTGCCCTGAGGGGGGAGGGAGGAAGGAAACGGATGGAGGCGTTGATGGTTGGGCGCTGATGGTTGGGCATGCTTTGCACTGAGGCGCTGATCAGTGAACATTGCTGGCATTGAGGCGTTGATGATTGGACTCCCAACTCTCCCTAAACCCGAAACATTAGTTTGTTTCAGTTTGTGAGTCAATGCTGTACTCACGTTATTAAAGACTTGTGTGGAGCCACGGAAATAAAGGACAGTCCCGCGATCAGACCAGCTGCCAGGGTCGTCGAGATAAGGCTCCACTACAGGCACGTACGGTATAATCACATCCTTCATAAAGTTTAGGTCCTGGAGGCACACCAACGCATAGGCATCGACACATATTCACATCACATACACAAATCAGTGCAACAGCATATACACACGCACGGTTAGCGTACAGCTAGCACCATGCTGGGGTCAAGTTGGCCAACGTACCTGCAGGGGCTGGAAGGGGAAGCGGGTGGTGAGCGTGGAGAGGGTGGGAAGTCAAAGTAGCGGCAGGGAGGAGCAAGGATACGGCAGGGAGGAGAAAGGATGCGGCAGGGAGGAGAAAGGATGCGGCAGGGAGGAGCAAGGATGCGGCAGGGAGGAGCAAGGATGCGGCAAGGAGGAGAAAGGATGCGGCAGGGAGGAGAAAGGATGCGGCAGGGAGGAGAAAGGATGCGGCAGGGAGGGGCAAGGATGCGGCAGGGAGGAGAAAGGATGCGGCAGGGAGGAGCAAGGATGCGGCAGGGAGGAGCAAGGATGCAGCAGGGAGGAGCAAGGATGCGGCAGGGAGGAGCAAGGATGCGGCAGGGAGGAGCAAGGATGTGGCAGGGAAATGAGGAGCGATGATCTCCAGGTACCTGCAGCGGCTGGAAGGAGAAGTCGGTTGTGAGCGTGCAGAGGGATGGCAGGAGCGCATGGAAGGCCGCCAGCGCGCGCGGCATGCTCACTGCCACCACCACTCGCGGCTCTAACCTCGCTCTCCCGCCACCATTGCTGCTGCCACTGCTGCTGCTGCTGCTGCTGCCGCTGAGTGCGAAAGCATGAGCTAGATTGAAAAGGTGGGTCACGAGCTGCCTGAAGGGAGAGAGGGGAGAGAGGGGAGAGAGGGGAGGGAGGGGACAGAGGGGAGAGAGGGGAGAGAGGGGAGAGAAGGGAGAGAGGGGAGATCACCCAATGCTCAAGATCGCCCAACGCTCAAGATCGCCCAACGCTCAAGATCGCCCAACGCTCAAGATCGCCCAACGCTCAAGATCGCCCAACGCTCAAGATCGCCCAACGCTCAAGATCGCCCAGCGCTGAAGATCGCCCAACGCTCAAGATCGCCCAACGCTCAAGATCGCCCAACGCTCAAGATCGCCCAACGCTCAAGATCGCCCAACGCTCACGATCACCCAATGCTGGAGGCACGTGAGCACGCACCTGAATTCGTCGCTCAGGTGGGGCTTCACGAACACCGGAGCCAGTGCTGCTGCGCCAGGTGCTCCAGCCGACGCTCCACGTGATTGCAGCGCCAGCAGTAGCGCAGCCCGGTTGGTGGGGGTGGCGTTGAAGGCGAAGGCGAGGAGGGAGGAGAAGACGGGCAGAAAGACGATGTCCGCCTCCCTGGCATGCTGCACCAGCTGCACCGAGGGCGTGCCTGACAGCAGAGAGAGCGTGAGCCAGTACTCCGCGCTGTGCTCTGCTGCGAATGGTAGTGGTGGGAACGATGGTACTATTGCGTATGAAGGGCGTTTCGACCAATAGCGTGCTTCCACGTCAGGTTCGGTGCTGGCTGGGGAGGAGGGCGAGTCAGCAGGGCGGCTGAGGTCCCACGCTGGTGGCATGCCGTGCTGAGTCAGCAGCTGCACGCGGTGGTCCCGGATCCACTCCCCCTGCACGTGACATGGTGTGACGTGGCAGGGAAATTGTATGAGCGAAATAAAGAATGGAAGGGGGAGTGGGGAGTGGAGAGTGGAGGAATGCGGAAAGGGGAGCGGAATTGGCTACGGGGAGTGGGGGAAAGGGGAAGGGGGGGCGCGCGCGCACCTTGAGCAGGCGGAAGTTGAACTCCCCGGGAAGCTCGGGAAGGAACACCTTGAGGCGCGGGCGCTGGGGGGCGGAGGGGGAGGGGCGGGCGGCGGGGCGGATGTCGGCGTGGAGCACGGCGAGCAGCAGCAGCCCCGCCGCCACCAGCGCCGCCGCCACCAGCGACGCTCTCGACGGCTGCTGGTGCGCGTCGAGCGCCTTGCCGCCCGACCGCGTCATCACGATGATTCTTACTCTCTCGCCCGGCGTCAAACACTGCAATGCGGCGGCTATGCGCTTTTGAGTCGACTCAATAGCGTGGGTGGCGGCGCTGGTCGCGGCGGGACATGAGCCTCGCTGTGGTGTGGAGTGCGGTGACTGGCTGAAGAAAGTGGACCATCGGTAATGTGTTATCGATTAGAGACTATGTTGCACCGCGGTGCCCAAATGCGGTAGAGCAGATGACAGCTGGCACGCGGCTGCAGGGAATTGCGCTATGAACGGGGCTAAATTGCGCATTCGACGGTGGGCACTGGGTAGAGTTTTACCATTTCCTGAACAGTACAGAAATTTGGATGGGAAATCCGGCTTGCGTTGTGACTATGACAGCAGGGGGCTGATTTGACTCATGGATGGGGAAAGGGGGAAAGCTCGGATCGGACTCGTTTCTTGAAGTCGGCTGTGGTTGGTGGAAGCAAATGAAACCATCCTATTGTCTTTGGCGAAAATTTGTTCACCGTCAAATATCGTCGCCGGGTGGGTAGCTGAGTTACTCGCTTGCTACACAAATCAAAACTGTTCTCTTTTCACACGTTAGCTCGCAACAGAAAAGTTTCTCTATCAAAGGAGCCGAGTCTGCTTCTAGGATGGATTTGGGAAAAGGCGGGAAGTAACTGACACACTCCAGGCCCAGCACAACCAGTTCTGACACATCTTCAAATTCGGCACAGGCTTACTCGATAACAGTATAACATTTTCCTCCTCTGGTGTCCTCCTCTTCATCCCGCTGTCCCGTGCCCTCACTGCTCCTACCTCTCCGCAATCACCGCCTCCCCTCTCCTACGCCGCGTGACTCTTCCCGTTCTCTCTCCCATGCCGGTTAGCTGGGACGCGGGAGCACATGGGCTCGCTCGCTCGCTCCCTGCACCTACGCTCTAGCCTCGCACTGCCGCGCGCCGATTCGTCTCAAATACTCTCCTTCCCCAGCCGTTCCTTCGCGCTCGCTGGCAGCTTCGCTCACAACCTCGTCCACAGCCTCGGTCCTAGCCTCACCCTGAGCCTCGGTCGTAGCTCCGTCAACAGCCTCGCCTGTCTATCCGCTTTTGCGATCTCTCTTCCCCTACTGTCAAATCGTCCTCTGCTGGGAAACTTCCGAGTATCTACCAATACCCACCGTTCTATCATTGCTGACATGGCGGAATCACCTCCTAGAGCCACGCCGACGCAGATCTCCGCACACACCGCGACGCACGCCGCGAAACGCGGGGCTCTGATCGTTCTCGAAGGGCTGGATCGAAGCGGCAAGTCGTCGCAGGCGGCTCGACTAGTGGCGCACTTAGAATCCCGGGATTTAGGGCCCGTGAAGGCGATGCGGTTTCCAGACCGGAGCACCAGGATTGGACGGCAGATAGACGCGTATCTGAGGGAGACGAAGGAGATCGACGACCGTCGGATTCACGAGCTGTTTGCGGCGAATAGATTCGAGAAGAAGTGAGATGCGGGGATGGGGGATGGGGGATGGAGGAGGGGAGGGAAGGGGGTAGGCAGGGAGGGAGGGGGAGGGGGGAGTGTGGGAGAGGTGGAGAGATGGATGAGTGTCTTGATTTGTTGTGAGCCAATGTGGTGTCGTTGTCTCATGACATCGCGTTCATGGTGTTATGGCATCACATGCATGGTGCCGTCATCACCACCACCACCACCACCACCACTTCCAGGGAGGAGATGGAGGCGCAGCTGGCAGAGGGCACGTCACTGGTGGTGGACCGATACTCGTTCTCAGGCATCGCTTACTCCGCAGCCAAGGGGCTGGACGTGCACTGGTGCAAGGTAAGCTAGTACGTGATAGAAAACCGCGCTTTCAATCTGCCCTGTCTACATCCCATCATATTCCCCGCGTTTTCCTGCCATCGGGCTTGCCCTTAGACTGTGCAATCTTGGCTGCATGTGTTGCTTTCCCGATCATCCCTCTGACACGCCATCTCGTTGTACGCCCCCTATCCCCTTTCAGTCAAGCGAGGTGGGGCTGCCAGCGCCGGATATTGTCATCTACCTCGATATCAACCCACAGGTATTGGCACTCCCTGCCACGTCATGCTCTTGAGATATGTAGGCTGTCACCTTGTGCAATGCTTCTCCTTTCAGTCTCCTCTCTCTCATCCTGCCACGTCACATGCAATCAGCAGCTCCTGCATCCCTCTCCTCCTCCCCCTCTCCCCTCGTCCATCGTTCCTATTCCCCCTCCGTATCTTCTCGTCTTACCCAACGCCTTTCAGCATGCGGCAGAGAGGGGTGGGTACGGTGGAGAGCGGTACGAGAAGGTGGAGTTCCAGCAGCGAGTGGCTCAGCACTTCTATGCACTGAAAGACGACACCTGGACGGTTCGTACCTATGATGAGCTCTTGTGGCTCGTGTAACCCTCTCATCCCATCCAACCCTCCTTATCCATGAAAGGCGAGCTCAACAATCAATCCTGCATCTCCCCTGCCTTAACCATCGACCTTGCCTCAGCTATGGTGCCCGGTCTTTGCCTCCACTGTCTTTGTGTTGATCGCCAGGTGGTGGATGCATCTCTACCTTTAGAGGATGTCGCAACCGAAGTTTGCAAGCTTGCAGAATCCATTGTGCGTAGGTGTAAGGGTGGGGAGCTTCCTTTGCGACACCTATGGGATTGATGATACGTTGCATTGAGAATCCATATGTAGCCCTGTCTGGGGCTAGCTATTGAGCTCTCTTTTGTATGTGTTTGATAGCATAATAATGTGGTCGATTGGCTGTTCCATTTCACATTTGGGAGATTTTATCGTCAGGTAAGGGGCGGGAAGCCAAAATGACATTCCATGTGTGTACATTTTTGTGCATATTTGATGCAATGCTTCATGTAATACGACGTGAATCGCGTTCGTTGTTTCCCTTGGAATTGTCGGCTGTGTCCTGCCAGCAGCTTCTGCGCTTCCATGGCCTCCACCAATCAGCATCGTCCCAGCTTCCGCTTCCACCATCATCTGGCATCCCGTGTGCGCAGCGCACCACCATACCATACAGTATCATACCTCGTCATACCATCCTGCCAAGCCGGCCTGCCATCATGCCATCAATCTTCCCCATCATTCTGTTTCTCTTCACCGTTTCTTGGGATTCTCATTTTCGTTCCTCGTTTTCAGAACACGAGAGTAGCAGGAGGACTTTCTTATGCCGGGCTCCTGACTGGAAGGAAGTGTGGTTGCTCGCGTCGTGCGGGTGTCAGCGGCTTAGTTAAGTTACAGGAAGATCGCGCGTAAACCGCGTCCGTCAGATCAGCGGTGCATCCAAATGGCAGCTTCGCCAGCCATCGGATCTCGGCGGTTGGCGAATGGAAGCCTCGATGATATTGATCACGCGATGCAGGTACTCTGCGCTTTAGCGACGCGACGTACAGCCAGGCCATGCTTTAGGCCGTTGCTCGGTTCGCGTCTCTTAATCTACACGTGGACCCCACGTGAACGGTCCAGCTAGCCCGACACGTGTCACAGCTTTAGGCTTATATTATTCGTCCGTGAAGGTCGGTGGGGTCTAGATCCATCTGACCGCAGCACGTAAAGAACCCCGTTGTCGCGCTCTGACGTCTCTGTAGGATCCTCTCTGTAGCGCTCCTCGACACACGCTTGAAAGGAATCTGTCAGTCACAATGCAGGTTTAGGTGTCTCACGCCTGATAGGGATCTAGCAGCAGAGAAAGGGAGGCAGCGGGATCGCTTTTTGCCGCTCATGCACCGACGAATGCAAGTTCGCGTGTGCACCATTCCGTTTCGCTGAGCCTTACTCTATGTTTCTTCATCGTCTCACTACGCGTTTGTTCCTCCGCGTTTGTCCCTCCGCGTTTGTCCCTCCGCTTTCCCTCTTCATCCCGTAATACTTCCGTCCATCGTTCACCCCACCTTATCCTCGCATCACCAAACACCCTGTCTCCACCCCCCACTTCCTTCACTCCATTGCATCGCACGTCGTGACGTGGCACGGCTTCATGACCTGACTTGGCATCTCATGACGTGGCATGGCATCGCTTGACGTGGCACGATCGCACGACCGTAGTCCAGCAAGGACGCGCATCTGTCGGGCTTCCGCCTCTCGTCCGACATCACCACCTTCCAGAACCGCCCAGGCAGCGCTGGCCGCGAGCCCTTCATCATCGGTCAGTCATCCCTGGCTGCCTGGGCATCAGCTGTTCAGTATTCCCTTGCTACTGTCATAGTCACACCTTCATCATTGCCTGCCTGGGCTTTCCTCTTCGTCTGACGTCACACACTGCCTCGTCTACACTCCCCCACCCCAACCCTCCCAAACCTCGAATTCCCTACTGCCAATCCCCCAAATCCTCTACCCCTACCCCCCCTCCCCTCCCCCCTTATCCCTCCTCCCGTCCGCGGCGAGTTAAGGGCCACTGCAGCAGGTAGGAAGGCAGTGGCTTGCTCTTCAGACCACTTCCTTCCGATTCTCTCCCCCGACCTGATCCCCCCCTCCCTGCCGCTCCCCACCCTGCCATTCTTCCCTCCTGGCAGGCGTGTAAGGGGGAGCGGCCTTTGGCAAGACGTGCGCGAGCAGATCATCCAGCAGCTGAGGGGCCACCGACCGACAACCCCCTTCCCCCCGCGCCCCCTCTCTCCCATGCCGCGCCCTACGCCTTCCCTCCCTCCAGGTGTGTCTGGGGGGACGGCGTCGGGCAAAACGACGGTGTGCGAGCAGATCATCCAGCAGCTGAGGGACCACCGCGTGGTGCTGATCGACCAGGACTCCTTCTACCGCAGCCTCACGCCCGAGGAGCTCGATAGAGTCACAGAGTACAACTTCGACCACCCAGGTGAGTGCTGACCTCTGGTGACTGGCGTTGACCTGCGTTGACCTGTGCTGATCGACCACGGCTCGTACCGCAGCCTCACGCCCGAGTAGCTCGACAGAGAACAATTTCGACCACCCAGGTGAGTGCTGACGCTTTGACCTGTGTTGCCGTGCTCCTAAGGCAGCCTCGCTCATTGACCTGCTCTGACAGTGCTGGACTTTGGCTGACTCGCCCTGACATCACTCACTTGCATTGATTTCATCGACCTACTTTGACTTGCCTTCACCCTCACTGCCTTACCCCTCACTGCGCGCCTGTGGCTGCACCAGATGCGTTTGGCTCGGAGGTGATGCTGGAGACCTTGGTTGACTTGCATTGACTTGCGTCAAACTTGTTGACTTACTTTGACTTGCCTCACCCCTCATTGCATGTCTGCGTGTGCGCCAGACGCGTTTGACTCGGAGGTGATGCTGGAGACGATTCGGGGGCTCAAGGAGGGGCGCGCAGTGGACATCCCCACGTACTGCTTCAAGACGCACCGCCGCGGCACGGGCAAGCGCCAGGTGAGTTGAGCTAGTCGCCATGCAGGGGGGACCAATGCGCGCTGCATGGTTGCTGCACCCTGTGTTGTGGTTCAAGGAGGGGCGCACCGTGGACATCTCCACCTACTGCTTCAAGACGCACCGCCGCGGCAAGGGCAAGCGCCAGGTGAGACAATCGCCTTGCAGGGCGGGTCACTATGGGGTGCATGTTGCTGCGCCCTTTGCCATGCTAGGAGGGCTGGGCAGTGGACAGGGCAACCCCACGGGCTGCTCCAAGTCGCACCGCCACGGCGCGTCCAGGGGCCAGGTGAGGTGCTGCCATGCAGGGGGGTTCAAGTGACACGTGAGGCACTGAAGCTGTCGCGCTGCAGGGGGGTGAACGTGGGTTGCATGTTGCTCCAACCCGTGCCATGCGCAGGTGAACCCAGCAGCAGCCGTGGCCACTTGAGTCTTCCACATCCTGCAGTGCGAGCGAGCGCACATGAACAGGAAGCTATTCATGTTGTATGATGTTATTCATGTGCCACGCCAATGCTGATGTGCCGCTCTATGCTCCGTGCGCCTGTCCCCCCATGCACCACGCACAGGTGAACCCAGCAGACGTGGTGATTTTGGAGGGCATCATAATCTTCCACGACCCGGCCGTGCGAGTGCACATGAACATGAAGATATTCGTTGACACCGACGCTGACGTGCCTCTGGGTGCTTTGTGTGTCTCTCCCCATGCACCATGCACAGGTCAACCCAGCGGACGTGGTCATTCTAGAGGGCATTTTAGTCTTCCACGACCCGGCCGTGCGAGCGCACATGAACATGAAGATATTCGTCGACACCGATGCGGACGTGCGCCTGGCCAGGCGGATCCGCAGAGACACGGTGCACCGGGGGAGGGACGTGCAGAGCGTCATCGAGCAGGTGGGCTGGAGTGCAAGTGGTGAATGCGTTTTGATGTGTGTTGCTATGACAGGAGGACACCATGCACTGGGGGGAGGGACGTGCAGAGCGTCATTGAGCAGATGGGTGGGATGGGAAGGAAGAGGTGTGAGTGAGTGAGAAAGGGGAGCGTTCTTGGCTCTTTCAGTCCCTGGAAGGAGCCCAGAAGCGGCAGCGTGCACCAGGGGAGCAGGAAGTTCACCAGCAGAGCGTGGTCCAGCAGGTGTGTGAAATCCACCAGGGCACTGGCATGTGCCTGTTTCAAAGGTTAGCTACTCCGGTTTTTCCCTTTCCCAATCCTCATCTCTCTCTGCTAACCATATTCTGATCCACGGCTCCATCCCATCTTTTGCTCTTTCCGTCGCCACGCTGCTTGCTTCTTTTCCCTGTCTCCTTTTGAGGCGCCTAAAAAATAGTCTCCCTGCACCTGCCATGCCGCCCCACAACAGTACGTCAAGCTCGTGAAGCCGACCAAGAAGGTTGCTGACATCAATAACGCCATGCCGCCCCACCACAGTAGGTCAAGTTCGTGAAGCCGACCAAGAAGGTTGCTGACATTAATAACGACTCCCTCCACCCCTCCCCCCCCCCTCCCCCTCCGGTTCCCTGCAGTACGCCAAGTTTGTGAAGCCAGCCTTTGACGACTTCGTCCTCCCCACCAAGAAGTTTGCTGACATCATCATCCCACGGGGCGGCGACAACCACGTGGCGGTGGATCTGATAGTGCAGCACATCCGCACCAAGCTGGGGCAGCACGACCTGAGGAAGATCTACTCCAATGTCTTCGTCATCGAGTCGACGTTCCAGGTACTTGGGTTTGTTATCAGCATCGCATGTCGCAACACGCGGTGGATCTGTTAGCGCAGCACGTTCGCACTAAGCTGGGCCAGCACGGCCTGAGGAAGGTCTACTCCGATGTGTTTGTCATCGAGTCAACGGTCCAGGTGAATCCCATTGTCAAACAGTGAGAGTTCCTTTCCTGGTCGCCAAATGTTGGCATCCACCGTCCACTGGTGGACGCCGTCCACCGTCCATCGTCCACCGTCCGCCGCCCACCGTCCACCGTCCACCGGTGCTTCCCAAGCGACAGTTCTAATCTCGATCCCCCAATCCTCTTCAGTTCCGTGCATGCACTCGGTCATTCACAACCCCCCTTCCTCTCCTCCCATCGCTCTCCCGGCTCCCAAACCACCTGCTAGACCCGCGGCATGCACACGCTTCCCCCTATTCCCATCAACCCCCCTCTTCCCCACACCCCCCCCCCTCCCTGCCTGCTAGATCCGCGGCATGCACACGCTCATCCGCAACAAGGACACGCGCAAGCACGACTTTGTGTTCTACGCCGACCGCCTCATTCGCCTTGTGGTGGAGCACGGGCTGGGCCACCTGCCCTTCGTGGAGAAGCAGGTCGTCACGCCCACCGGGTCCACCTATGTTGGAGTGGACTTCTGCAAGAACCTGTGTGGTGTCTCTATCATCAGAAGGTGGGTGCCTGCACCCACAGGGTGGAGCCATGTTGGCGTGGATTTGTGCAAGAACCTGTGTGGCGTGTTCATCATCCCAAGGTGGGTGCCTGCACCCACAGGGTGGAGCCATGTTGGCGTGGATTTGTGCAAGAACCTGTGTGGCGTGTTCATCATCCCAAGGTGGGTGCCTGCTCTGCTACGAGGTGCCGGGAGCATGGGCTGGCGCCCTGCAGTTTAGGTGGTCACGCCCACCAGGTGAACCCATGTTGGAGTGGACCTCTGCGGGAACCTGCGCAGTGTGTCCATCATCACAAGGCACGTCCTTGGCACACTCAGGCGCATTCAGACACATCCTATAGAAGTGCAGGCATATCCAGACACGTGCAGTCATCCTTGGCACATCCTTGGGACATCCTTGGCACTTTTGGGGATATTCATGCGTGAGTGCTCTTGCTGCGTTTGCTATGTCCGGTGTGTTATCTGCTGTTTTGCTGTCATGCTCACTGCAACGCTTGGTCGGTGCCATCTGTGTGTGCAGTGGCGAGAGCATGGAGAATGCGCTACGAGCATGTGTGAAGGGCATTCGCCTAGGGAAGATTCTCATTCACCGAGAGGGGGACGATGGGAAGGAAGTGAGTTAGGGGGGCCGCAGCACACACCCAGCATCCGTGTGCTGCAAGGGGGTGAGGCGGTGATGCCATGTGTGGGTGGGGCCAGATTCGCATTCACTGCGGAGGGATGATGGCAAGGAAGGAGGTGTGTGGAGGGACTGACAGAATCTCGTCTTCTTTCAAGGCTGCCACATGCCTGCTCCTCTCCTCTCTGGTGTCTTGCTGCCGTACACCCGATTGACACCCGATTGACACCCCATTGACACCCCATTGACACCCCATTGACACCCCATTGACACCCCATTGACACCCCATTGACACCCCATTGACACCCCATTGACACCCCATTGACACCCCATTGACACCCCATTGACACCCCATTGACACCCCATTGACACCCCATTGACACCCCATTGACACCCCATTGACACCCCATTGACACCCCATTGACACCCCATTGACACCCCATTGACACCCCATTGACACCCCAGTCACACCTCATTGACACCCCATTCACTTCTGACTAGTGCCTGCCATCCATCGCGTCACATCGTGCCGTGCCCATCAGGTGATCTACGAGAAGCTTCCAAGCGACATCGCGTCGCGCCACGTGCTGCTCCTTGACCCCATCCTCGCATGCGGTGCGTGTGGTGCTATGTGGTGCTATGTGGTGCTGTGTGCTGTGGTGCTATGTGGTGCTGTGTGCTGTGGTGCTATGTGCTGTGCGGTGCTGTGTGCTGTGGTGTGCTGTGTGCTATGTCTTGTGTGTTTTGCGTTGTGCTGTGTGCTGTGCTCTACGTTCTTGTTTCCACGCTCTACAGTCCTATCATGCGTAAGTGAACACATGTACCCAGACCAATCCACGCCTGTGTTCATCCCTGGGTGTGCGAATGTGTACGTGTCTGCGCCCATCTGTGTACGTGTCTGCGCCCATCTGTGTACGAGTCTGTGCCCATCTGTACACACAACCACTCACAGGCAGCTCAGCAGTGAAGGCCATTGAGACGTTGATAGCCAAGGGAGTGCCGCAGTCGCGCATCATCTTCCTCAACCTCATCTCCGTGAGTGGGCTGTCTTCATACAGTAAGCCCCCGTTTCACGTTCCATCATGTCACCATGCACTTCAGCCAGCGCCACATGCCAGCTAGCTGTATCACTCTCAGGCGTTGCTCCTATGTCTTTCCACCCTCCCCCCTACTCTCCCCACCCCATCTCCCTTGCCCCCCTCCCCCCCTACTTCACTCCACCCCCAGGCCCCCGAGGCCATCCACGCGCTGTGCCACTCGTTGCCACCTCAGAGATCGATGTGGCCATGTATCCACATCCCCATCCCTCCCTCTTGCCCCACCCCCCTCCACCCCACCAGGCGCCCGAGGGCATTCACACGCTGTGCCACGCATTCCCGCGCATAAAGATCGTGACCTCGGAGATCGACGTGGCCATCAACGACAACTTCAGGGTCGTGCCGGGGATAGGCGAGTTCGGTGACCGCTACTTCGGCACAGACGATGACGACGAGGGGAGTGACGGGAACGGGCTGCCGCTGGGGGAGAGGAGCGGCAGCAGCAGCCGGTGATGGGGAGCGGAGGACGTGGTCTGGTTGGGTTCGGCGACCGCTACTTTGCGGCTCACGATGACGACGAGGGAAGTGACGGGAACGCGAGTTGCCACTGGGGGTGAGGAGCGGCAGCAGCAGCCGGTGACCCTGGGCTCGGGAGTCCTTTGAATTGAGGTTGGCGTCTGGTACTTGAGGATCATTGGCGATGATGAGGAGCGCAATGAAAGGGGCTGGCATTGGTATATGTATTGGCCTCATGTCCTTAGTTTGGTTGTGTGGTATATGTATTAGCCTCCTCTAGTTAAGCTGCTTATTGTGTGCTATAGATTGATGGTATGGATCTCATTTATTTGAGAATCAATGGTGGCGCTTGCCTTGCGCCAGAAATGCGCATATTGTAGTATTGTTCATCTGCCATGGATTTGTCAATTTTACTTCAATAGTGTTATCTCATACATACTAAAGAGCTCTGCAAGTCATTGTCATCCACATTAGTCCCTCTTTTTGAATAATGGATGCATTATAAACATGCTATAAAATTCCGTACCGGTATACAGAATCTTAATGTAGGTGTCCGTCCCCTGCAATTATCATGAAAATTGTCCTTGATCCTTGATATCACAGCCCTTGTAGAAGACTTGCGCTTCCCGCGGCGGAGGACGCGCGAGGTTGATGTCCACCCAATTTGAAATGCCTACCGTGATTTTCCCAGAATGCCCGCTGGCGGGGACTGTTTTTGTGACTCCAGTCGCTCAAATCAAAATCGCTTGCGACTCTTGCGAGTGCCGTCGCTAGGCTTGCGATTTTGCCGTCAACACATGGAGCGAGCGACAATTCGAGGATGGCACGTCAACCAACCAAGAGCGTCGTTCAGGTTGAACGGGTAGGTGGCTACCAGTCCAGGCGTCGTTCTTCGTTCGCATGGGCACTTTCGCAAAGTCGTGTGGCTGTGCGGCTTGATTTGCAGTGTTGGCCATCGCGCGGGTCGCCCCCTTCGATGTCCAGCAGCCCTACAGTGCAATGCGAAAACCGTTCCGGAGCGCACGAACTTCCCGACAAAGTTAGCGTCATTGCGACCCCTGTCAGCGACCAAATGCCATCCACAATGCGTCGTAAACGGCAAAGAAAAGGATCAGGCGACATTTTTACGATATTCCTTCGTGAGACGAATGACGCCTGGGCTATCCTGGATGTCCATCTGTCGCGAAACATCGTCACAGGCCGACGTGCACGTCGCACAGCGTCGTAGACTCACCTTTCAGGCTCAAATTCAAACGTGAGAAAGGTGGCTTCGCCAGCAGGGCACGCCCAGGCTGTGTGCGACGCATGCCATCGCAGGATCCTCAACTTTCCGAGCCGCAACATTTGCATGTTGCGTACGGCGTCTCGGTTTGTGGGTGGAATGTGAGAGGGGACTCGAACCGCGGGCGGCTCGGCTTCTCCAATGTGGAGCGCGAGAGGGGCGATTTCTTTGCGAGCTGAGCTCCCCCTCTTGTCACATCCTATCCCATCCCATCTCCTCTCCAACCTCCCATCCCCCACCACAAAACTCGTGCCTCAGCACATACCTAAGCTCCTGCTTACTTTGCCCCTGCACCTACAATTTTCACACGTCGTGCATTCACGCTCGCATCTCACAACCAAGAGGGAAAGACGAGCAGCCGTCAACCTCCGCCGTCGCGTTGCCTCCATTTCTTCTGCTGCCTACCTAGCCCAAGTCGATTACTTGCTTCCGATCAGCCTAAGTTTTGTTGAATGATTTTTTAGCCCCGATCGGCGCATCCATCGGTTATTAATGTGATCTTGCACGCTAGTCCACAGGTAGCGCGACTAGCAATCGCTCAACGCCATCGCGCCTTTCACGACGGCTCTCGTATCCTCACCTTTCACTGCCTCGAGCGTTTTTTTTCGCCTACGAAAATAGTGTGGCTGTCGGCATGGCGGCGATCACCGCGCCACAGATCACAGCCCTCACCCCCGCTCCGCACCTCGTTCGCCTATCCCCGCGTAACCCGCCGCAGTTGACGGTCGAAATGCAAGCATGCGCTCATTCCGACGAAAGTGCGGCTTCAGAAATCAGACCACTCGCATCCAGTAACGACATTACGCTGGCGGGATCCGCGCTTAAGGATCAGATGGTGCCTCCGCGCAGCGTCGAGGAAGCTCTTGCGCTCGTCAGCCCTAGCAGCAGCAGCCAGCAGCCGTCAGTTTCGCCGCCGGCGCAGTCAGCGTGCCAGTCAAGCAGCCCCGAGGCGATAGCGATGCCGGTGGCGGGAGAGAAGCGGCCGGCGGTGGGCGATCCGAGCGCAGACGACGCCGCAGCCATGCGCCCGCGGAAACTCTTCGCCGCATCCATTCCGCCCCTCACCATCCCCACCGCGCCATCCACCTCCACGTCACTAGCTGCGCTCAGTACCGCGCCTCTCCGCCTACCGTGCCTTGCGCCCGCGCCTCCTCCCCCGCATCCCCAGGCCACCCCCTTTCCCCCCACCCCTTCCTCTGTCACACTCTCGATCTCCTACCCTGCTACTCCTCTCCCCGTTCTCCCGCCGCGTACGCGTTATGATCCGGTGGCGTTTGCGCGCGGGATGCAGGCGCTGCAGGGTACGCCACTCGGGCGGCTGCTCAACGCCACCCCCGATATCGTTGTGGACGGCGTTCCTCGTCGCGTCGTTTCCAGTAAGCCGCCCAGTAGTCCCGCGACGCACGGCGGGGTGGGTCAGTCGGCGTCGCCAGTCTCTCTAATGCAGCTGCCGTCTCTGCCGTCTCTGCCGTCTCGTCTCGCCGGCAGCATCAGCGCCAGCAGCGGTCTTCGCGCAGCGGGGCCCGTCAGACCGCGACTCCTCGTGCCGTCACCTGCTGCAATCGCCTCTGCCATCGCCGCAAATGCCGCCGCGCCATCGCCTGCCCGCACATCGGAGTTCTTCCCCCAAACGCCCGCCGCTGCCGCTCCCCCCGCCCTCCTGACATGCCCGATCGTCGTTCCGCGCGTCAACTCTTCCGCGCATCCGCCTTCCGTCGCCCAGCCCTTCCCCGCCAATCTCGCTTCCCCCGCCGGATGTGCCGGCGGCGCACGAGCGGCAGGTGCGGCGTTCGATCCGCTGGTGGAGTGCGAGGAGAGTCTCGATAGCTTATCGGACCCGTCGAACCTCACGTCGCCCACCGCGACCAGCGCCTGTAGCATGGGCCGCTGCGACGCCGACGACAACGGTGCGAAGGACGCGATGTCGTCCGTCGCGCTGCCACGTGGGAGCAGCAGCGGCAGCGCCGCGCGTTGGGGACGCAACCGGTCCGTCACGAGCAGGCAAACGGCGGCCGGCAGGAGACGGCAGGGTACCGGCAAGTCTGCCGGAGCCGTCAAGCTTAACGGAGGCGCGAGTGCAGGGGCGGTAGGAACGGACGGAACAGGGGCGTGTGTGGTAACCACATCGGGGCAGCGCGCTCTCCACACGCTGCACCCCGCGCCTGCTCCCCCCGCCACCGCCGCCGCGCGCCTCCTCCTTCACTCCGCCTCCGCTCGTTCCACCAGCGCCAATCCCGCCGCCGCCGCCGCGGCAGCAGCAGCGGTCGCCGCCGCAGCGGGCTTCGGTTTCGCCACGCAGGAGCGCGCTCCAGGCGCGGCTGGCGGAGAAGCAGCGGAGCAGATGGGCGCTCCGCAGCAGGGGCAGATGCGCGGAGGCGGCGGAAACTACAGTGCGGCGCAGCAGATGGGCGCTCCGCAGCAGATGGGCGCTCCGCAGCAAATGGTGTTTTCCCAGCGGATGGTGATTGCGCCGCAGCAGCAGCCACTGCTCTCCCTCTCCCTCCCCCCGCCGATCGCGCGCAACCAGGGCTTCGTGTGGCAAGCTCCGCGACAGGCGCACGCGGAGGCCGCCCTTGCGGCGCCCGCCGCCGGGAATCGCGGGCTGGAGGCGCTGCCAGACACTCAGCTGACGCTCGGGCGCTCCCCGCCGCCTCCCGCGCCGGCCGTTGGCGCAGCTGCGCACGTGCTGGTCGGCTCGGGCGACTGCGCCGAACCTCTTCATGCCGAGCCTCACGCGGTGGTTGGGCCGAACGTCGAGCCGGAGCAGTCAGCTTCGGTGTCGTCGTCCGCGTCGACGACGGTGGTGACTCGCACGGAGTCGCAGGGGTGGAGCGACGCGAGCGACGAGACGGACGACGACGACGACGAGTGGGGGGAGGGCGACGGAGAGGAGGCGGAGAGTGAGGGGTGCGGAGGAGAAGACGGGGCGGAGCGGGGGACTAACGCGGGAGTGGGGGAACAGGTGGAAGGGGAAGCGGAGCCTGATGGTGCGCATGCGCTTGTGTCCGCCGCAACCCCCGCCTCTGTTGCCGCCCATCCTGCTCCGTTCGCCGTGCATTATGCGCCTACTCTCTCCGGCGTCATTGCTCCTCGCGCATCGAGACTCGTTGGTTCAGACATCACGATCAGCGGCTTGCGCGCTGCAGAAACCAGCCAATCACCAACTGCCAGCGGGGCGATCCGCTTGGTCGGCTCAGCCAGCTCTTCCCCCAAAACCACGAATCTGCGGCCCCCTTTCTCAGCGGCAACGCCAGCAGAGGAGATGGAGGCGGAGCGGCTGCGGGAGAGCGTGGAGCAGTCGGCGCTCCCCATGGTGTTTGCGAACCTCTCTTTCAAGGCCCTCTGGGTCAACGCCGCCTTCAACCGCCTCGTGGGGCAGAGTGGCTGCTCCTGGCTCTTCTCCCTCGGGGCTGCCTCGCTCCCTGCAGTCACGCTCGTTAGTAGCACTGTGAACGTGGGGGGAGAGGGAGGGGGGGAGTGCCCTGCGGTGATGGAAGGGGGGGTGAGGGTGCGGTGGCAGGGGCGGGAGGGGGGGAGTGGGGGGGGAAGTGGGGCGAGGGGGGAGAGGGGAGGGAGGAGGGTGTGGCGGTGGGGAGGCGGGTGGAGGACAGCGTGGGGGCGGTGCTGGGGTACCTGTGGCAGCTGAGGGTGGGGGGAGAGGGGGATGCGGATATGGGGGATTGTGCAGCTGATGTGACTGTGCCAGGTATGGGTGCGGGAGAAGGCGAAAGGGAGGAGGGGAAGGAGGGGGGGGAGGAGAGGGAGGAGGTGGCTGAGGACAATGGGGCTGAGGACGAGGATGCCATGGCAGCGGAGTCTCTGCTGCTCTTCACAGGGGCCATGGCGTGAGAAGGGGGGAAGACAGCAAGCATTGGGGTGGCGGGCAGCGGCGGTACCACAAGTGCAAGCAAGGCGTGCAAGCGCCGGCCGCACAGCGGTACCACCACAAGTGGGATGCGATGCAGCCATGGCTGTGCAAGCTGCTGCAGCATGACATGACATGACATCAGCAGCAGCATGGGGGACCCAAGGCAGGCATTTCAGTTCTCCTGCCAAAGCTGGGATGAATTGGGGAGGGGATAGGGTGGGCCGCCCTCTACAGGCTCTAGCCGAAGGCAGGGCAGGGCGAAGTTGGGAGCAAGTAAGGTTTTTTTATACCAGACATTCTTGTAATTCTTTTGGTGCAGAAGCACCCCATGCTCTTCGAATAATTGTGATTTGCTTACTCATGTTACGTACCACACTAAAGACTCTAAAAGCCTTGTCCATTTGTTGAAGCAAAATGACAGGCAGCTGAACCCACTGGACTAAAAGAGCCCTCCTGCTTGCAGCCTTGACTAGCAACGTCCCTACCTACCATCCTACATGGATTAACATGGTACACTAGACTGTAGTCCTCGCAACCTATACAAATGTACAGTATACACTGCAATGTACATTTACCCCCCCACCCACCTCTCACCGCCCCCCTGCCCCCTGCTTGCTCATCACGGCCCCCGGGAATGACCCAATTCTGCTCAGCCAGAATCCAGGCAGGGCAGGAGAGCAAGCATCAGGAGCAGGAAGCGTAGGTCAGCCGAGGTACACAATGGAGAGGCGGCAAATGCAAGCCAAGCCACTCCAACAAAGGAAATGGACGAGAATGCACGCCAAGGAACATACCGGTAGATTATACTTGGCTGGATGGGAAACACGCACCTCCGGCAACGAAGTAGACTACAACGAGGACAGACGCGACGGCAACCAGAATCCACGGCTGCTGTTCGAGAGCCGCCTCGAGGCCTGACAGCTCGAGCGGCGACGGCTCTTCCGAAAACGACCGGGTTGCGGAGGACGGGAGCACGGCCGACGCTCCATCAGCCGTAGCAGTAACAGCCGCGTCAACATACGTCGCAGGTTCGCCGAAACCGCTACGTGAGGGAGGAAGGGTGGCAACCTGAGTGACCGGCGGAGCCGCTTGACTGCTGGGCACTGGCGACGGCGTAGGCATTGATTCCGCGTCAGATTGTTCGCCTGGCGCGGGGGAAGCAGCGACGACTAAAGCGCGCCGAGCGACGCATGTCCTGGCTGACCGTCCGATCGGACGAGGCTCAGGAATCTGGACGGACCAGCGAGAGCTGCGGGATGCTGCGATTCCCTGTCCGACGCTAGCGCACGCAGAGCTGGAGAGCATGCATCGCTGCGACGGCATGGGGAGAGAAGGCATTTGCCGCCTTGCGGCGAGCGACAACTATGGCACAGGGCTGGTTCACTGACTGGTAGTGCGGTGAATTGTAGAATGCGGTGGAGGGAGCCGGGGTGTTGCGGCAAGTCTTGGCGCAAAAGGAAGGCTGAAGGGGTAAAGGCCGCAACGTCACATGTGGAAGGGCAGTATACTCAACTCGTTACAAGTATAACTGGTGGTCTAGCCTAGCCGCCAAATATAAAAACAATAGCGCTCCTAAGAACTGCCAATTCTCGTAACAGTTCTCCCAACGTTATGATCAATCCACAACTCCCTTCTTGGAACACATACACGAAAATCATTGCAGTTAGAATACCGGTAAAAAATGCGATAACAAACTCTTGTAGGTACCTGTGTCCCACGTCCAAGGGAAGACACTCTAGGTCGTGGAAGGGAGCAGCCCTGTCAAGGAAAGCAGCTAAGCTTAGCGGATGCTGAACTTAGTAAGAGTGACATGCATGCACTTGTTTTGAGGCGCCTCAAAACTGCATGCACTTGATTGCATTGCAGACTTATCCCATGTAATAGCATCGGGCCTAGGAGAACTCCCTAGGAGCCCACAAGGGCCCTTGGTGAGATAGCAAACGGGAGCATCACTGCACATTGCCTAGCAGGGGAAAAGTCCTCCAACCAGAGGGTTGGGAGAAAAGCATCAGCAAATTCCTACAGCACACCACAGAAATACAACTGAGGCGGATGCGGATCTTAAACTTATGAGACTAGGTTCCTAAACTTAGGACACTAGCTTAGCTAGGATACTAGGAACGCCGCCATGGAATGGCGTGAGGAAAGTAGATCTAAGAGCGGGTAGGGAATGACGAGAAAGAAGAGGGTCGATTAGGAAGAGAGAGGAGTACAAGGAGGGGTTTGTACCCTCTACAAGAAGGTTCAGTAACAACCTACAAAGCCTATATTAAATTATAACTTATATAATTTTAACACACCCCCTAAGCTTGGTAGTGTCAAGCCCACACCCACACCCACACCCCCTAGCCCAGCACCCCCATTCCCAGCAGGAGCCGCAACGACTCCGAAAGAGGGCAGCTCCCACGGCCTGTGAGATGGCAATGGCGGCAGCGGCGACAGTGACGACAGCGGCGGCGGCGGCGGCGGTGTATGGCGGCACCAGGCCCGCGGCAACAGCGGCGGCGGCGGCTTGAACGTCAGAGGCTGGTGCAGCGGCCCCCGCCCTCTCGGCGGCATGTCCAGTCTCCTTGGCGGTGGGGAGGGCCCTCATGAGGCAGTCGTCGGCTGCAGCAAGGAAGGGGGGGAATGGAGGGGAAGGAGGGGGAGGTGGGGGGGGGGGGGAGGGGGGGGGGCGAGGCGAGTTTTCAGCGACGCGCCATAAGTGGCGCGGCGCTTACTGGCAGGAGGGCGGGCAGGTTGCGGTTACGACGGCGTGCTGCCCGCTGCCGCCCATCGACGCTGCCGCGGCAGCATGACGACGCCGCCAGAGGGCGGCGTCGACGCTGTGGCGGCACACCGACGCTGCAACGGCAGCAAGGTGACACTGCCACGGCAAAGCGTCGACGCCACCACGGCAGGGCGTCGAGGATGCGACGGCCGCACGACGAAGCCGTCATGACAGGCCGGCATGGCCGCCACGGCGGGAAGGCAGTGACGAGAGAAATGCGCGGCGAAAGCGACAGCGCGACAGCGCGACGCCACAGCAGCGCGTCGAGACGGCCGCGGCACGACGCGGCCAGCGGCACGACATCAGCGCCATGGCAGCGCGAGAAGCGTGAGTAGGCGGTCAAGCAGGGAGGACCTCCAGCTCTGATACCATCTTAAACTTAGGAGACTAGGTTCCTAAACTTAGAACACTAGCTTAGCTAGGATACTAGGAACGCCGCCATGGAATGGCGTGAGGAAAGTAGATCTAGGAGCGAGTAGGGAATGTCGAGAAAGAAGAGGATCGATTAGGAAGAGAGAGGTGTACAAGGAGGGGTTTGTACCCTCTACAGAAAGGTTCAGTAACAACCTACCAAGCCTATATTAAATTATAACTTAAATAATTTTAACAGCGGATGCATGGGGGGGGTTTATCACCCTCCATAACCCTCGATCACCCTCGATCACCCTCCATCCCCCTCCAGCTATGAGAGCATACAGAGAATACCGGGAGTACCAGGAGTACCAGGAGAACTGGGAGTACCGGGAGAACCGGGAGTACCGAGAGTACCGGGAATACCGTGAGTACCCGGAGAACCGTGAATACCGAGAGTACCGGAAGTACCGGGAGTACCGGGAGTACCAGGAGTACCGAGAGTACCGAGAGTACTGGGAGTACCGGAAGTACCGGGAGTACCAGGAGTACCAGGAGAACCGTGAGTACCGGAAATACTGAGAGTACCGAGAGTACCGTGAGTATCAGGAGTACCGGGATTACTGGGAGTACCGAGAGTACCATGAGAACCGGGAGTACCAGGAGAACGGGAGTACCGAGAGTACCGGGAGTACCGTGAGTACCGGAAGTACCGTGAATACCGAGAGCACCGAGAGTATCAGGAGTACCGGGAGTACTGGGAGTACTGTGTGTATCGGAAACACCAAGAGTACCAGGAGTACCGTGAGGACCGGAAATACTAAGAGTACCGAGAGTACCAGGAGTATCGAGAGTACCGTGAGTACCGAGAGCACCGAGAGTACCGAGAGTAGCGTGAGTACCGAGAGTACCGAGAGTACCGTGAGTACCCGGAGTACCGGGAGTACCGAGAGTACCGTGAGTTCCAAGAGTACCGAGAGTACGGGGAGTACCGAGAGTACCGAGAGTACCGTGACAATCGAGAGTACCGTGACAACCGAGAGTACCGTGAGTATCGAGAGAACCGGGAGTACCGAGAGTACCGAGAGTACCGAGAGTTCCGAGAGTACCGAGAGTACGGAGAGTACTGTGAGTACCGGGAGTACCGAGAGTACTGAGAGTATCGAGAGAACCGGGAGTACCGAGAGTACCGAGAGTACCGAGAGTACGGAGAGTACCGGGAGTACCGAGAGTACCGTGAGTACCGAGAGCACCGAGAGTACCGAGAGTCCTGAGAGTACCGAGCGTACCGAGAGTACTGGGAGTACAGAGAGAACCGAGAGTACCGGGAGTACCGAGAGTACCGAGAGTCCTGAGAGTACCGAGCGTACCAAGAGTACCGGGAGTACAGAGAGAACCGGGAGTACCAGGAGAACCGGGAGTACCGGGAGTACCGTGAATACCGAGAGTACCGGGAGTACCGACAGGAGTACCGGGAGTACCGGGAGAACCGTGAGTACCGGAAATACGGAAAGTACCGAGAGTACCGTGAGTACCAGGAGTATCAGAAATCTCAGGCCTTCAGCTCCCTTCACTTCCATCCACTCAAGGAACACATGGGGTTGAAGCCCCACACTCTTGGCACTCTAGCTCACCTTGGCTTTAAGGGGTTTCGATTTCCCAGGGCAGAATTCTGGAAAGACTCCAACCCCCTTGGGTCAGAGGAGGGAGCAAGGAGAGGGAGTGGCAGACGAGGGGGTGAAAGCTCCAAGGCGACGTGAGGGCAAGGCACAGGAGGAGGGGGGGGGTGAATTCCCAAGGTAAGGCGATTGAGAGACAAGAGAGGGGGGATGAAACTCCTAGGTTAAGGAGAACTGACGGCAGAGGAAGGGGTTTCCCCCGCCCCCTGCTCGCCCGAACCGGAGGGTTTTAACCCCCCTCTCCCCCCCTGCCCCTCGCCAGCCTTACCCTGGACGTTCCAACCCCCCTCCCTGCCTCGCTCCCACCCCGCCATGGGCACTCCACCGCCCCTCCTTTGCCTCTCACTCAACTGACTCCTGTCTTGGGGGGTTTCAGTCCCCCTTTGCCTCTCTCTCTCACTCACCTTACTTCAGCGGGGTTTCAGCCCCCTTGTCCTTCACTCCCTCTCACTAAACTTACACTGGTGGTCGCAGACGCCTCCACTGTTCCTCACCGGGGTTTCAGGCACCTTACTCCTCCCCCTCTCACTCAACTTACAGTGGCGGTTGGTTTCCGACGCCTCCATTGCCCATCACTCAACTCACCCTGGGGGGTTTCAGCCCCCCCTTATCCCCTCCCCAGTCAACTTACCCTGGGGGGTTTCAGCCCCCTTTCTCCTCCCCCTCTCACTCAACTTACAGTAGTGGTTGCGAATGCCTCCATTGCCCACCACTCAACTTACCCTGGGGGGTTTCAGCCCCCCCTTCTCCCCTTCCCACTCAACTTACCCATGGGGTTTCAGCCCCTTTTCTCCTCCCCCTCTCCCTCAACATACAGTGGTGGTTGGTTGCAGACGCCTCCATTGCCCATCACTCAACTTACCCTGGGGGTGAGCTGCAGACCACCCAACTTCCCCCATCTCACTCACCTCACTATGGAGATTGCAGGCCCCCTCGGCATTGCCCATCACACAGCTTACCCTGGGGGAATCAGTTCCAGCCAACTCACCACTGACCACCACCATTCCCGCTTATTCCCAGCCCAAACTTCCCCTCCCTTTTCCAACTTCCCCTCCCTTTTCCAACTTCCCCTCCCTTTTCCAACTTCCCCTCCCTTTTCCAACTTCCCCTCCCTGTCCCCAACTTCCCCTCCCTTTTCCAACTTCCCCTCCCTTTTCCAACTTCCCCTCCCTTTTCCAACTTCCCCTCCCTTTTCCAACTTCCCCTCCCTTCCCCAACTTCCCCCCCACCCCCCCCATTCCCCCTCCGAGCACTAGGAGCAGAATGCAACCCACTCCCCTTCGGAAACAGCACCCCCCAGTGGCGGTGGAAAGTGCACGGGCGGCCCAAGTCTCAAATCCCACTTACGAAAGCGTCGTAGGAGGGGACTCCCAACCAGAGCCGGCGCGCACGGCTCTGACCGGTTCCATTATACGATACGCCAGTATTGTTACTTGAGCACCGACTGCCGTGCCACGCACTTTCCACTGACCACCACCCGAACAACAAGGCAGGAACCACAGAGGGTGCTGCCCGTAAGGGAGTGAGCTGCATGCTTGCTCTTACTGCTCTGGCCTTTCCCCAAACCCCCGCCCCCCCGTTCCCCCCTCCTCCTTAGCTCAACCGCCCTTACCTCCACCTACCATAGCCGAATGGGGCACCATGATGCGAACAGGAGAGAAGCACCTTGGGAGGTTGGGGAAGCACCATGGAGCCAACCAGGTTGCCATGGAGCCAACTCGGTTGCCATGGAGCCAACCGGGTTGCCATGGTGCCAACCGAGTTGCTGGTATTGAGTGGCCATGCTGGTACCTGCTAGAAAGAGAGGGGAGGTGATTGGCCAGCACGAGATAGCAATAGAATGACAAACTGAAAGCAAAAGTGCAACAGACAGTAGCAGAATAGCGCGAGAGGAATCTGAAAAGGAGCTCTAAGGGATGACTGGTGAGCGGCATTCAAAGGGATGGCAAAGAGCGAACCTCCTCTGACTGCTGAAGGACTCCCCTGGGGATGCGCACCCCCCAACGCTCTCCCCCTTTCTGCTGCATGCCCTGCTGCTCCCTGCTAGCACCAGGCGAGCTGGAAGGGAGAATCAAGGGGTGTGGGGAGGGGAGGAAAGTGGGGGGTATCGAGAAGAGGAGTGAGAGCAGGAGGGGAGCAGAAGTTCCAAGGAAGAGAGAAGGCGATGAAGGAAATGCAAATCAACTGAGGGATACTAAGTGAGAGGTGGTGAAGGATAGGGGAAAGCTCACCTTTGGTTGTGGAGTCCGAACCCCTCAATTGATACTCTTCCCTCTCCACCCAACTGCAATGCTGTTTCCAGATAGGACCAGGCGAGCTGCGGGGAGGGGGAGGGGAAGGGGGAGGAGGGGGAGGAGGAGGAGGAGAGGGGGAGGGGGGGGGGGAGAGAATGGGGAGGAGAAGTGAGAGCAGGAGGGAGGGATAACTTGCAATGACGAGATGAGAAGGTGAAAAAAACAGTGTGACGGAAATCTCACCTTCGGTTGCAGATTTCCAGGCCCCCCCAGTACTCTCCCCTCTCCACCTGACTGCGCTGCTGCTTCCAGATAGCACCAGGCGAGCTGCTGAGGAAAGGAGATTGGGGAGGGGAAGGAGAGGAGAGCAGAGGAGTGAGTGCAAGAGGGAGCGAGCGGTGGCAACGAGGAAGACTGGCAGGCGGCAGTTCCGGAGGAACTGGAATGGGCGTTTGAGGGAGCACGCGGTGGGCGAGGCTGGATGAGCGAGGCTGGATGAGCGAGGCTGGGTGCGTGAGCCTGGTGGGAGCGATGATCCCAACACTGCCAAGGCTACCCAAAATCCCAGCAACCATTTCTTTCCCCGCAGCCAACCTCGATCCCGCTGCTTGGGTGGTTTCCAGCCGCGGAATGCGAAATGCAAAACGCGAGGCGGCCAACACGAGCCGCGTAGTTTTTGGTTTGACGGAAAAGACTCGGAAGTACGCGGCAAAAGAACATCAACGGCTTCATAATCGCTAAAATACGAAATACGAGCCTTTCTAGGAGGTTCGACACGGGTTTTGGGAGTCCCGGTGAATTGAATCAGGACACGGAATTGAATTGCTGAGGTGAATGCGATTCGAACCGGCGGACGAACCTACTGTTGGGGTCAATGCGACTCGAAATAGCGGCGGCCATGGCTGGTTGGTTTGGAATAAGAGCCGAGCGGATACAAGGAAGAGCTACTTTTGGAGGGAAAGAGTGGGCTGTGGGAGAACGGCGGCGTACGCGATACAATATCATGAGGTTCGCATGAATATCAACGAAAAGGCCAATTGAATAATGGTATAGTGTATATCGTTACGAGGCGTTTTGTTATCGAAAGGGACTTAGTTGTGGTATAGCCCAAGTAGAGGGGGTGTACGACCCCTCCCAGATTCTGGGTGGTCGGCTGAACCTTGGCTAGAGCATCTGTCTAAGGGCGTGTTCTCCCCCAGTGTCAATATTTTGACATGAAGTTATCGACGTTAAAGATGCTGACACGTCAGGAGAATTGATGAGGTGTAACGCTCGAAACCGTCAGTGCTTTGGGTCAAAATTCTTGACCCTAGGGCCCTAAACATTACGCTTACTGCAGTGTGTATTTGCGACTCTCCTCTCGAATATCGATATTTTCGGTGCCGCTGACGACTGGTAGCCCTGGTTGCTCTCCCCGGGCTTGCTTGCGCCTTCCCCTTCTGACCTTCCCCTCCCTACCAGGGAGAAAACCACTTGGCGGAGTTGACTCCGCAAATGAGCCTCGTTTCAGAACCCCCGCTTGAGAGGCTGAACAAGGAGATGGTTTAGTTCGGTGTAGTCTCCGACGATACGGTACATTGTGGTGAGGCCTGAAACGAGTTGAGCCTTGTCCGCAAAACCAGCACAGTATGCGCTTCAGGTCTGGACTGGGGAAGGATAGGACCTCCATGAGCGGCGGTAATCTTGCAGGTCTAGTTCGAGTGGCGAAATGACATCTGCTGCATTCTAAAATAGGAGTTCCTAGTGTACCGAACTTTCTGTGGCCGTCGATATATCTGATCCATGATCTTCCGCCGTTGTGTGAGTCGTCGTGCCCAATGCACGCCAACCTAGCACCGCTCATTCCAGCCACGGTACTTTCCGTGATCTGAATGCTTCTGCTGTAGAACTAAACAAGAAAATTGCGTTGATAGCACGAGATGTGAGATAGCATCGGCATGAGGACCGCAGCAGCCACCGTCAGGTGGCTTCACCGCACGTTAGGCGGGCGACAGAAAGCTCCAGCTCGAGATCTAAAAAACCTCACTTTAAGCGTCCGCGTTACAGCTCCGGAATCCAAACGAAGACCACTGCGGCTGATCACGGTGTACGCCCTCGGCCTCCTTTTCACGGCTCTGATCGTCATTCCCGATGCAAATCAACGGCTGATGAACCTCAAGAGCTCCTCCTCAGCAGATTCAGGGGAAAGGTTCCCGGGATCCCGGCATCTATCGGTTTCTTCTGCGAAATCTAAAGCGGAAACTGGGAGCAGAAGCAAGAGCAATGAGATTCAGAATAGTGCAAGCGGTGAGGCTGAGGAGCAAGATGCAGGAGACGATCCTCACGATTTTGTCGCCCTGTCCGCGCGACGAACGACGCCTCGCGGACGCGGGAAGGTCGCTGAGAAAGGCAGAATAGCAACACCTGATCAAGAGCAACGCGGTCAAGATACAAGCGGTCAGGAGGAAAGCCAAGCTGGTGCTGCTGAGAATGCAGAAGACAATACGGCGGGAACTGCAGCAGATGTGGCTGAGACGGAGGCTGATTCTGCTGCAGCAGAGGAATCTGATGCTGTGACTGACTTTCCAGAAGCAAGCGAAGAGGAAGGTGAGCCAATTCGCTTGGGAGAACGATTGCCATAATCAGTAATGTATACCAGACAAAGCCAATGCCCAGTTTGTGAGACTAGTAACAGCACGGAAACGAGCGTAGGCTCTTTCTCAAAGAAGAATGGAGAGAATGCGTGCTACTCGGGACGGATTGCCTAAATGTCATCGAGTCAGTACCTGCTGGAACTACTTGACACTCTTCTCTCCCTCAATCTCACCCAATCCACTCCTCCCCCCCACCCTCTCTCTCTCTCTCCTCCCTCCCTCCCCCTTCTCCTTCTCCTCGCTCCCACCTTTCCTCGCATCCCTCCTTCCCCTTCTCCTTCTCCTTCTCCACCCCAATCGCTCTCCCTCTTTCTATTGCGCCATTCCCCTTCGCCCCTTTCCCAAGCAGTAGCCCGGGCCAAACCTGTCGTCCTTGCATCTCCTCCTCCCCAACCTAAGCCCCCACCGAAAAAGCCCCCACGCCCTCCAAATCCTAAGGACTTCCTCCTCACATTCAAACCGATTACTCCCACCCCACCCAAGACGTGGCCTGACAACATCATTCTCACCCTAGCCACGGGAGAAGCTTCCAAGAACATGACAATTCTGCTCCAGTCGTTTCAACGGTTTGTGGAGCATGGAGGAAGAGCATGGCTGATCCTGTTCTTTGACCGTGTGCCGCTGTGGTGGTGGCCAATGACTGCTGAGCAGAGGAGAGGAATATACATGCAACAGTATGAGGCACCACGAGCAGGTGAGTGCACTTATTGTGGAGAGATTGCCAATTTTCTGTCGCAACGGTGACTAACCTTTTTTTGTATTGGTCCAGCTATTGACTAATTCCCTTTATCCTGTCTTTCCAGGGAATTGGAGTCATGCACCTGCCACCAACATCCGATACCTAGTGTTTAAAAAGTTCCTACACGAATTGGGCTCGTCATTTGAGGGAAACGTGGCCCTTTCGGATGCTCATGATATCCTCTTCCTCCGTGACCCTTTCCCTGCCAAGGAGGCCAAAGACATGTTCTTACGCTTTATCACGGTAAGTGAATGTCTATTTCTATTTCGTCCTTGGATCCGCATGTTGCATAATGTGTTGGTTGATTCCAGTCATTGGATAACACTTCACCTCTCATCTCACTGTTTTTTTATTACAGGAAGCTTCTCAGTACCCTAGGCATGGAACCAAGGCATTATCTCTGCAACACAAGCAGCTATTGGCTTGCTTTTCGCGAAAGGAAGCTTTCTCACTGGGAGGAATGCGTGTTATCAACCCTGGCTTCATTTATGGACCGGCTTTGCACATGCGGCAGCTGCTGACACTGATAGTGGCTGTGTTCCAGCAGGCTCCTCGAGTGTGTATGAGGTGGGAAAAGAGTGATCAGGCAGTCATCAACCAGCTAGTACGAGCAGGTAAGCTCCCTCATGAAGTGAGTGCTGGCGAAAGCTTCGTTGCATGCCAAAGGCTGTAGCTAATCTTCATCAGGACTGTCGCTTGCAGGGATGCTGAAAAGAATGCCGCAAATAAAGGTGCAAGACATGGAGCGTGCAAGTATCCTCCACCGGTTTGGTCCAGATGATAAGTACATCATCGGTGACAAGAAGAAGGTGCTGAATGAACACGGGGGCACTTTGTCGGTCCTACATGGCTTTGATCGGTTTCCAGATACTCGAGTTCTGGCCAACAGAGTGTTGTCCGGGAAGCTTTGAAGAGTCTCTCTTTTTCTGGCTGTTATGGGCCTGTATGCGGCAGCGTCAATTGGGAGAGTAAACTTTCACACAGAGCACTATGGTACAGGAAACGAAATCACCTGAGGGTGGTTAGGGTCCCAATAGTATCGTTAGCCACAGCAGCCTGATGTAGCTGCATTTCCATCCCCAATAATGATGGAAGTTCCCTCCCCAGGCCCAGCAGGACCCGAGTCTTCTTGGCTAAGCGCCTTCTTGCTCACAATCCGATAGATTTCAGTCAGGATTTTATGAAACGCGTTCTCCACATTTGTTGACTCCAATGCAGATGTCTCAATAAAAGATATTCCTTCTTTCTCTGCAACGAACGACTCAGAGGTCAGTACGATTTCGCAAGCGGTCAAGCAGCTGCAATAGAAGCAAGAAGGTTGGAGAGCGCACTCACCAGCAAAAGAGTGCGCATCTTCTGTAGTCACTGCTCTCAAGTGTCTCAAGTCAGACTTGTTGCCAACTAGCATGATCACAATGTTCGAGTCTGCGTGGTCTCGTAATTCCTTCAGCCATCTTTCAACGTTCTCGTACGTCACATGCTTCGTGATGTCATATACAAGCAGGCAACCGACAGCGCCTCGATAATAAGCGCTTGTGATGGCGCGATATCTCTCTTGCCCTGCCGTATCCCAGATCTGCGCCTTGATTGTCTTCCCGTCAACCTGGGGAAAAGGAATTTTCTTAGTAGCTTGTCATCAAAGACGCTATGCAGAACAACGCTGCAATGACTCGGCCTACCTGAATGCTTCGTGTCGCGAACTCAACTCCGATAGTCGACTTCGACTCCAGGCAAAACTCATTGCGGGTAAACCTAGAGAGCAGATTAGACTTTCCCACTCCAGAATCTCCAATTAGGACTACTTTGAATAAATAATCGTACTCGTCATTCTGAGCCATTCTGGTCTCGCTTGAGTGGGAAAAACGTAAGCTATCTGAAAGATAGTAAGGAAATGCAGCTTCAGCACCGCATATGAGACTCCGTTTCGTATGAAGGACAGAGTTGGCAGTCAGAACTATCTACAGGATGTCATGGAATCATGTCGTCAATACCTAGGAAAGGTGGGTTGAAGACTGGCTTGGCTAAGGCTGAGACGGGCTTTATTTAGGGTGGAACTATGGTCTCAGCAAAGAGCTCTGTTCAGACGGGGAACGAAGGAAGAGAAGAAAAATATTCGTGTAGCCCTGACACTTGAGCCTTGTCATGGAAGAGCAAAATGACCCTTGATTCGTGTCCGTTGACTGTTCGCTGACGAGAATGCCCGATGAACGGCACACAGGAGGTTCTGGCGCCACTCAGCCCAGAAATCACAAACCGTGTCGCATGGTGATTCAACCACCTGACCCTCTGTCTCAAAATCTACGGGGGGCAGCCAGCACATCGCATATGATTGGCTTACTTCGTTGCAAAACAGCCCAGAAAATCCCGCGGGGGGATGAAATGTGCGATGCGGTGAAAACCACAAGGTGGGGTTGGGAAACCAATTCGCAGGGCATCACACGAGTTGGGTTGGATTGGAGGGGAGGGAGCTTTAAGGCTCACTGAAGGGCGTGTCTGAAGAGTACGTTTTCGCTCAATACCTTACCCAACCGTAGTAGACTGCTATTTTATCCTTCTGACCCAGAGGGCACCTTACCCAACCGCAATCAGACATACTCATCGTACTCTTCCAACACAGCCTCACAGGCAATAATAAACAACATTTGGCTGGCCATAGCCAGGCAGAGCAAGCTTCATTTCGATCAGGAAAACGCGGGTGTCGGTTGTAACTTGTACCTCGCTGACGCGGCCGTTGGCGCCTTGATCATCCTATAGCTCTGTCTCGGCCGTCAGCATTTCCACTCCAACCTGCCCCATTCCTCGCGCCCTTTCGCCTCTCCCCATCAAGCTCGCTGGTTAGCAGGGAGTGTGCTCGGAGCAAAAGCAACGACCAAGAACGGCCTTCCCCATATATTCTCGTCCTGACACATTTCCGACCCAGATATTCCCAGCTTCCTGTTCGTCCGCCTTTCGGAAAATGTCGGTACAACGCGCGCCCAATCTCACCTTTCTTCCAGGCTGTGACTGGAACCTTGACGCAGTATTTGCACGTTAGTCAGTGAACCTTTTCGCAGCTAACACCTCGATCAGTCGCGACGAATAGCTTCCGTTCGCACATTTCTTCTCTTTTCAGTCGTTAGTTGTTCTGGGCTTTGTATTTCAACCTTCTAACATGCCGATTCAGGAACAGTTCTAAACTTCGTTGCTGCGTTCTCCGCGACGGTGTCTGTACCAGTCCGGTAGCTAGAATGACAGAGTTCTTTACCGGTTTTCCGTCTGAACCATGGCTTCCGTCGTCTTTAATCATAGCCATCGTCCTTGATCAGTGGATTCCAGTCATCGCAATTACTGCATAAGTTTACACGTCTGGCACGTCTAGAGTTCAGCTAGTAGCTCCCACGAGCCTCGGATAGTTTTCCGTCCCGCCGTTTCGCCCATCGGCTTACGAGATTCTACTCATGGCACGTGCAACGCTTCGAAATTCAAACATAGCAGTAACAGTACTCGCCGTGGTCCTTCTCCTTTCCACCTCCATCATCTGTGCGTCGTCAGAAAATGTCTCGTCGCCTTCATCCACCTTCACACTGAAGCCTGATGGGCTATCTTGCGAAAAAGGAACACTAGTAGGAGGAGTCTCAACAGAGGAGGACCGAATTCAACATGGAGATAAGCTCTTCAGGCAAGAAGACATGCTGACTTTCGCCGCTGTGAGTAGAAGAGCGGAAGGTGTGAAAATAGCAGGCAACCAGCGGCAGACGGTAGTACAGCCGGCGACCAGAAATGGAGTAGCGAACCACGTCGTTCGCACACTAATCGAGCTGGCTCGTGGCTCGTTCACTCTCATCCGTCGCCGACTGCAATCACTTCAACCCAGCCGTCTGGTTCAGACTCTGGTTGCTGGCGTCGGTTCACCACGCGTCACTCCTCTGACCCCGTCCTCCCCCCTCCTCCCTTCGCCAAGTGTCCCTTTCACGTCAGCTGCCGCAACTGCCGCTGCTACGGCCGCTGCTACCGCCTTTGACGCAGGAGCCGGGTTCAAGCAGGGGCCCCTGCCCCCATGGTCCACGGCGCGCAACACCCCTGCCAATGCAACATCACCCCCCAGCTCACCACGGGGGGCTCCAAAAGCTCCTCCCTCCAAACCTTCCACCGGCGCTGCCTCCAGTGCAACCACCCAGTCGCCCCCAGGGCGCCCCCTCCCTGATTCAGCGGCATCAGAGGCCACCGCCTCGTCGTCCCTTCCCTTCCTTGCCGGCGCCGTGAACGCCTTCAAAACGTCCAAGTCCGCAGCGAAGTCCCCGGCAAAGTCCCCAGCGAAGTCCCCGGCAAAGTCCCCAGCGAAGTCCCCGGCCGCACTGAAACCAACTCCGCCTCTTCCTGCTTCTCCCTCGCCAGCAAAGCCAACGAGTCCAGCAGCGGATTCAGGTGGTGTCAGCAGCAGCCCGCCGTCAGGCTCGCGGGATGGTGATCCCGACGATGATTATGGCGGCAGTGTCTCTGAGGTCAGCGGAGGGAACGGCACCAGTCTGCCTAGTGCCAGCAGCCCTTCCGGCCCACTCAATTCTAGTGCGGCCAGTCCGCCAAAAGTGGTGAACCCACCTAAGAGCCCACTGAAGAGCCCAACGAAGAGCCCAAAGAAGAGCCCACCTAAAACCCCACTTAAGAGCCCACCAAAGAGCCCACTTAAGAGCCCACCTAAAAGTCCGCCTAAAAGTCTGCCTAACCCTGTCCCCAAGCCTCCCTCCAAATCCCCCTCGTCCCCCCCAAAACCGTCGGCCAATACTACATCCCCGCCCGCTGCTGCTGCTCCTCCTGACACTCCTTCCCCCCCTCCCCCGTCAACCTCGGCCAAGCCATCAAAATCACCCAACCTCCCCAGCCCACCTCCTCCAAAGCCCACATCTACCACCACCAAACCACCCAAAAGCTCTCCACCGCTCAAAAGCCCTCCGCCGCCCTCCAAGAGCCCTCCTCCTCCCACTCCTTCACCATCCCCTTCCCCTCCCAAACCCCAGAAGTCTCCTCCTCCTCCAAAGTCCCCCCTTCCTCCAAAATCTCCACCACCTCTCAAGCCTCTGAAATCTCCCCCACCACCTAAGCCAGTGAAGTCCCCTCCTCCCACCAAACCCGCCAAACCTGTCAGCCCCCCTCCCCTCTCCCCTCCGCCCCCTTCCGCCAAACCCACTCCTGTACAGAACCCTCCCCCTCCCCCGCCTAAGGGGGAAGGGGGAAATCCGCCAGGGGGGGTGGAGGCGGAGGAGGAGGATGGGGACAGAGAAGGGGCCTGGACCTGGTATGACTTGCCTCCTGCTGTGGCATGGACCAGTAAGCCGGTGCCACCTGGCACCGGCGGTGTGTATGACGTCAGGAGCTTTGGCGCCAAGGGTGATGGGAAGAGCGACGATGGGAGGGCGATTGAAGCAGCATTTGCTGCAGCATGTGTAGCTTCCATCAACAGCAGCACAGCAGCTGGGGCAGGAGGAGGAAAAGGGACAGGGACCACTGGCGTGCCAACGGTGCTGATTCCGGGTAAATACACCTTCCACATCAAGGCAGTTTCTCTCCTTGGCCCCTGCGGTCCAGGCATCAACGTGCAGCTGGACGGCAACATCACAGTGCCTCAGAACCCGTCCCTCCACATCGTTCCCAAGGCCGGCCCTTTCACCATAATGTACTTTAAGGGAATTACCGGGCTCAAGGTGTATGGGAGCGGGGTGGTGGACGGGAGGGGGCAGCAGTTCTGGGAGCGGAAGGGCAAGGGGGATCGGCCCATGATGCTGTACTTCTTCCGCTGCAACCAGACTGTGCTGAGTGGCATCACTCTTAAGTAAGCATGCATGCGCTCCTACTGGAGCTGAGCCATCCTTTAGTGTATCCAGCTACGCTTATCTGTTCCCTAGTCTCTCTCCTCTTGGTGCTGCCTTCAACACCAAGCCAAGAGCATGGCTGCATGAATTCCCGCTTTAATTCAGGGCGAAATTTATCCCAGCCACCCTTCTCCTTCCCATCCACCCTCCCCCCCATATCCCAGGAACGCGGCGTTCTTCCATGTGCAGGTGTTCCGGTGCGCCAACATGCGCATCTTTGACTTCAGGACCGACTCGCCTGCCGACAGCATGAACACGGACGGCATCCACATCTCCTCCTCCCTCAACATCGACATCCGCCGCTGCGTGCTCGCGGGGGGCGATGACAACGTGTCCATTTGGGACGGCGCTGTGGGCGTGACTGTATCGAATGTCACGTGCCTCACAGGCCACGGCATCTCGTAAGGGGGGGGGAGGGGTGACTAAATTGAATGTGGTGTGCCTCACAGCCTTTGGCCCTCATTGCATCACTCTTTGTGTGGCAATGGTGTCACCTTTCCCCTCACCTCACTCCCCTCCTTTCCTCTTCCCCTTGTTGCCTCGTTCCAGCATTGGAGCCCTTGGAAGCGGCACCGTGTATCCCGTTTCATGCGTGTCCGACATTTCGGTGAAGGACGTGCGCTTCATCAACACCAAGATCGGGCTGCGCATCAAGACGTTCCAAGGCGGGTCTGGGAAGGCCACCAACATCATCTACGACGGAATAACCATGGAGAACGTGCGATATCCAATAGTTCTAGATCAGGTGGGTGGCCCATTCCCCTCAATTCCCTTCTCTCCCTCCCCTGCCAGTTGTCACTTCGTCCCCTGTGGAACTTCGACTCTGAATTCCCCTTTCTAGGCTCATCCAGTTGTGTCTCCTTGCTCTCGCTTGTCTCCTCCCTCCCCCCCCCCCCCCCCCCACAGTTCTACTGTGGAGGCAGCCTCTATTGTTATGGCGATGTGAAAACTAGCAACGTTGCCATCACTAATGTAACATTCTCTAACATCCAGGGCACGACTTTGGGACCTGAAGGGATCATCTTTAGGTGCAGCCGGACTGTGCCCTGCACTGACGTATTAATGGACGCAGTTAACATAACTTCCCCTAACCCTGGTGCGTTGTTTCCAACGTCCCTCAATGTATACGGGACTGGCGGTCTGCACCAGTCAATGCCGCCTGTGGTGTTGGGATCCCTGCCTGGGATCACTGAGATAGCACGAATACAACGCCAACTAGCGTCTTGTGTGGGTGTAACTGACTGGTAGACTCTGTAAAGAGACATCCGTGCCACTAACCACGAGCGATGTATAGGCACATAAGTTTAACCAAATACAGTGTCACTATTGGAACGTTGCAAATAATGGAAGAGCTGACATGAATCGCATGTGAACAAATTTATTACGTAGCGCGGCAATTTGGGTGTCTACATCTAAAATGCAAGGCTCGACATTCCCGCTCCCAACCAAGGCTTTCCTGAAAGATTATACTACCAGGGAGCCCGCTTGTTATCATTTACCAAGTTTTTTCATAATATTACTGGGGCCTCGGGAAGAGCGGAGGGAAAAAGAGGAAGTTTGTTTTGGCGTTCTAGCGTTAATATACCGAGTATCTTACAACCCCAAATTCACTGTTCGTTTTGGTGTTATTTGGCTGTAATTCCATATCGAGGGTTACGGCGCCTCTTCGCTATTATCTCCATCACATTGAGCGGCTTGACGCCTAGGGTTTGGTATTTCAACTCACCATTTTCCCTCATTTCAAAGTACCACAAGCTGTGATTCTTCCTCTGCCGTTTTCTCCAGCCAGCTGCTGGTTCTGAGAGCCCCTGAGAGAGCCCACTCCTTCCAGCTTCAAGCCACGACTTGCTGCTTCGGTGGTCTGCTCAACTGGATCTACGGCAATCCACTTTGCTGGAGGCGAGCCTGCCGCCAGAAGCGCGTGGATGCTCTCTCCATCTCTCTCTTTTACGGTTTCGTGAATACCGGAGACGTTCGCGGCTACTAGGCCGTGGCTTCACGCGGCTTCAGATCGATGACTTCAAGAGAGAAAGGCCTTTCTTCCTTTTAAGGAAGCAAGCTTGGCCATAACATGTACGATTACACCGTCCTATTTCCTCGTTCGTTCTTTCTTTCCGTAAGAGTATTTTATAGTTCGCCTTCTACTTTTCATAACGGGTGTGTCGTTTTGCTTTTGTGTTACAGAGAAGATGACACCAGCCGCCGTCAATCCGCATCGAAAGAACGACCACGTGTTTTCACTAGGAGACCGCGCCAAGAAAAGGCGTCTGCCAAACGGCCACGCGTACGAAGCCGTTCCCTTAGATCCTGACGTCTTCGACATCGACGGCGAGATCATGTACGAATCAGACGGGAAGAAGCGGAAAAATTTTGCACCTAACGGCGGGAGACGAGATTTCCCTGGGTCCGGCGTTTCTAAGATGGAGGCCGACTGCACGGGTCCGAACGACACTGGTCGGAAGCGCAAGGCTTTGACGGAAATTATCCACCGCGACGGCTTAGGGAACGATCCGGAAGCCGTGCGTTCAGTTCTTTCTAGGAGCGAGAGGACATCTCTTAGGCGACAGATTAGTACGGATTTACATTCGTCGCTGGCTTTAGGACGGAGAGTAGACGCGCGGGAGATTAGATTGAGGCAGGAACCGCAGGTCATATTGAGTGACTCGCTCGGGGATCGGAGGGTTCGCAGATCGGAAAACGGCGGAGCCACGGAGCTGTCGTCCGCTGGACAACCGGTCGACGGGGGCTTTGGGGAAACAGCACAGAGCGGTGGTCCCGCGGCGCTGGGAGCGACCCCGCAACCGCACCACCGGAAGCGAGCGGCTGCTGGCGGGGAGAGAGCAGCAGGCGGGAAGGAGAAGCGGACGCCGAAGGCGAATACGACGTACATACATCCTGACTTTTTGTCCGCGGCTGACAAGCTACCGCCGCCGGAGAAGCCGAAATCGAAGACGCCGAGCCAGAAGAAGGGTGCGGGGAAGGGAGTAGAACAGAAAGATCCGCGTAGGCAGAAGGTCGAGGCTGCGCGGGGGAAGCGGATGGCGGATGTCTTCCGCATGTGCGCGACGCTGCTGAAGCGGATCATGGCGCACAAGTTCTCGTGGGTTTTCAATGTCCCAGTCGACGCGGAGAAGCTCGGGTTACACGATTACCACACTGTCATCAAGAAGCCGATGGATCTGGGTACGATTAATTCGCGAATGAAGGCGTCGAGTTACCAGCACCCAGACGAGTTCCACAGCGATGTGCTGCTCGTCTGGTCCAACGCCATGACTTACAACGGGGAGGGCAATGACGTGTATTTCATGGCGTCGGAGCTGAAGAAGATCTTCGAGCAAGGGTACCAAAAGGTTCAGCAGAAGCTGGACGAGGACGCGGCGAAGCGGCGGGAGGAGGACGAACTGCTGGCAGCGGGAGGGGGCCTCCCGGAGCCCAGGGACAAGTCGGAAGTGCTCGAGCTGGAGAAGCGGCTGCAGAAACTAGAATCGCAGCTCGTGGCGAGTACCAAGGCTCAGCAGCAGCAAGGGAAGGCTAAGGGAGGGCAGGCTAAGCCGCGAGTTGCCGATGCGAAGAAGAGGGAGATGACGTTTGCAGAGAAGCAGAAGCTGAGCGTTAACCTTGGGAAGCTTCCTCCGGAGAAGTTGGATCGGATTGTGCAGATCATATCGGAGCGCAACCCGGATCTGAGCCAGAACGCGGATGAGATCGAGCTGGACATCGACTCGCTGGACAGCGAGACGCTGTGGGAGCTGGAGAGATACGTGAGCAACTGCATGAAGAGCAAGAGCAAGCGCAAGAAGATCCCCCTCTATGACACTGTGCAGCCGAAGGTGAGAAGTTTGATCGTGGCTTGCTCCTTGCTTCCCAATTTCTTCTTAGCTCCGCATTTTCTCTCCTGACAACTTTGATGTGCGGACTGACATTGCTTGCCTGCTCACGTGTTGCCATTGCCAGGGCGTGGATGCATTTCCAGCAAGCTCAGCGGGAGACCTTAAAGGTTAGTGTGGTGCTAAGTTTTGTTCGTGTCTGCCGCCACGCAATCCTTCTCCTTTCAGAGCAGTAACATGTCACATGCTCACTCTCCTTCGCTGATATTCCTCACTTGGCCGTGCAGAAGGAGAGGACAGCATTGACATTGGGGACGAAGGGCCTTTGCCTGCACAGCCAGCCGCTCCCTCCAGAGCAGAGCCTTCAAGGGCGTCAGCAGGGAACGGAGCTCAGGGTGGAGGGGCTGCCTCTGACTCATCTGGGTCATCAGGCTCAAGCGATGACAGCTCCTCAAGTGGTACGTGGGATGCCTGCGACGTTGGGATTAGAGACATGCTGCTGCTGCTGCTTTGGGGATTCCTCCGTTTTTAGATGGCTAACTCTTTGCATGTGCTTGTGTGTGCTACATTGACAGATAGTGACTCTGGGAGTGATTCTTCCAGCAGTGACTCTGATGAAATCCAGTCACGGGATGCTGGCTCAGAGGCCTCGCCTGACAAGGTTGGTGCAGCACAACGTTTATTGCTGGTTTGCACCTTTGTCCCCAGTTCGCTGATTTTGGATCTTCTAATTCTCGCTTTGCTGCTCTTTGCAGAATTGGTAGCTCCTCCCTCTTGCTGGCCCATGAACCCGAGGCAGTGCCACTTGACAGGTTTTAGATGGATCAGTTGTTATCCATAACACAGTAGAAGGGTAAGCTTCCGCGTATGCAGCTCACCTCAATAGTTCCCCATTGAAGTATTGAAGCCTAATCTGTAGTTTCAAATCTGCGGTTGCAGGTTGTTGTTGTGACAGGCCTGTATACTGGTACATAGCAGCGCGAGTACATCTTGGCTCTTGAGTAGCATATTCAATTAATTAACTTGAGTTGTGAAGGATTATGTACCCTTGCTAATGCTAACAAGCTTTTTTTTGCAAAAAGCTCCTTTCACAGTCCGGAAGGTGTAGGCTACAGAATATTTCACGTCTGGTAGGTTCAGAACGCCTAGTGACGCCAATTCCAAGGTCCACGCATCTCGCCACTGCGTGTGTGCTTGCTTGCGCCACACGTCGCTCGCGGAACCCCCTCTCTCCTCTCCACTCCACCACTTCTTTCCCCCGCCTCCCCCGAGCACAATTCCGATGGACCTAGGGTTTCAACTTTCAAGCCGTGCCATCAGCTAGCTCCTAGGTTCCTGCCTGCCATGGAGGATTAGGTACTGTAAAACTACCACGCTACTATCTAGCGGTTTAGAACGTCCTTTTCTTGTCGTCCTCTACGATTTTTTGATTTGTGGAGAAAGCTGCATTTTCTCATACGTCGGATCTGATGTTTTTGAACTGAAGGAAACAGCGCCGGGAAACAAGGTACTGGGTGCATGTTGAGCCGTATATTCTTTGTCCACGCACGCTGCTCAACAGAACGAAGCGAAAGTGATTTTTTTTTGGTCGTTTTAGGGTTTGGATCTTAATTATTCATTGCGTATGCCACGGATAAGTTCCGAGATGTCGCACAGCTTTCTTGACGAAATTATATGATGGCAGCGGTATTCGAGGTTAGGTACTTGTTTAACTTGGCTAGCTTGTTTCTACTCGTATGCAACATGGCAGGTGTGTAAACCATGACTTCCTCTGGTTCATGTTACTCACGATGAATTGCAGTTGCCAAGTCTGGCACTTCCCTTCCGCAATCCACGTGGCCTTGTCCTCGCATGGAAAGAGGTGCAAAGGTGCGTGTTCCCTGCCTATTGCTGTCTATCTTTCTCAATTCCCTATCCTTTCTTCGCGAGTTGCTCAGCTTCGTGTTCTTATCTTCCCCCGACAATCACCTTTCCCTCGCAACAGGGAGAAATGGCGCCATCAGCTCTCGAGCCTCGCAGGCGGAACGAGGTCATCATAACCAGGGAGGAGGCCATGAAGCGGCGAGTGCGCAAGGGGTACGCGTTCGAGCCCGTGCCAGTAGATCCGGCAGCCGACTTAAACAAGGGGCTAAAAAAGCTAGATGATGTAGATAGTCGCAGGCGAAGATCCACGGGAAGCAGCTTCAGTGCTATTAAGTCTTCAGCAGAAGCACCGCCTGTCGCCGATTTCCCAGCAGCAGCAGTTCCGGGTGGCGATCAGCCGAGCCTATCAGAAGGCTGTGGAGTTTCTCACAAGCGGAAAGCTACCGCTTCCGACGGCGAAGCTCATAGGGTCCATGGGGTCCATGGGGTGGATGATGCCATGGCGGAGGGTAGGATAGGCAGCAGAGAGAACAGCCGCGATGGAGGCAAAAGCCCGGGCTCTGCTGGGTGGACACGTGGCGAAAGGCGAGGCCTTCGGAGAAAGTTCCGAGATGAATTGGAGCAGTTGCAGGGGCTATGCCAGAAAGTGGACGCGAGGGAGGGAGCGTTGAGGCGCGAGGAGCTGGCAGGGAGGGGGGCGGAGAGCAGGAAGCGGATGAAGCGGACGGAAAACGGAACTGTTGCAGCGCACGTGGTGGACGGCGGGTCGATTGAAGAATCGCCGGTCGCAGTGGCTGCTGCTGGTCCGCTCGTTCTCCCACCGGAGGTGCAAGTGAAGGGTCTTGAAACGGAGCCTTCAGGCAAGGATCGGCACACACCCAGGCCCGGCTCGTCCCTGCTAAGCGCTGATTCGTTTCACGCTAAGGAGAAGGTTTCGGCTCCTGAGAAAGGCAAGGGGAAGAAGGTTCCGGGAAAGCTGCCGGAGCTGGACGTTAGAAGGCAGAGAATCGTGGCTGCGAGAGCGAGGCGACTGGGCGATATTTTCAAGCAGTGTGCGACGCTGCTGAAGCGACTGATGTCGCACAAGTACGGGTGGGTGTTCAAAGAGCCTGTCGACGCGGCGAAGCTCGGGTTACACGATTACCACACGGTTATCACGAAGCCGATGGACCTGGGTACGATCAGCGCGCGAATTAAAGCGTCGGGTTACCAGCATCCAGACGAACTGTACAGTGACGTGCAGCTCGTTTGGGCAAATGCCATGCGGTATAACGGGGAAGGCAGTGACGTGTACATCATGGCGGTGGAGTTAAAGGGCCTGTTCGAGCAGGGGTACCGGAAGATCCGACTCAAGGTGGAGGAAGACACCGCGAAACGCAGGCAGGAAGAGCAGGAGCTGGTGGCAGCTGCAGAGGAGGTGAAAGAAACTAAGGTGAATAGGACGGTTAGTGAAGGGCGGGAGAAGCCGGAGGTTCTAGAGCTCGAGAAGCGGCTGCAGAAGCTGGAGTCGCAGTTGCAGGTGGGTGGCCAGGCGATGGGTAAAGCAGCAGCGCAGGCTCAGGCGAAGGGGAAGCTTCCCCAGAGGGACATGACGTTTGCAGAGAAGCAGAAGCTGAGCGTCAATCTGGGGAAGCTTCCGCCAGAGAATCTGGACAGGATTGTGCAGATCATATCGGAGCGCAACCCGGATCTGAGCCAGAACGCGGACGAGATCGAGCTGGACATCGACTCGCTGGACAGCGAGACGCTGTGGGAGCTGGAGAGATACGTGAGCAACTGCATGAAGAGCAAGAGCAAGCGCAAGAAGATCCCCCTCTACGACACTGTCCAGCCGAAGGTGAGAAGCTTACTTTTGAGTCGACTCTAAAGCTGGAGAGATACGTGGGCATCTGCATGAAGTGCACGAGCAAGCGCAGGCGCAAGAAGGCGCTGCTGCACCACAGGCAGGCGGTGGCCCCACCCAAGGTGCGGTTTCTTTGATTCTGTTGGCGTTTGATGCTAGGTTCAGGGGTGTCTCTTGGCTTGTATTCAGGGATGCGGATTGTTATGCGTGCTGACAGCTGTGCTACTGTGTTTTGCATGCGCAGGTCCCAGACGCTCTCCCTGCAGCTTCCCAACAGGAGCCTAAAGGTAAGAACATGGAGCTTCGTGTGGCCAGAACGCTGCTCGACCCAGCACTATTCCTGTTCCAATGCAGCGCTGTGTTCCATCAATGCGCCGTTTTTGAAATTCGTGTGTCCCCCTCCCTCTCCCCCTTATCCACCCTCTTCCCCCCCTCCCCCCCTCTCCTCCCTCCTCCCTTTACCCCTTTCCCCAGAGGGCGATGACAGCGTGGACATAGTGGAGGCGGGTCCCCTCCACGGGGCCGGTGCTGCATCGGCTGCAGACTCGGCAGCACCGAAGCTGCCTGCTGGGAACGGAGTGGGAGGGAGGGGCAGCCCCGGCACCTCGGGGTCATCCAGCTCGAGTGATGAGAGCTCCTCCAGTGGTACGCGAGACATGTCTGAGCCGATCTGTGCTTCTCGTGCACCCCTCTCCCCCTCCCTCCATCGCCTCATGGCGCCCCTCCCCTCCCTCTCCTTCCCCCACCACTCTCCCCCACCCCCCACACGCACACACCCATGTGTGCGCTCACACGCACATTTATTGCATTGTTTCCTACCATCGCCTGCTCTGGCCCCTTCACCATCATCCCTCCCAGATAGCGACTCTGACAGCGACTCATCAGCCAGCGAATCAGATCAGGACAGGCGTTCTGAGCCTGCTCGTGGGAAGGTAACTGACCTGGCTGCGCTTCTAGCTCTCTGCTTGTACTGCCTAGTCTCCCCGTCACGTTTTAGAAGTTGCTAACTGTGTGTTTCGTAAACATTGTGCAGCAGTCTCAGAGCAGGGACAGTGCAAAGGCCAGTGAGGGCAAGTGCACATCTCCCAATGCTGGTAAGCCCGATCTGCACAGCAGGTGCACAGACGTACATGCTTTTGGTGTTTGGTCTTGGTGGTAACAACAGTCTGGGTTTGTATTCAGGATTTGTGAATGTTGAGGACAAAGCCCATGACCAGAGTGGTTCTATTGCATCTGTTGCAGGAGGGGACAGTGCTGCTGCAAGCGAAGGGGCAAAGATGGAGGTGGATAGGAAGCAGATTGAAAAGCCCAAGGAGGTGAAGCCATCCCCCAAAGGTGAGAGGCATGTCGACGTCTATGTGTGGTGGTTTGATGCTACATTTCTATATGTGTAGCAGCAGGCTCATGGCGTCTATTGGGGCTTCCACTCTCTGCAGGTGATGATGAGGCTGCGGTGAAAGCAGCCCTTCTTCGAGGGAAGTATGCTGACATAATTTTGAATGCCCAAAAGAAAGCGACAGAGGTAAGTTGCAGCTCGTAATGTTATTTGCGGTTTCTGCTTGATTGCACTCTTTTTGTGGGGTTTTTGTTTCTCACTCTTCCTGGTCCGGTATTCGGCCTTGCAGACCCAAGCTGTGGACCAGAAGCAGCTGGAAGAGATCGAAAGGAAGCACAAAGAAGGTTCGCATCCAAGTAAGGTTGCGAATTTCCTGGTAGTGTTCCAACGTATGCTAACATTGTCTTGCTTGATGACCCAGAACGAGCTCGCTTGGAAGCTGAAGCCAGGGCAGCCCAGGAGTCTCGCAGGCGAAAAGAAGCAGAGGCTGCGATGGAAGCTCGGAAGAAGCTGGAGGAACAAAGGGAAGCAATGCGCCGTGCACTGCAAGGGGTATGCTCCCTCCCTTCTAGGGTCCTCTTATGTTCATGTGCCAATGTTCTTCCAGGATTCAGTGTATTTATCTGTCCTTCTGGGCCCTGTCCAATGCTGTGTTGCATGGCAAGCAGATGGCAAAGTCCGTGGAGTTGGACGAGAGCCATGCCATCATGAAGGACATGCACCTTCTGAGTGCTCCTGCTGAGCACATCGGCGTTGGTCCTGGCCGCTCCACCGACTTGCCGTTTGGTGGTGATGGTGCAAGAGTTCCGGGCCTTGGCCCTCAACAGGGAATGAATGTGCTAGAGCATTTAGGGCTGTCACTTAGAGATGATGAATCAGATGGAGAAGAGAGTGAAAGTGAAAAGGAGGCTGATGGAAACAACGAAGAGGTGGAAGATGGGGAAATCTGAGAGGCGAGATGATGCTTGCATTGCAACTGCTTGGGACTGTAAGGATTGCAGAACTGTGGATCCTAGTCACAGGAGTGTTGCTTGCATGGTCATGAATATTTTGCAGATGCATGACAGGTCAACCTCAGTTGCAACACACAATCTCAACTTTCACAGCATGACAGTACACACTGACAGGACCAGTGGCAGATCTCGCATGGATCATTCTACACAAAATGCTGCAGAAAGATGAATAAGCTGCTGCTTTGACGAATGAGTATTCCCACGAATTTGCATGAACTAAGGACGGTCTGAACAACACAATGTAAGCAGGTCAGCTGATAGACGGCACAACGGCATAAACACGTAAAAACACGGACAGAGTACCACTCACTGCAAGGAGTAGAATCGTAGACTGGAAAATAGCTGGAAGGTTAACCATTGCAAGCCCACACACCTTGCATCACCTGCAGGCAAAACATTGACAAGGACGATGCACCAGTAACTGTGCAGGGTATGTTGCAGTGACTGGAAATATCCTCACGAACTGCTATAGATACCACACCTGCACAAGCAGACTAGAAATATGTCAGCATACGAGAAGACACAGATGGAGCATGAATGCAAGAACGGTTTTGAGCATGCCACTTGAAGACGAGTGATGCCGAATCGTGCGCACGTCTCTGCGCCGGGTTCTTCGAATAACACGGGCTGCCTTTTGAGTCGACGACAAAATAACACGGAATTAGTCGTCAAGAGGTTATCACACGGTATCGCTTCTGCTGCTGCTGCCATACGTGGCATAAGACTGAGCTTATTATGTTCGTCGCAGAGCATGTCGATGACACAGGGCGGCGTGAAAAAGCGTATCCAAAATGATTCTCGGAGGTCTTGCAGGGAGAAGGTTCTTGTGACGACTCTTCACTCGCGTAGCTTTCCGCGTGACTATCCCGTAAGACCTGCAATAACAATATATCAGTTTACGCACAATGCATGAAGCTGCGTAAACACCAACAACTGTCATTACCTATGTCGGCAAGGCTTACACAAGGGAAGTAGCCATCTCCAAAAACCAACTCGGAATTCAACTGGGATGGAAACAAGCAAGACTGGTGATGGTGACAAGAAAACGGAGCAAGGGAAGGTGGAAAATGTGAGGGGGTCACCAGCCGAAACCCGCCCCAACCACACAGGCGAGTGCGGAAACTGGCGCAGTTGAAGTTGGGGTGGAGCGATACACTTTCGCTGACGTGTCCAAACCCTCGATGCTGTAGTGTTACAGAGTATCGTTTGCGATATGTCTTACGGAAAAGAAATATTCTAGCAATTTCCAATTTCATCCCATTTCCTCGCTACTTTTAGGAGCGTTCACAAGTACTTAGAAATGTTCTCCATTTCTTCAGTTGGAGACTGTTTCCATTGGAAATTAGAATACAGTTCTGCTGCTGTGGTAGTACTGCAACACAGCCATCTCTTTTATCGAAGCCTAGGCTGCCAGTCCAGCAGTGCAAGCCCCGAAAGTCTTGACTGTGTAACGGAATTGCAGGCGAGTTCACTAGCCAGTATCTGCTAAGGCGGATCGTGTTCCGTACTCCGATCGCATCTTACAACCGCGCCTTGCATCTTGCGACATGGACGGTAGCGGAGGGGGTCCTTCTGCCGCGCCTGACGGTGGCAGTGCCTGGCCCAGCGGGTCTAATCGACCCCGTGACGGCCCTTACGGCGGCGGCGGCGTTGGCGGGGTCGGAGATAGTGGGGGGATGGGACAGGGGGGAGCGGGAGGCGCGGGGATGATGGGCATGGGGCCCATGGGGGGGATGGGGAGCATGGGTGGACCGGGCGGATCTGGCGGAATGGGAGGTACGGGCGGGATGGGGGGTCCTGGTTATGGGTTCGACCAGATGTACCAGCAAGGCTACGGCGGGCCCAGCGGTGGCGGCGGCGGGGGCGGTGATTCATCCCGGAAGTGGGGAAAAGGGGAGGGATCCGCGGAAGGTGGCGCGCAGGCTGGATCCGGTCCTGGCATGGGAGGCATGGCCGGGCCTGGATGTATGGGAGGTGCCGGGCCTGGTATGGGCCCTGGAGGTATGGGTGCTGGAGGGATGGGCGCAGGCGTGGGTTTTGGCATGGATGGGGGCGCGCGGGGAGGGGGAGGCGGAGGGGGTTGGGGAATGGGGCCCATGGGGGGGATGGCAGGCATGGGGAACATGGGCGGGAGTATGGGCGCAGGCATGGGGATGGGGATGGGCGGACCGGGCGGAATGGGGATGAACATGGGGTATGGTTCCGGTCCAGGGGGAATGGATGGGCCTGGAGTATGGGGAAGCGCGGGAGGGGGGAGAGGGGGAATGCCAGGCGGCATGGGGGGAGGGGGAGGCGGAGGCGGAGGGGGGGGTGGGGGCGGGGGCGGAGCAGGTGGAGGGAGTGGCGCAGGAGCAGGTTCAGGGGGGAGTGGAGGGGGGGCAGGGATGGGCGCAGCAGGGCCAGAAGCTGGTGGTATACCACCGAGAGGGCCCCATGGCGGGGCAGCAGCGAACCCTCCTGGGCGGGGGGGCATGTTCTACCGCACCAAGATGTGCGTCAAGTTCCGCAACGGCGTGTGCCCCTACGTCACCAACTGCAACTTCGCCCACACGCACGAGGAGCTCCGCCGCCCCCTGCCCAACTGGGGAGGCGACGACGCGGGGCGCAAGGGCGCGGGGGATGGTAGAGGGGCAGCTCGGGGAGGCGAAGGCGGAGGAGGGGGAGCAGGGGGAGGCGGTGGGACTGGTGGGTCTGGCGGTGCGGACAGTTGTGTGGATGGGATGAGAAGGGATGGCCGGCCACCAGAGGTGAGTGCTGAAGAATTCACAGCTCGTACGTATCTCCAGGCATGCAATGATTGCCCTTAGGCACTGGGAGACGAGCCTTGCTGTGTTGAGCCATTCTCCCTTCCCTTGCCTCCCGTTTTCTTCTCTCTCGGCAGCAGCAGCAGCAGCAGCCGCCAGCACAAGGGTCGGAGGCACCAGGGCCCGCCAGCAAGGCAACATCCGGCACTGCTGGCGATGGGGGCAGTGGCGGCGCTGGGAAGGGGGATGCGCCAGGGGAAGGAGCAGGGGGGGGCAGTGGGGCTGCAGCGCCGGATCCTGTGTCTGCAGCAGCTGCTGCTGATGGTGTTGGTGGCAGCGCTGGCGGAGGCGGAGGAGGAGGAGGGGGGAACATGGGCATGGGTGGCATGGGTATGGGTATGGGCGGGGCCGGGGGGGGCGGGATGGGAATGGGGGTGACGGGCAAGCCGCCCAACTGGCGGACGCGCATGTGCCACCGGTGGGAGATGACGGGCAGCTGCCCCTTTGGCGACAAGTGCCACTTCGCCCATGGCGTCCACGGTGCGTGCTCCCCTGCCGCTGGCTGACTCGCACAGCAGAGCCACAAGCAGAGTGGCGTGGGTGGGTGGCACGTGGCTTCAGGCACTGCGATTTCGAGTCAGGCCCTTTGTAGATCGTCCATCCATCCACATCCCCTGTTCGTCTCCCATGTGCCTGTTCTTGCCACATCCCCCTATGCACCCATCCTGTGTTCTGTCCCTCTCCCTTGTCTCCGTCCCCTGTCTGTGTGGCGTACCTCTCCTGTCCCTCTCCTGTCTGACGCCCATGCCCCATGAGCAGAGTTGCAGCGGTACGGCGGCGGGCCCATTGACCCATCCATGCTGCCGCCACCCTACGCAGAGCAGTTCCACCGCATGGGTGCTGCCATGGGGCCCATGGGGGGAATGGGGGGTCCCATTGCGGGAGGTGTCCCCCCTGATTTCCCCCCATATGGCCCCGGTGCTGGGCCGGGTGGTGGCCCTGGCTTCCCTGGTGCGGCTGGGTTGGGTGGGGCAGGGGGCGGGGCAGGAGCACCTCCTTTCCTCCGGCCTCCTCCCCTGGGGTTCATTCCGGGAGGTGGGCCCATGGGTAGAGGAGGGCCGATGCCCGGACCAGGCGGAGTGGGTGCGTTTGCTGATGCTCGTCTGGCTGGGGGGATGGGAGGGGCGTCAGGATCGGTTGCGGGTGGTGGGAGAGGGAGGGGGAGAATGGAGGGTGTGGGCGGGAGAGGAGGGTTGAGTGGAGGGAGGATGCAGAAAGATGGTGTGAGTTTGGTGCATGGGGATTGGGTGGAGGAGGACGAGTGGGAAGGAAAGGAAGGGGAGGAGGAAGAGGGAATGGAGGGGGAGGGTGATGGTGGGAGCTTGCTGGACGACGGGTGTGACGAGCTGTTCGCGTGGGTGTGGCGGAAGGAAATGGAGCATAGCATTGAGAAGGAGAGTGGTTTAGACATCAACTTCGATGACCTTTTGGATGGTGAAGGGGCCTCAAGGTTTTTCTCACTGCCAAAAAGGAAAGCCGCTGTCTTGAGAAAAGGCAAGAGGATGGTTCCTTATTTGCAGAAGGCCAAGTGTACGTTTTAAAGAGTTCGATACAATGTCTGACTCTATTGCATCGTCGCAATCTATCTGCAGCGAATCTCTTCCCACAAATCTTGGCTTGGAACATCCAAGCCTTGTCAGAAGGCACGGCACCTCGACTTGGATGTGCTGGGCTGCAGAAAGTTGGTCTGGTTTGGTAGCTAGGGCCGGTGTTTGCCTCACTTTGCCTACCGCCGAGCCTAGTCTAGCAGCAGAACTTGCATTCTGGGAGCACACTGCTTACAGTCCACCGTATTCCACCCCACCCAACATCGGTCTTTCTCCTCACAGAGAGACCACCCGCCACTGACTGATAGCAGCATCATTCCCCCCCAACCACCCTGGGCGCACCGACGGACCCGAGTCACTCACTAGTCCGCTGTTTGTATCTTGAGTCCTGTCTTGTGCCCTTGACTCGTTTCTTGCTCTGCTCAGACTTGGTTATCGCAAGTCGAGCAGCTTTACGTTGCTCTGACTGCTTTCCGCTGCCTCGTGTGCTCCCATAGTTTCCTCCAGATTTGTCAGTTTTACCAGTACTAGCATTTAAGTCGCTTATAGTTTCATTAGTCCCTTATTTAAAGCTCGCGAGGCATGGATGTCGACGCGGATGGCGAGCAGCCAAGGATAGCTCCTGCGTACACCCCGTGTTCCTTTAATGGCGAGTCGCCTGGCCCTAGATGCGGTCATACGCTCACAGCTGTCGCTGCCGTCGGCGAGCCGGGAAGCGCGAACTACGTGGGTCCTAGGTTGATACTTTTCGGCGGAGCGACGGCTCTCGAAGGCGGAGCAGGCGCTTCTGCAGGCGGCGCTGCAGGCATTCGTAAGACTCGATTTAGTGCTTGCTTCACATCCCAGCAGCAGGTGCTTGCTTAGCAATGTCGTTCTGCCAATCCTGGCAATGCCATCACGGCTTTCCGCGCTCTCGTTTGCTTTCCGTCGCAGAGCTCTCTTTCCTATAGTCGTAAAGCACTACCTCGTTTTCTCCGAAAGTCTTCACAGTTCTTCATTGGTACGCCGTTAGGGTTTGTTCTAAGGCCAATGTTGCATCGCCCGCAGGTCTGGCGGGAGCAACCGCAGATGTTCACTGCTTCGACGTCAAATCCAGAACATGGAGCAAGTACGTACACGCTTGCTCTGCAAATTCCGAAAATGTTTATCGTTCAATCGATAGTAAAAAATACAGACTGGAGAACTCGAACGTCTCCTCGGACACCATTTCCCGAAACATTATCTCCACTCAAGTGGTCTCCCCTTCAACCAGAGAACTTATCGTTTCTCTTAGACATCAAGTCCGCTATGGGAAGGTCTTTTGATAATCTCCTCCCGTCGTGGCCTTCCATTGCAGACCTCAATCGTCGCCATTCAGCGATGTGATGTGATGTGTAGCACGTGCACTCGTTGAGACGCGTCGAAGAAATATAAATAACACTCCCAATCCGTCTGTGTGTTCTCAGAATGTCGCCAGTCGGCGAGCCTCCCTCGCCGCGAGCAGCCCACGCGGCGACAGCTGTGGGGACGATGATCGTCATTCAGGTGTGTTGCTGCGAACAATGGTGAACACTTAGGTAAAATCCGGGTTCAATGGCCCACGTCTAAGAAAGCTTCGGAATCAGCTATCGACACTTTGGGTTGGATCAGTGGCCGGCCGACATTTATGGTGGCTTTTACGAAACTCCCCCCTTTCAGGTTGTCAAGTGCGGGGTCGTGACCCATCTGGCACTGCTGGATCACGTTCGTCTTTCGCCTTAGAAGTAGTTCGCCTGTTTCCCATCCGCATGTGTGCCTCCTTGCCGCGTTTACCACCGTCCTGTTTGCAGGGTGGCATTGGGCCCGCCGGCCTGGCAACGGACGACCTGCACGTCCTCGACCTCACACAAGCGCGCCCCAAATGGCACAGGTGACGGTCACGGCTGTCAACCACTCGCCCCAATCCAACTCGCTTTGGCCAGCTCGCTGTGCATGGCGTTCACTGGCCTCTTTGCGCCTCCATCAACAGTCTCAGTCGCTCACTTCCTCCTCCCTCTTCTCCCCCCTCTGCCTCTACCCTCTCCCTCTCCTGCCCTCCGCCTTTCTGCGTTGCATCTTCTCACCAGGGTGGTGGTGCAGGGCGCGGGTCCAGGGCCGCGCTACGGCCATGTCATGGCGCTCGTGGGGCAGCGCTTCCTGCTCTCCATCAGTGGCAACGACGGTGAGACACATGTTGAATCCGCCTTCTCGTATGCCCACCACCCTCCTTATCCTTACATCTGCACACCACTCTGCACCCCTCTGCACCCCTCTGCACCCCTCTGCATGCATTATCAGCATAGCTGCGCCGTTCACCCGAGCTCTTTCACTATTCCGTTTGCATGCCATCCCTCCTCTTGACTGAGCCGAGCACCTAGCACTCCGGCCAGTCCAACACTGTTGCTCAGGCTAACGGTCTAGCAGCTGGCAGCCTACCATACATTTCCTTCACTGGAAGTGCTGAGCCTGACAGGTACAACCTTCCCGTAACCCTCTCTATTCCATTACTCTGAGCCTCCTGCCCTACCTAATCATCCTCCGCTGCTCTTATCACCGTCCCTGCAGGCAAGCGGCCTCTGGCGGACGTGTGGACTTTGGACACGGCGGCGAAGCCGTACGAGTGGAAGAAGCTGGAGCCCGAGGGCGAGGGCCCTCCGCCCTGCATGTACGCCACCGCCAGCGCACGGCATGACGGGCTGCTGCTGCTATGCGGCGGGCGAGACGGCAGCAGCGTGGTACGCCTCTCTCAGTTCTCCTCGCCGGGATGGCTTTCTTGCTCCTCCGTCTTGCCATCACGCTCCTTTCCCTCCCCGCCTCCCTTCTCGTCCCCCCACCAACTCCTCTCCCTGCCCGTCGCTGGTAGCTCTCTCCCCCGTTTATTGTCTCTCTCTCTCCCTCTCTGCCTCGGTGTCTCCCTGTCTCCCATGTCCCTCGCTCCCGCCTGTTCGTTGTGCCTCACTGTGCTCTCCTCCGCTCTCCCCCCTGCGCCTCTGCAGCCTCTGCCAGGCGCGTATGGCTTGGCGCGGCACCGGGATGGGCGGTGGGAGTGGGCCATCGCCCCTGGCGTGTCTCCCTCGGCGCGCTACCAGCACGCAGCAGTAGGTCCTCCTTGTCCCTCTTGTGGGGTTCAGCCATGCACCCCGTGGCTGTCGTTTCCCCATATCTGCTCCGTACCAGCATGCTGCAGTAAGCCATCCATGCCCTTGTCATTCCATTGCCCCAAATCTGCCCGCCACGCCACTCCGTCCCCCTCTCCCGTCGGTGCCTCTTGTTCTGCCTCGGCCTGTGCCATTCACCCTTCTCCCCTCTCCCCCTCCCCCTCCCTCCGCGCAGGTGTTTGTGAATCTGCGTCTGCACGTGTCTGGGGGAGCTCTGGGAGGCGGCCGCATGGTGGAAGATGCATCCAGTGTGGCGGGTGAGTTGGGGGGGATGTGGGTGCTGCTGGACAGAGCAGTGCGGGCGTGGTGCGACTGCAAGGGCATGGTGGCTTGGGCACTGACGCGCTGTGCGGTGTTGGTTGGACACAGCAGAGGTGGTGTGGTGCAGCCGCAAGAGCACCATGGCCATCACAAGGACGGGCTAACGATGTCAATTTTTGAGGCGCCTAAAAAAAGGTCGGGCTGATGGTTCAGTTGACCAGTAAACTCAATGCCCTCCCCCTTGACCTCCCTCTCCCCCTGCTTCCCCCTACTCCCTGCTCGTCATCGTCTTCCCCTCCTCTCTGCTTGCATGTGCTTGCAGTGTTGGACACGGCAGCGGGCGTGTGGTGCGACCGCAAGGGCACGGTGGCTGTGGCACGGACGGGCCGCTTCAGTGCGGATGCTCCCGGGGGCGATGCGAGCACGGAGCTCACGCGGCGGTGCCGCCACGCCGCTGCTGCCATGGGCAACTCCATCTTCATCTACGGCGGGCTGAGAGGGGGTGAGTGGAGGAGGGGAATGAGCGGGCAGGAATGTGAATGGGGGGGATGCGGAATAGGCAACCCACCGCTGCTGCAATGGGCAGCTCCATCTTCATCTATGGCGGGCTGCGACGGGGTGAGTGGGGGAGAGCGTACGAGGGGGAGAGGCGGGGAGGGCGCGGGGGCGTGGCTCCATCTTCTCCTCTTCCCTGCTCCAGTCCTCCACCCGCTCACCTCCCACCCGCTCACCTCCTCCACCAGGCATCCTGCGGCTCACCCCCACCCCCGCCCTCTCACTCTTTCCCTGCCCTCTCGTCCCCCCCCGCCCACCAGGCATTCTCCTGGACGATCTGCTCATAGCAGACGACTCGCCTCCAGAGCCCCCGCCTCTGCCGCCCCCGTCCGCCAAGCCAGAGGGCGTGGCCAACCGCAGGCCGCCTGTGCCTCCCCGCTCCGGCAGCAAAGGGGGGCGGGGTGAGGGGGCTGGGGCGTCTGCTGCAGCTTCCTCCGGGGATAGGGAGTCCAATGGCGGGGCGCATGCTAGAGACCACCTCAGCAGGTGGGTGCACGTTACAGTGGGGTTGGGAATGCACTCCAAATATAGGTGAGTTCTACTCCATACACCACCTCACCAGGCTTTCAGTTCATTCCGTGGTTTTTGGTTGTCCTCCATCTCCTCTCATGCATTGTGTGGCATTGTGCCCTCTGAGTCCCCCTCACGTCTCCTGCCTCATCTCCCCTCGAACAGGATCAGTCAAGGAGAGCATGCAGTAAGGTGTCCTTTGAATCCATGCACACATCACCTCATTGCCTCTCCTGCTTTCCCTCCCCACCCCCCCTCCCCCACCCACCCCCGACCTTTCCTTCCTCCCCTTTCCCTGTCCCTTTCCACCCCCCCCCCCACCCCCCCCCCCCTCTCCTCCCATTTCCCCACGTTCGCCCCCACGTTCGCCCCTGTCTCACGGCAGTGTGGAGGAGGAGGGCGCAGGGGGGCTGTCGTTTGGCGGCGCGCGCAGCGGCAGCAGCAGCCGGGACGAGGACGACCTGGGGGGCAGCGATGGGGAGGGCGACGCGGACGACAGCAGCAGCGACGGCATCCACCCCAGCACGCCCAGCCTCGCCAGCAGCCACAGCGACGACGGCAGGAGCGAGACGCCCGACTTCAAGGGGGGCGTGCGCCTGCACCACCGAGCTGTGAGTGTCGCCATACCTTTACTCCACCCCCTCCCTCCCACCACCACCACCACCACCACCACCCCTTCCCCTCTCCCATCCCCACCCTTTCCCCCTGTCTGCTCGAATGCTCTGCATTCCCCCCATTGCGCCCCACATTCTTGGCTGTTTACTCAGCAGTATAGATTCTGTCCCTCTCCCTCTCCCCACTCTCTCCTCCCTCTTCTCTCTCACCCCCCTTCTCTCCCCAGGTGGTGGTGTCAGCAGACCCAGGGGGCGGCAGCCTGGGCGGGCTGGTGCGGCAGCTGTCCATCGAGCACTTTGAGAACGAGGGCCGCCGCATCAGCTACAGCCCCGAGGGCGTGCAGGCGCACAGGCGGCTGCTGGACCGCCAGATGTCTATCCAGGGCGTGCACAAGAAGGTGAGGGAGGAATGGGTGGGGGGTGGTTGGTTGGTATGTGCTGGCGTATGCAGGTGGGTGCATAAGAAGGTGAGAACGGCAGGTTGTGGCTGGTACGTGATGCTGTAAGGGGATATGAGCACAGGCGCACAGGCGGCTGCTGGACCGCCAGATGTCCATCCAGGGCGTGCACAAGAAGGTGAGGGAGGAATGGGTGGGGGGGAGGAGGTAGGGAAACGAGAAGGCTGGGGGGAGGGGAGGGGCGGAGGGGGATGAATGACAACGGCAAGTGAAAGCATACTGTTCCCACTGGCACACAGCGGCAGATGTCTAATCAGGGCAGGCACAAGAAGGTGAGAGAAACGAGAAAGCTGGGGGGAGGGGAGGGGAAAAGGGGAGGTGAAGGACATTGGTAAGTGAATGCATTGCCTCTCACATGCTCACCGGCGGCTCTCACATGCATTGCCTCTCAGATGTCTATAGGGGGCGCAGGAGGCTCAGGTGCAACAATGGGGCTGCTTCGTGTTGCAATACGGGGATAGGCACTCACCCTGATCCCCCCCCCACCCAACCCCCCCCCCCCCCCCCCCCGCCCCCCCATATCCCTACCCCATCTCCCCTCCCCCCCCCGCTGCAGGTGCTGCAAACGCTATTGAAGCCGCGGGGGTGGAAGCCGTCGGCGAGTCGGCAGTTCTTTCTGGACGTGCACGGAGTGGTGGAGCTCTGCGACCTCGCTGAGACGCACTTCAAGAACGAGCCGTCCGTGCTGCAGGTGAGAGAACGAACCCCTGTGTCGCAGTGCATGACCCTACCCTCAGTGCTGCACATACGCTGTGAGGGGTTGAGGGTGAGTGATGGACGTGCACGGCGTGGTGGAGCTCTGCGACCTTGCAGAGACGCACTTCAAGAACGAACCGTCCGTGCTGCAGGTGAGTGAACGGACTCCGGTGCTGCATTTATTGTACTGCAGCCGATGTGCTGCAGGTGTCGTTCGTCCCCTCTCATGCACCTGTAGAGCGAGCCCTCCGTGCTGCAGACCGGACAAATTTCTTGTGCCGTCCCTATTTCTCCTCTGACCTGCCTTGTGCCCTTGGCCAACTCCTGGCAGGTGCGTGCCCCAGTGAAGATCTTTGGCGATCTGCACGGGCAGTTTGGCGACCTCATGCGGCTCTTTGACGAGTATGGCTCGCCCTCCACTGCCGGCGACATCGCGTGAGTGCCCTCTGTCTCTCCACCCCCTGTCTCTAGCCAACCACTAGTGCACCCCCACCCTGCTAATGCGACCTCATGCGGCTCTTTGACGAGTACGGCTCGCCCTCCAGTGCCGGTGACATCGCATGAGTGCTCTCTATCTCTTGGACGGAGGTGCTTGGACGGAGGTGCTTGGACGGAGGTGCTTGGACGGACGTGCTTGGACGGACGTGCTTGGACGGACGTGCTTGGACGGACGTGCTTGGACGGACGTGCTTGGACGGACGTGCTTGGACGGACGTGCTTGGACGGACGTGCTTGGACGGACGTGCTTGGACGGACGTGCTTGGACGGACGTGCTTGGACGGACGTGCTTGGACGGACGTGCTTGGACGGACGTGCTTGGACGGACGTGCTTGGACGGACGTGCTTGGACGGACGTGCTTGGACGGACGTGCTTGGACGGAGGTGCTTGGACGGAAGTGCTTGGACGGACGTGCTTGGACGGACGTGCTTGGACGGACGTGCTTGGACGGACGTGCTTGGACGGAGGTGCTTGGACGGACGTGCTTGGACGGAGGTGCTTGGACGGTGGTGCTTGGACGGAGGTGCTTGGACGGACGTGCTTGGACGGACGTGCTTGGACGGACGTGCTTGGACGGACGTGCTTGGACGCTTGGACGGACGTGCTTGGACGCATGTGCTTGTACGGACGTGCTTGGACGGACATTTTTGGACAGAGGTTCTTGGACGGGCGTCATTTGGTAGGCGGCGTTTTGAGAGGGGCCACCACAGTTCCTCTGGTCTCTGCTCTTCACTCCCCCACTGCCCTCATCTCCATCTCTCCCCTGTCTTGTCTGCCGCTTCTTACCCTCGCCCCACCAGCTACATCGACTATCTCTTCGTGGGAGACTACGTGGACAGGGGCTGGCACAGTGCTCTTGGCCAGCACAGCATCGACTATCTCTTCCTCTGCCCTTGTCTCGCTTGCTTCCATCTCTCCTCTCCCCCCCCCCACCACCAGCTACATCGACTATCTCTTCCTGGGCGACTACGTGGACAGGGGCCAGCACAGCCTGGAAACGATCATCCTCTTGCTGGCACTCAAGGTGATGTGGCACTCAAGGTGACGTGGATGTGGCACTCAAGGTGACGTGGATGTGGCACTCAAGGTGACGTGGATGTGGATGTGGCACTCAAGTTGACGTGGATGTGGATGTGGCACTCAAGGTGATGTGGATGTGGATGTGGATGTGGCACTCAAGGTGATGTGGATGTGGATGTGGATGTGGCACTCAAGGTGATGTGGATGTGGATGTGGATGTGCATCATGTGCACTGCAGCATGTGCACTGCAGCATGTGCACTGCATCATGTGCAGCGCACCATGCGCACTGCATCCCCTCTTGATCTTTCTTTTCCTTGCCTCCCTCTCCTCCATCCCAGATCGAGTACCCACGTAACGTGCATCTAATCCGCGGTAACCACGAGGCGGCGGACATCAATGCCCTGTTCGGCTTCCGAATAGAGTGCATCGAGCGCATGGTGCGTGAAGTGTAGGCCTGTGTGTTGGGGTGAGTGCATCGAGCGCATGGTGAGTGCATCGAGCGCATGGTGAGTGCATTGAGCGCGTGGTGAGTGCATCGAGCGCGTGGTGAGTGCATCGAGCGCGTGGTGAGTGCATCGAGCGCGTGGTGAGTGAGTTTTAGGTCAGTGTGTTGGAGGCTTGCGGACATTGTTCACCGTTTTTCTTGCCCGCAACATGGTTGCCAGCCACGTAATTCCTTCCCCACAACCATTTCCTTTTCATTCCGTTGGTTTCACAACTCTTCCCGTGTGTTCCCCACCCACCCCACCACGCGTGAGCCGCCTCAAAAATATACTCTTCCCGTGTGTTCCCCACCCACCCCCCCACCGCATACCCCACAGGGCGAGGAGGGCGGCATCTGGGCGTGGCACCGCATCAACCAGCTCTTCAACTGGCTGCCGCTGGCCGCGCTCATCGAGCACAAGATCCTCTGCATGCACGGCGGCATTGGGCGCTCCATCGCCCACGTCAGCCAGATTGAGGAGCTCAAGAGGCCCATCACCATGGAGGCTGGATCCATGGTGCTCATGGACCTGCTGTGGTACGTGTCGATGTGCATGTGCTGGAGGGTGTGCGTAGGTGCATGTCTGTGTGTATAGCATGGGTGGACACGCATTGGGCGCTCCATCGCCCATGTCAGCCAGATTGAGGAGCTCAAGAGGCCCATCACCATGGAGGCTGGATCCATGGTGCTCATAGACCTTCTGTGGTACGTGCGTGCATCTGCATGACGGCATGTGTGCTTCTGTGGGTGGGTGCATGTGCATGCTTGCGTGGTACATGCGACTGGACCTGCTGCGGTACGTGCTTACAGCTGTGTCCTTATGTCTCACTCACTGTCACCCGCCCTCAGGTCCGACCCCACAGAGAACGACAGCATAGAGGGCCTTCAGCCCAACGCCAGGGGACCAGGCCTCGTCACTTTCGGGGTGAGCCTCTCCGCCCCTTACCCACCCACCCTCTCCTCGCGCTGTCTCTCCTCCTCCGCTCTCAACCTCTTCTCTCCCTCAGACTCCATATCCCATGCCCCCAACGCCTGTCTCTCTCTCCTCCCTCTTCCCAACATCCCCAACGCCCCTCCCCCTCTTTCCTCCCAGCCTGGCCGAGTGATGGAGTTGTGCCACGCCAACGACCTCCAGCTCATCACCCCACATGCGCCAGTGTTGTCACTCTTCCTCAATCCAACGCCCCTCCTCTCCCTTACTCAACGCCCCTCCCCTTTCCCCTGGCAGCCCGACCGAGTGATGGAGTTCTGCCACGCCAACGACCTGCAGCTCATCATTCGCGCGCACGAGTGCGTCATGGACGGCTTCGAGCGCTTCGCAGGGGGGCACCTCATCACACTCTTCTCCGCCACCAACTACTGTGGTCAGTGCTGCCAGTGCTGCTTCCCTTGTAGCCTGTTACCCCACCACTTCGCTATCCTGCCAGCCAGTTGTTGCTCTCTCTCCCCTTTTGCTCTTGTTCCAGTCAGCTGTTCGCTCTTGGAAATAAACTGGCTTGCCATCTAGATTCAATGAACCTGCTTTCTTGCATCGGGAGGCAATGGGAGGCGAGCATTGGTCTGTCCTCCCTGTGCAGTGTGCACTTGGGCAGGCACGGAGAACAAGACAATTCACTTCCTGCCACCCATCCATACCCATCCATACCCATCCATACCCATCCATACCCATCCATACCCATCCATACCACTGCCTTGTCTCAAGAATCTGTCCTTGTTTCCTCCTCCTTTCAACCGGAGCAGGCACGGCGAACAACGCGGGGGCCATCCTGGTGTTGGGGCGCGACCTGGTGGTGTTCCCCAAGATGATCCACCCGCTGCCGCCCACCGGCAACCCGGCCAACCCGTCCGATGATCAGGACGACACGTGGATGCAGGTGAGCTTCTTCACCCAAGGATTGTTGCCAAGGAGCCTTATTCTGGAGCTTCATGTTTGATTCTTTTGTCACTTTCCTCCATCCCCTCCCCCTCCCCCCCTCTCCACCCTCCCCCCCCCCTGCCAATCCCCTTGGGACGACTCAGAACTTCTGCCCATCTCTCAGGGTTGTGACCTTCTCCCCCTCCCATAAGGCAACTCACTTTCTCTTATTCCTGCAAGGCAATGAACTTCCCTTTCAAAACTATCTTCTTCCTCTCTCCCCCCCTCCCCCCCTTCCTCCTCGTGTGTGCCGTCAGGAGCTCAACTCTCAACGACCACCCACGCCCACGAGGGGCCGACCGCAGCCATCCAGTGACCGCAACTCCCTTGCTTTCATCTAGTCGCCATGCCACTCCATGCCACACCCAGGCGACTCAAACGCGACTCTTCAGTGCCCTCACACACTGCCAAGCGCCAGCATACTGTGTCGCTTGCTGCTTCTGCTGCCATCACCACCCCTGGTGGACACGTCACCTCCCCCCCACCCACCCGCCCTCCTCCCCATTGCTGCTGACCAGCACTGCCCTTCCCCAGCCCTGACTTGCTGTCCAATCCAATGGCTTACACTCCGTAATACAACTGGCCTTTTCTCCTTGTACTGGTAGTTCAAGTAATATTTTATTGGCCCCTGCTGCTGCCACTGCGCCTGTCTAGGCTACTGTGTTTCAGCAAAGGAATGCACTAAACATCTTCCACCTTGGACTCGTTCGTTACTGCATCTTTCAATAGGCATAGCCGAGTACTGGGTCTGAGATATTATCTGACATGAACACTTGCAGGATTACTGTATTGGATGAGTCGGGTTGGGTGCTGGAAAATGGTTCAGACTGAACTGAACAGGAAGGGACAATGTGAGGCAGCAGTGGCAGAGTCATCATGGGCATACGGTATCACCATACCATGGCTGCCAAGAGCTTCTGGCTTTGCATGATTCACAGGATTGTTAAGGTCGTCGTCCTGTGTTGATGGACTTCAATGGTGAAGTATGAATGCACTACTTCCATCATCCATCATCCATGCATTTACAATACATTATTGCCTAGTTTTCCCCCTAGCTCTTCCACCTCTAAAAACTGCACTAGAAAGCCGGGCTCTTCGTAACAGGCACCCTGGCTCAAATCCACATGGGTCACTTGGTGGTGTGGTGAGCACCAGGTGACTCCACCTGGTCGTTTCACTTTCAGCTGGTGGTTTCAGCTTTCAACATGCGCCTCGCCGTCAGTCGAGGTCCACCTCGCCCTCCAGCTCCTTGTGCTCAAGGGCGGGCGGGGGGATGTGCGCACGGAGCTCCTTCATCTGCTCCTTCTGCAGCAGGTAGTGCTTCTCCGCGTCCTGATTCGTCGACATGAGCGCCGACACCTTGAGCCCCACATCGTCCACCTTCTCGAGGATCAGATCGTTGGTGAACATGCCGTTCATCACCAGGCACAGGTCGGACCAGCTCTCATACAGCGGCAGAAGGATGATGATCGCCGACCCGACAAAGCCCCACACGATGGAGATGACGGCCCAGAAGGTGAAGTAGCCCATGGAGAAGACGCCCGCCGGGAGCGAGAGGATGGGCCAGAGGATGGCAATGACGATCGTGAAGGCAGAGCCCCAGATGAAGATCCACTTCTTGGCGGACGACAGCTTCGCCTGGCTGTACTCCTCGGGGTCCACCTCGGCGTGGCCGTCGGCGTCCACCAGGGCGATGCAGCGCGTGCTCTCAAAGTCAAAGTCGTCCGGCCAGATAAAACTGGTATGGGGGGGAGGTGAGGAAAGCGTTGGAGGGGGGTTCAGATTGGTATCGTCCAAGTTTGGGATCATGAAGAGCTCTGCATGGCGGCAGCAGCCATGTCTACCTACGGTGCGTTGTGTGGTGTGTACCTGCAGACGGCATGAACGGGTGTGTACCTGCAGACGGCGTGCGCGGGTGTGTACCTGCAGACGGCGTGCGCGGGTGTGTACCTGCAGACGGCGTGCGCGGGTGTGTACCTGCAGACGGCGTGCACGGGCGTGTACCTGCAGACGGCGTGCGCGGGCGTGTACCTGCAGACGGCGTGCACGGGCGTGTACCTGCAGACGGCGTGCACGGGTGTGTACCTGCAGACGGCGTGCGTGGGTGTGTACCTGCAGACGGCGTGCACGGGCGTGTACCTGCAGACGGCGTGCACGGGCGTGTACCTGCAGACGGCGTGCACGGGTGTGTACCTGCAGACGGCGTGCGCGGGTGTGTACCTGCAGACGGCGTGCACGGGCGTGTACCTGCAGACGGCGTGCACGGGTGTGTACCTGCAGACGGCGTACGCGGGTGTGTACCTGCAGACGGCGAGCGCGGGTGTGTACATGCAGACGGCATGCACGGGTGTGTACCTGCAGACGGCATGCACGGTGCCGCCAGTGATGATGGAGACGAGGTTGCCGGTGAGCGTGGAGGAGTTGGCGCCCGTGCTATCGAGGTCCAGCACGCCGTACTGCACCTTCGCCACCACCAGCCACGACGTGATGCCTGCACACAGGGAGAGAGGGATGGAGGGAAAGCGGTAGTGGAGAAGAGGGTAAGAGACTAAAGAGATGCAGGGACAAGGGGCTGAGTTAGGGAACCTAGCAGGTCAGAAGGCGTTGCAGAGAGGAGAAGGATTTGGGAGAGATTGTGGCAAATTTCTTGTTGCAAGGAAAGGGACATGGGGCAGATGCGTGTTTTGTATTGGAGGGCTGTATTGTGGTGAAATTGAGTTTGTTCGGGTTTTGCATTCACTGTACACTCACCAGCAACCATGCCGATGAGGCAGCCAGCAATAGCGCCAAAAGCGTTGGCCTTCCTCCAGAGAATCACGTTCGCAATAGGAACGACCGCGCTGCCGATAAGCACACCCATCACGAGGTACATCCAGCCGAGCGACACTCCCGCCTGGTTGAGCGCAATAGCGAGGACGCCCATAAAGAGGCCGAACGCGAGCACCATGACTCGCGAGCACATCAGGATCTGCTTTCCCGTTGCCTTGGGATTGACGTACGTACGATAGATGTCGTACGTCACCAGAGTTGAAACGGCAACCAACTCCGCAGAACCAGCAGAAGTCACAGCCCTGCGTACGCGATTCAGCACAAATTCGGGTTTAAAAATTCAGTTGAGGTGTATATTCCAGCACCATAAAACCGTGCAGCGGAAAAATGGCGAAGAGCCATCAGAAAAACTAGGCTGCGACGCTTTCCCATCAGAGATGGCAAATACCGTATGAGATTGCGACTCGAAATGACAAGCGTAAGCTCGTACCATTCGGCTGGGTGCGCTGTGCCACCACGGACTCACATGAAGAGCATGACGAGGATGAGCACGGCGCCCCAGTTGCCCATGAGCGCGACGGCCGTGGCGGGCGGCACGAGCCCCTGGTTGGCCTCCGCCTGCGTGATGGGCAGCCCCAGCGCGATCGCGCCGAGCCCCAGCGACGTGCCGAGCGAGAAGGGCACGGCGAACCACACCAGCCCGCCCAGCAGGTACCCCTTGTGCGTCGACGACGGCTTCGCCGCGATCGCGCTCATCCAGTAACCCTGGTACGAGGGACGCGGCGACGGAAGGCGAAAACGGTTGAAGGACTCGTCGAACGACCAATGGTCACTAGAAGTTATGGTTAATCTCATTCGACTCACGCAGGAAGGGGCCGTATTTTTTGTTATTAAAAAAAAAAAAAAAAAAAAAAAAAAACACCCATCATGATCGAGCAGTGGCACTCACGTTATCAACGAAGACGGTGCCGAAGTTGCCGACGATGTTGATGAGGCCGAAGACGAAGCCGTTGATGGACATCATGGTGACGTACGAGCCGTCCTTGTTTCCCTCCACCGGCCCGCAGTGCTGCCCCGGGTGCTGCAGCGAGCAGTCGCGCGTGGGGCTCGCGGCGTACTGCAGGTCGTTGTAGACGGTCGACGGCGCGCCGAGATACGAGCTTGTGCAGTAAACGAGGAAGACGAAGACGAGGAGGATGATGTGCACGATGACCGAGTGGATGTAACTCGCGAGGAACGTCGCCTGCGGGGGACGATGGGAGATGAATCCGTATCACACAATGAGGTTCCTCGACTGAGCCAAATGCGCTCGTCGCCGTGACGGGGAGGAGCGAGACCCAGAGCGAAACGGGATCCGAGATTGACTTGCACGAAGTCCGACTGTCAGAGGAATCTTCTCCACGCAATTGTTGCTTGTGGAGTGAAAGAGCGTGACGGCGCCGCACCTTGAGCCCGCCTGCGAGCGTGTAGAAGATGACGCCGAGCGGGATGAGGAACGAAGCGAGGTAGATGTTGAGCCCAGTCAACGCGTTGACCACGGCGGAGCCGCCGAGCAGCAGCATGGCGGTGACGATCATGTTGGTGAGGAAGCAGAAGCACAAGAACACGATGTGCGCCGCCGTGCCCCACCTGCGTTTCAAAAAACGAACGCCAAAATAGGAAAGGTTCAGCAAAAGGTTGGAATTTGGGGTGCCGCGACGGCTTTGCGTGGAACCGCGAAGAGATTTGCATTCAATGCACGGGTGCCGCAATGAGAAAATCGCGATTGGGTCGCGGCGCACCTGGCCTTGATGATCTCGCAGACGGTGTGCGCGTTGGGCGCCTTGCGCTTGATCTCGATCGCGATGATGCCGAACAGCAGCACCTGGATCGTCGCGCCGCTCGCGTACCAGAACGGACCGCTCACTCCGTCCTGAAATCGCGCAAGAAATCCACAGCATGATGGCGTCAGGACGGCCGGCAGAAAACAAAAACGAAAACAGAAACGAAATGTCACACCAAAAACTCACAGAAGATCCTTTCGTGACGGACCTGCCATGCGACGTTGGAGGATTGCAGAATGGTGGCGGCCCACGTCCACTGCGAGACGATGACAGACGCGATGAGCCCCATTTTCACGTTGCGGCCCGCCGTGTTGAACCACTCCGAGTTCTGGCGCGTGCCCACGTACCGCTGCTCCAGCCACACCAGCCACGACGTGAACACCGCGAAGAAGGCGCCGAAGCCGAGCACGACGGCATACCCGACGGACAGGTCGAGCGGCGGCTTCCCGCCGAAGAAGGACGACGCCTGTTGGCACTGGCCGTTGGAACCCGTCGAGAAATACTCTGCGGGAGCGAGAAAAAAACACGCGCGACAGGGGTGAGAGTCAGCATTGCGGAATGCAGGCTGCAACGTTTGGGGAAAAAGGGGGAAGCGAGCGAGTTGGGCGCTCGAAGTGAGTAACAGAAACACGGAGAGTTTGCAAGATGAGAGTGCTTACGAGCCATGCCGAAGCCGCCTGGCGGGCAATTGGGAGGAAGGCCGTTGGACGCCATGATTGCGGGCAGTGGCTGGAGCCCAAGCTGCTGGGGGGTTTGAAAGGGAGAAGGTCGAAAACGGTGCGACCTCGGTAGCCGCCGTAAAAAAAACGCCTCGAAAGAATGTTTCTTGGGAATGAGAAAGGAAAAGGATGACGGCTGGTGTTATGTAGGTGAGTGGACGGGATGGTTGGGGTGGGGTGCGGGGGTGATAGGGGGGGGAAATGCTGCAATGACCCCCCCCGGCACACTCTTTGATTCGATGGAGTCGCGAGGGATGGTGGGGAATCGCAGGTGAGACGGGAGCGGGTTTGGGTAAGTGCTTGACAAACTGCGCAATAGAAGAGGGGAATGGCAGAACAGGAGTCCGGTCTGGGGATTGCGGGTACGCGCGGCTGTAGTGGTGGCGGGGAGATGCAGGGCAGAGCGGGGCAAGGGGGAAGAGATTGGTTTGGTTTGGATTGGTAAGAGTGTTCGTGGGATCTGCTGTGTCGAAATTGAATATTCGAGGCGCGATTGCGGCAACGAGAGCCCGCATGCGCCTCGAAGTCTATCCATCGTAGGGCTCATACGTGAGTTTGGGCTAAGTGTCTGCTTAGCCATAAAACCGTAGGACGCCCAGTTTTCCCCCACATCGTCCAGCCTACTGACTGTTAGCCAAACGCTGGCGGGATCCAAACCTTCCTACCCTCAACTCGCTACCCAGCTACATGTACTGCATTCCTTAGCTAAGTACCTGTTTCTGCGACTGACCGCGGCTGGTGTGAACCTGAGGACATTGTTCTACCGCCGCCTCGTCAGCAGCACCCAGCAAGATGTGGCTGGTCGCTATTTTGAACCTTTGGAGGCATGAGGAGTACATTGCAGCCTTCTGACCAATAAGAGAGATCCTATTTCCCACGAGGAAGCCGTTATTGGTTGTTTTTCTCGGAGGGAACTTTTTATCCACCAATACGATAGCTCGCCCTCGAATTTAGCCTGTCCTTTCACTGGGCATAAGCTCAGGCAATGTGACCGAGGGCAGGTGTCTGGCTCGTCGTGTCGTGAGTCGTGCCTCCGAAATTCGTCTCCACTCTCCACTCTCGACTCGATCCTCTCGAAACCAAATCTCTCTTGACGCAGCTGTCCTCCTGCCCTCTCGGTAGCAGCACGCCAGACACAGACGCGAGTGGGAAGTTCGTCGTCAAGCATGGCTCAGCCACAAGTTGGGGTGAAGGTGATCCGATAGACAATCAGACAATCAGATATGAATAACGGAGACAAGAACAGAATCTTAAGCACACATCTGATGCATGATCCATATCTTAAACCACCATGTTGTAACACTGTTGTTGACATTAAACTATATCCCTACTGATTAATTCATGAAATTATGTAATAATACGAATTCACGTTTTATGTTGCAAGTTTTTTTTTCGCATCCAGCTGGTACGTTTTGTTGTAAATTGGCATGCATTGTATGCGTATTTGTGATCAGAAGGAGCATGCACACCGTGTCCCAGGGTTCCTGATGTTTGTATGGCAGGGATTAGTTGCTTTGTGATAATCGAGAAGCGGTGTGGTACAAGCACATTCTCTGATTCTGCGGCGCGAGCATTTGCCCCTCAAGAACTGTCACGAGATTATACCGAACGAGCTTCGTTTCAAGAAGCTACGCGGCAGCATCTCAGTGGTGGAACTTGGGGATTTGTTTCGCAAGCCCTTGGCGACCCTTGACGACTGACCTTGGGCCCAGGGGCGACACGGCACGAACCTCTCTAACCCAGGGTGAACGAGCCGCGATGTCATCATCCACGCGACGCGGCATCGGCTGGTCAAAATTCGCTGCGGTGCTGTGCTGTGCAAGGAGCGTCCTTCCTCCCTCGCCACAATTTGCCCCTCCCTCCGCCACCCCACAATCTGCCTATTTCCAGGCCCCCGTGTGAAGAAAGGTATTCAATTCTTAGTTTTGCAGCGCCAAGCTAGAGCTTCCAATTCTTCACCCACTTCACATCTTGTCTCATTCTTCAGTCCCTTGGTCTTCCACTTCTGTTCAGAAAGACATGCTTCCAGGACCCGCGTGTTCGCAGTAGAGCTGCCTACGTGACCAATTCGACACATCCGCACCTTCCGTCTCCAACAATCGTATTGCTAACCATCGTCTCACCGAAATCAGCGACCTCGCTTCGGCGCGCTTAACAGCTTAATTCGCCTCGACCGCGTTGGCGGCAGCATGGCGAAGCAGAAAAAGTCGCTCAAGGGGTCGGTCGCCATCGTCGCAATGAATTTCCTCCGATTCCTCAACATGGTCATCATCGCCGGCGGCGCGGCCACCATCGTCATGATATTCCTCATCCAATCACCGCCCACCTTCCCCGGGGGCTGGGGCTTCTTCTTCCTCAGCCTGCTCGTCATACTATCCGGCCTCTTTGGCACGATCGCGTCGGGGCAGGTCGGCTGCTTCGAGTGCCATCTGTTCTGCCTGTTTATCAGCGCCGCGGGGCTCTGCGCCTCGGTCCTTATGATCTTCATGCGCTTTAAAGACGTGGTGCTCGCGATCAAGCCCGACGCGGACGCGTACGCGATGTACGACGCGGAGCAGTACGTGCGCATTTTAGGCGCGATCTACTTTTTCATATTCATGACGCAGATGGTCATCCTCATGCTCGGCTGCACGGTGCAACACTTCGGCCTCATAGAGCACAACGAGGACCTCGACGCGCTCAAATCCGCGCGTGAGCTGGCGCACTCGGAGGAGGTGCACCGGCGGCCGAGGATCGACAAGTGGGTGCCGCACAAGCTGACGGAGAAGATGAAGCACAAGTACCGCCAGTGGACGCACCGGGGCGCGGGCGACGACGAGGAGGAAGAGGCCATGGAGTTCGACATGGAGTCCAACTCCATCGCCGGCAGCCACCTCACCGGCAGCCCCCCGCCCTCTTACCCAGCCGCCTCCACCTACCCTCCTGCGTAAACCGTCTAGAGAGCCATCTTTGGGGCCGCATGAGTACCGGCAGTGGGTGAGGAGATGGAGCTCGCTATGGAGTCGATCGTTAGCAGCCATTGCAGCACGAGCCGCCGCCGTCGGGCCCAGCTGCCGCCATCCGTCTACTACTTACCCGCCTGCCTGAACCCTGACGATTTTTTAGCCGCCCTGAAAGTACGCTGCCCGCCGTCGATAGCCCTCCGCCCGCTTGAACCGCGCGCCCTCACTCTCCTGCAGTCGCCACGAGAATTCCTCTTTGCGCCCCAGTTTCAGGCCGCTTCCACTTACCCTTCTGCGTGAATCATAAGAGAGCTTCAGTCTGTGCTGAGTTGACCTGTGTAGTGGCGTATCCTTGGACCCTGGCGTACCATGGCACCGTTGGACTAGGTTTACGTTTGTGAAGGTTCGGTGTTGATAGATGCCGTTTAGTTAAAGCTACTTGTATTCTATCCTGGTATCCTGCTGCACCTGATATGCTGAACACAACCTTGTCAGATTGTGTGCCATAAGGACAGACTATCCCAGGTTAATAAAGTGGGGATGCTATAATGGGGAGGGGGGATCTAGCAGGCCTTGGATCTGAGTGGTGTTCGGCGTGTACGTTTGATTGAGGTTAGGTAAGATTGTCTGCGAGTCAGAGGGTTCCTAAAGCACCCTGAAACGGTTGGGTGGGTTTTAAGCGAGAAACATAGGCACGCATTCCCAGAGCGTGCTGATGTTTGAGGAAAAGCACTCGAGTGGTGGAGCTGGAAGTGTGTATGGGATGATGGGGTGACGCCACAGTAGCACAGAACATGGCACACTCCTGTTGACAGATAATATGGAGTGGTTCAGCTGGATACTGATGACTCTGCTGCATGGTGTGTTAAAATCAATCCGTCTGTCGCCATTCCTTCACATGTCATGGCCCAGCAGCAGTGGAAAAGGCAAGGCACCAGACTGGCCGGGAGGTCAGCGGTAGAGGGACTGGGTCTGCATGTTGTTGGCGATCTCGCTCTCCCACCGGTCGCCATTCTCCAGCAGCTTCTCCTTGTCGTACAACAGCTCCTGTGGGGGGGAGGGGGAAGATTGCAGTGAGAAACAGCCGGGTACAGTGGCAGGTGGGCCAGCCAGCCACCCACAAGCCCCCTTTCTTTGTGTAGCTTTCCCTTGCCGTGTGGCAGCTGCTGAAGAAGGGAGGGAAGCGGAGGCCCAAGGTGAATGATCAGAGGGACGCAGGGACACACAAGGGCCACTCTCGCACTGGTGCCCGTTCTCCAGTTGCTTCTCCAGGCAATAGGGAAGGGGGAGGTTGCAGTGAGAAAGAACGTACAGGTCGGAATACTAGCTAAGTCACATATCAAGCACAGCGCATGCATCCTGGTCATCCCTTGACCCTATTACCCACAAATCCACGAGTCTGCACAAGTCTGCAACTCTCCCCACAAGTCTGCAACTCTCCCGAAGGACTCCCCCTCACCCTTCTTCACCTCCTGCGTGTATGTCGGAAACTCAAAATTGGGCCGTACACAATGGCATCCACGGGGCATGCACCCCCTCAGCCTGCCCCCTTCCCCTCTGCGCTACCTCTCCTCATCCCTCCCACCCTCACCCCATGTCTGTCTCTCCCTCACCCCATGTCTGTCTCTCCCTCACCCCATGTCTGTCTCTCCCTCACCCCATGTCTGTCTCTCCCTCACCCCATGTCTGTCTCTCCCTCACCCCATGTCTGTCTCTCCCTCACCCCATGTCTGTCTCTCCCTCACCCCATGTCTGTCTCTCCCTCACCCCATGTCTGTCTCTCCCTCACCCCATGTCTGTCTCTCCCTCACCCCATGTCTGTCTCTCCCTCACCCCATGTCTGTCTCTCCCTCACCCCATGTCTGTCTCTCCCTCACCCCATGTCTGTCTCTCCCTCACCCCATGTCTGTCTCTCCCTCACCCCATGTCTGTCTCTCCCTCACCCCATGTCTGTCTCTCCCTCACCCCATGTCTGTCTCTCCCTCACCCCATGTCTGTCTCTCCCTCACCTCGTGTGTCTCAGTGGCGAACTCGAAGTTGGGTCCCTCCACAATGGCGTCCACGGGGCATGCCTCCTGGCACAGCCCGCAGTAGATGCACTTGGTCATGTCGATGTCGTACCTGGAGGGGGGATTGGGGTGGGAATATGGGTGGTATGAGAGAGCAATTTTAGAGCCAGTAGGTGCAATGGGCCATGTCAATGTCAGACCTGGGGGGATCAGGGAAGATGTATGCGGGTAAGGGGGGGGGGGGGGGGGGGGTATGTGGATGAGCACGTGAAAGAGAGAACTAGGGGATCTTCCAGCAAAGACTGAGTGACAGGGCATGCCTCTTGGCGCAGCCCGCAGCAAACGCACTTGGTCATGTCAATGTCGAACCTAGATGGGTTGGCGGGGGAGAACATGGGTGGGTAAACGCGAGAAGAAAAAAAGGTGTTCGCTAAGCATTCACATACAACAGCCCGCAGTAAACCCACTTGGTCATGTCAATGTCCTGCCTGGTGGTGGTACTGGCAGGGGAGAACATGGGTGAGTAAGATAAAATATATATTGAGACATATGCACTGACGAGGGGGGTGAGTATATGCAAATGTGTAGGCGAGAAGACAACAGGGTCGTGTGTGAGAAAGCAACTAATCATCCCCGTTGCCCCATCCTCACCTCGTTGTTCGCCTGCTGCCATCCTCACCTCGTTGTTCGCCTGCTGCCATCCTCACCTCGTTGTTCGCCTGCTGCCATCCTCACCTCGTTGTTCGCCTGCTGCCATCCTCACTTCGTTGTTCGCCTGCTGCCATCCTCACCTCGTTGTTCGCCTGCTGCCATCCTCACCTCGTTGTTCGCCTGCTGCCATCCTCACCTCGTTGTTCGCCTGCTGCCATCCTCCCGGGCCTCTGCTTCGATCGTGATGGCCTGGGCGGGGCACACCTGGGGTGGGGCAACACAGGGGCGACGGAAAAGGGGACATGCGATGACAAGGAAGGTGGATGACAGGGGCACACAATATACAAGACCTTAGGGCTAGAGCAGAGGGAGCAGAGGGAGGCAGAGGGAGGCAGAGGGAGGCAGAGGGCTGTGAGTGCTGCATATAGGAAACAGCTGTACGGGCGACTTTGAAGGGGGGGGACGGGGGGGGCACTCACCGCCTTGCACAGCTTGCACTCCGACGCCAGGCAAGTTAGCTGGATGCGAGGCAAGTCAGCTGGACGCCAGGCAAGTTGGCTGGACGCCAGGCAAGTTAGCTGGATGCGAGGCAAGTCAGCTGGACGCCAGGCAAGTTAGCTGGACGCCAGGCAAGTTAGCTGGACGCCAGGCAAGTTAGCTGGACGCCACGCAAGTTAGCTGGACGCCAGGCAAGTTAGCTGGACGCCAGGCAAGTTAGCTGGACGCCACACAGCTTGCACTCACCGCCTCGCACAGCTTGCAGGCGATGCAGCGCTCCTCGCCCGTGGGATAGCGCCTCAAGGCGTGCTCGCCCCTGAAGCGCGGACTCAGAGGGCCCTTCTCAAACGGGTAGTTGATCTGCACTCACATGGCCGCGGGGAGGGGGGAGGGGAGTGGGGGAGGAGGGGGAAGGAGGGGGAAAAGGTATCCTTTTGAGGCTCAAGGGCAGCCAAACGGATTCTGACTGACTGGCTGGATGATCTGCAAGAGAGGCTCCTTTGGGCAGAGGAATTGCCTGCCAGTCCACCACGGACTGGCAGGCAGGCAACTGTCGTGCCTCTCCCATTTCTCCCTTTTTCCTCAGCTATCCTTCCTCCTTGCCCTTCTTCCCCCCCTTGTCCATTCCGCCTCTTGTAGGTTGTCACCGGTGCCGTGGGACCAAGCTCTCCTTTTGTTACAAGCCGCACGACGCCTGCTCGGATCTCCTTAGGATCGAATTCCCGCACTGCTAGACTCTAATAGGCTTAGAGCGGATTGCAGTATAGAAGGAAAACATACAAGCAAAAAGCGATGGTCCTACTGAGTCTCATCCTATTTACAGATCCATCTCTCCCTGCTCCAACAACCCCTTCACGTTCGTTCCCTCGGGAACTGAGATCCCCTTGGCCCATCTTCACGTCAGATTGGGCCCCTGCTGACGCCCTCCACCTCCTTCCAGCTCGCGCCTCGATGCTTCGACATTTCATTCTTCCCGCGCCTCGATCCCTCCGCTCATTACCGAACTTGTACAGTGTTTACTGTACCTCTCCCCGTCACACCTTATATTTCTGTTATTCACTCAATCTCTTCCCCAATTCTTGTCTGCTTTATCTCACCACTCCCCTTGCTGCTGTGCTAACCGTTTAGTTTTGAGGCGCCTCAAAACTAGACTTTTATTACGCTGTGTTCACCGGGGGAAGGCTCATGTCTTCCCCCGGGTAACGCAACACAACACACCACACACCCATGGACTGGCTGGCAGTCCACACCACACACCCACACACCACACACCCATACACCCACACACCACACCACGCACACAGCAGTCATGCTCTAGCAACCCCTCGTTCAGCAGACAAGCATCCTCCTTCGACAATCCCTCCCTTCCCCAATCTCCCTCTTCTCCCCAACTCCCCTCGTTCTCAACCCCCCCACCTTCGCCCTCCCCCCCCTGAACCACACTCTTCCCCCCTCCTTCACTCCCCCTCCTTCACTCCCCCCCCCTTCCCCGGACCACCCTAACCCCCCTTACAGTGAGCTTCTCACGGCTTTCATCCCCCTTACAGTGAGCTTCTTATCGAAGAAGTACTTGAGCGTGAGGCCCATGCCTCGGGCCAGCTCCGTCACGAGCAGCGTGTTCATGTTCTTTTCCAGGACTGGGGGGGGAAGAGAGGGGGGAGGGGGGGGAGTGGGGAACGGAGGAGGGAAGAGAACAAGCGTGTTTGTTAGTATGACCTGTCCTCCCAATCTTTGAGCATCGAGCCAGCTCCGTCACGAGCAGCGTGGCCATGTTCTTCTCCGGGACTGGAGGGGGGGAGAGAGAGGGGGGGGGGCATGGACGGATGGAGCAAGGGGGGGCATGACCTCTCAACCACCAGCTCCGTCACGAGCAGCGTGGCCATGTTCTTCTCCAGGACTGCAGGTGGAAGAGGGGAGGGGAGGGACGGGGGGGAGGGGGCAAGGGAGGGGATAGTGAAGCATGGACGGATGGAGCAAAGAGCAGGCGAGGGGTGCGCTGTCAACAGCCGGCTCCGTCACCAGCAGCGTGCTCATGTTCCTCTCCCGGACAGGGGGAATGATGGAAAGGCAATACAGTAGATTCTAGAAGCATTGCTGCACCAGATTCTCATGGCCGCTAGGGTCGGCACAGTTCTGCGGTAATCTTTCAATGCAAGGGGATGGAATCATTGATATCAGCTCGATGGAATCGAATCACTGGTATCGGATCAATGGGATCGGCCAGCAGAATCGGATCTTTACGAACAGAGCACGCACTTGTGTTGAGGTCGGCAGGCGGATCAGGCTTGGATGATGGGGGAGGGGCTTCCGGGCCTGATGCGAGGGAGCAGGTGCGGGAGAGGTTCGGGGAGAGGCGGAAGAGAGAGGAGGAAAGGGCGGAGAACGAGAGACACGGAAAGGCGTGGAATGAGGGAGCGGAAAAGCGGGAATCTGTTATGAGCATGAAGGGAAGTGATCGGGAATGGATCTTTTGAGTCGACTCATGTTTCCTAAAGCGGGAATCTTTTGAGTCGACTCATGTTACCTAAAGTCACCTAATGTTATGTGCATGAAGGGAATTGATCAGGAATGGATCATGGTTAGGTAGAGCTGCGAGCAGTGACTGCAGTGCCTGCAATGACTGCAGTGCCTGCAGTGCCTGCAGTGACTGCAATGACTGCAGTGACTGCAATGACTGCAGTGACTGCAGTGCCTGCATTGACTGGAATGACTGCAATGACAGCAAAGATCATGGCATATTATTTTAGATAAAGGGGTGCATCCGGCGTCTGCTAGCGCATCACGAAGATCTCGCATCACGGATGCCGTTGATTGTCTAAACCGTGTCAGGGGTGGCTCTCTTGATCATAACGTGGTTATCATCAGACCAGCGGGAGGTGAAGGAGAGCTACACGCCTCCCCAGATCACATCGCACGACCGATAGAATCACCTCGTTACAATCAGTCTCCGCCTGAAGACTCGATATAAGCTCGATCTTGTTGTAGCAAGGACGACGCATACGAGGCGATTAGGGTTAGCAACGCAGTGCTCTGACGGTTAACTACAAAAGAAACTGATACTAGGGTTCGCATACTACTAAAGGGTGCGAGTAGGAGAACGCACTGCTCTGCAGACTATTCTGCGACGCCGCGAAGCCTCGCGCGTAGACGCTGCTGACGGGACATGACGTCAGCCGGCGAGCGCCGCGAAGAGCGACCGGAAGCATGGCGACGGCGACGCCTTTGATTGGTAGAAACACGCAACGACCGTGCTGGAGGAAGGAAACGGCGGCGGTCTGTGGAAAGTGCGTGTTAGGACGACCAACGGCTGTCTGAGGGAACTCCGGTTGTTGGGAGCTCCTCCAATCACGGAATAATACAGCAGGTATGGAGTGTGACGTCCTTATCAAGTAAGCGGAAGAAAGCGACTTCGAATCTTGGGGATGGAGGAGCAATGACAGGGTACTTGAATTGAATACCCCCGTATGTGCTGGGGAAAATGAACCTCACTCGCCCTCAAACCTGTCGCCCCGATTGTGTCGTTTCGAGTCTGTCTTGAATTCGGCTGGAAAAAACCGTATGCAAGTACAGTTACCCCAGAACTTCAAATATCCGTAAGTTTAGAAGCAGAATTCGTGTATTTTCTAATGTAGGCCTCAATCGCGTACAAAAGTTTCCCAAAATCTCGGCTCACCAAATTATTAGACTAATCGCCCCTCCAGCCATACTATCGCCATGCACGGCCGTCGTATAATCACATGGCTTCCCTGCCACGTGTGCTTCGCTCCCTTTCCAACGACCAGCCGCCTATGCGCATTCAGCGGGCTTCTGGAATCGCGACTTGCATGCACGCACCCACGATGGCGATGCGTCGGAGTCTAGTTTTGAGGTGCATTTTGAGTGAGTCGCGACTCAAAACACACCTCAAAACACGATGGCGATGGCGATGGCGATGCCGATGGCGATGGCGATGGCGATGGCGATGGCGATGGCGATGCCGATGCCGATGCCGATGCCGATGCCGACGCCGATGCCGATGCATCGGAGCCATCTCGTGAGTCGTGACTCGTCCATGGCGCTGATTAGACCCATTCGTTTATTACTTACGTATGTTGTGCGGGATCGGAATTCTCTCCGATGCGGTCTCGTGCCGCCGTCTCCCACCATGCGCACATACACGATGCACCCAGCAACCCTCCCAGCCTCCGCGGCCGTTTCCGCTTCTGCGACGTCGCCACCTCAGCGCCTAACCGCCGTCGAAACGCTCGCTCGCTGCCGCCGTGCGACGGATCCCAAACAGCACCGCATGCAAGGTCGCAGAATCTCCGACGCGCGATTCTGTCCGCCGCAAGAAACGGCCAATCTGCCGCCCTTCTCGTTGCGCACCGCACCGCACTCGGCGCGGAGGGCTCGGCGGTGTGGCTGGAAGCCCCCCCTTGCCAGAACTCTAGACTCGGGGGAGTCGATTGACAACAGCCTTGGGCCTCCGAGCGTTAATCTTCTAATTCGGCGCGCCCCGTGCATGCGACCCGTTCCGTACCTCGTGCCTCGCCTCGCAGCCCGTGCTGGTGCTGGCGCCAAGCTTCCCATGGCCGTACGGCGAGCCACGAAAGCGGCGCCAGCAGGGGCCAGCAGGGGCCATGAGGGTATATAATCTGGAGATATCGCGATTGATTGGTACGACAGGCAGTAGCAGCTGCAGCAGAAGCCGTCGCCGTCGCAACCCTCGCTCCACATTCTCCCCTCGTCAGCCATATACTTCTCCACTCCACTCCTCGCACCTCGCTCCACCCCTGCGCGCGCCTTTCTTTCTCCCCGCCTCTTGTCGCCGCAACTCCACGCCCCTCCACGGCCCCTCTTCATTCTCCTCCACTTCCTGGCATAGCGACTTCCACTCCCACCCCGCAGCCCTCTGCCCCGCAGCCCTCTGCTGCAGCCCCGGCCCACTCTTCCAGCACTCTTCCCTCCCCACCGTCATCCCTGTCGTTCGCCGCCCATGGGGTCCGACGGCTGCTTCGTAGTGCTGCCAGACAGCGAGGGGCGTGCAGCGACCAGTCCGGCTTCGACAAGGTGCGAAGGCGCCACTGGTGGAGGCGCCACTGGCGGAGGCAGCGGCGTTTCGTCCGCCGGTCTGCGCAAGCCGTGGGGCAGCAGCTTGAGCGGGGTCAGGCTGCCAGCAGAGCCGCTGAGCGGCGCGAGTGGGCTCGCTGCCGCCCGCCCTAGCTGCACGCCATCGCCCTTTGATGGTCGCGTTGGCGGTGCGGGCATTGGCGGTGGCGTTGAGCAGCAGGGGGGCGGGGTGGGGGATGTGGTGGTAGGATTGGAGAGGATGGGGGTGGGTGAGGAGGAGCGTGAGGAGGGGAGAGGGGGGCGTGGTGCGGAGGAGGGGAGTTGGGCCAAGTGGCCTGTGAACGGAGCTACAGCGGTGGAGAATGGAACTGCAGGGGTGAAGAACGGTTTTGTTCATCCCTACGCATGCGCCCATCACTCCAGAGCCACTACCGAGTGTGCTTGTAACGAGTCCAAGTCACGGCCCGTGACTGCAGCAACTGTGGCGCACCAGCCCACGGTGCTCCCTCGAATGAACCCCTTAAAGCCCGGCAAGCCCGTGGCGTGTGTGCTCGGCATCGGTACGGCGAATCCGGACATCGTTCGCCCGCAGGGGCAGTTCGCCAAGGAGTACCTGCAGCGTATCAACTGCTATGACAAGGACACGCAGGCCAAGTTCGAACGCATCTGTGAGTGCTGTGCTAAGGGAGGGTGGCTGTGTGCACCCAAGGAAAGCTCAAGGAAAGCTGTGTGGTTTATCCACAGGAGCAGAAACCATGCCTCAGAAATTCTTCTAGCATATTCCAAACCTATCACTGCATCCTTTCTATCTCTTACGGCGGAAATGACACTTCTCTTCTCTTCTTCCCCATCCACCTCCCCCTCCCCCGCCGAGGCTACCACGCGGGCAGAGACAGGCGCCACGCGCCGCCAGCCCCTCTTTCAGCCAGTTGCCTGCGCGCCCCTTTCCGCTGCCGCTTTCCCCTGCTCCCTTCTCTCTTCCCCCCCCCCCCCTCTTTCCCCTTCCCCCTCCCCCCCCCAGGCTACCACACGGGTATAGACAAGCGCCATATGGTGCTCTCCTGGGATACCGTCGCCGCCAACCCATCCCTCAACCAGTTCGGCGCGCCGTCCCTGGCCACGCGCCAGGCCATCCTGCGCACTGAGGGCGTGCGCCTCGCCGCCGCCGCGTGCGAGCACGCGCTGGCCGAGTGGGGCGGGGAGAGGGCGGAGATAACCCACCTGGTGGCGGTGACGGTGAGCGGCGTGCACCTGCCCGGGCTGGATGTGCAGCTCGTGGGCGCGCTGGGGCTGGGGCGCGGCACGCAGCGCGTGCTGCTGCAGATGCTGGGGTGCTACGCGGGGGTCACGGCGCTGCGTGTGGCTAAGGACCTGGCGGAGAACAATGTGGACGAGGGCGCGCGCGTGCTGCTCGTGTGCTCCGAGCTCAACAGCCTCATCTTCCAGGTGCAGCTCGTGTTGGTTTAACAGCCCCCTCTGATATCCACTTCTTCATCTCGCTGCATTATCACCCCCCCATCTCCCTTCACTCTTTCTCCCTCTCCTCTCTTCCCCCCCCTCCCCCAGGCACCACACGAGTCGCTCCCGGACAGCCTCGTGTGTGCCGCCATCTTCGGCGACGGGGCTGCTGCCATGGTGGTGGGGGCCAACCCCCGCTCCCACGCCCCACAGGCCTCACACGCCCCCCGCACCGCAGGCCATCAGGGTCTGCAAGCAGGCAGCGCCACAGAGCACACCCCTCAGACTCCCTCACAACTCCCACAGCAGCCACCAGCAGCAGCCCCCTCCTCCCTGCCTCCCTCCCCAAGCCCTGCGCCCCCTCGCCCCCACGAGACGGCCATCTTTGAGATCGTGCGCGTGGCGGAGTTCTTTCTGCCTGACACCACGCGCCACATCGCAGGGGACCTGACCGAGGCGGGGCTGCTGGTGCACCTCAGGAGGGAGGTGCCGCTGCTGCTGCCGGGCCCGGTCAAGGAGTTTAGTGAGAACCTGCTGGGGCAGGCTGGCGTGGGGTTCGCTGAGAGCTTCTGGGCCGTGCACCCGGGTGGGCGGGCGATTTTGGATGGGTTACAGCGTCAGCTGGGGCTGAAGAAGAGTGCTCTCAGGGCCAGCAGGTGGGTGAAATGCACTGTTATTTGTATCTCTTTGTTGATGTTAGTTTATGAGACAAGAAAAGAGGTGAGTGTCTGTACGTTGTGCTTTCTTTGCAGGGAGGTATTGCGGCAGTATGGGAACATGTCAAGCGGGTCTGTGCTGTTTGTGTTGGATGAGATTCGGAGGAAAAATAAGCGGTCAGAGCCTCAATGGGGAGTGGCGCTAGGGTTTGGTCCAGGCGTTACGGTTGAAGGTGCATTGATGAGACTGTTGTGATGGGGAGATGTAGCATGGAGGGAGCTTGTATATACAGACAGCTAGTCAACGTGCATTAGCACATGCACATATGCAAATTCTATATGGTACATAGGATAACTTGTACAGCTTCAAAAGGACACAATGCATTATGCATGACTACTGTACTGTATATCTCATTGACAAACAACTTCGAATATGTGGTGTCTTTTCCTTTGCACCATAACCCATCAAAAAGTCTGTCATGGTGATGCCATTGTGCTGCAGGTACAATATCGGTATATAAATTGAACAAAGCTATGTGTACATTTGAGAAAAAGTGGAGATTTCGATATAAATGTCAACTTATACATATGTTCTATGTAGAAGAAATAGGCTAGACTAGGTGTGTGCTTCTAGTGAGTACAACCCAACAGGTATATGTTCTAGGTTTCTCTTCCTAGTAATTATCATCTTATTCTAACATGATATCGAGTAGGTTAGGTTCACCCGCCCGCTTCCGCCCGCGCCCTAGCCTCTCGCCCCTCCCCTACCTTCCTAGACCGCCTGGCCCCACCGCGCTCGCCTGGCCCTCTAGCGCCCTGTTGGGCCCCACCGCGCCCGCCCGACCTGTTGCGCGTGCCGGCCCCTCCTAGCTGGCCCGGCCCCCTTCCTAGTGCCGCCCGGCCCCTCCTAGCGCCGCCCGGCCCCTCCTAGCGCTGGCCCGGCCCCTTCCTAGTGCCGCCCGGCCCTTTCGCGCCCGCCAGGCTCCTAGCGCCCGCCCGGCCCCGCTGCGCCTCTTCGACTTTCAGCACCAGCCTGGCCCCTCCTACTGCCCGCCCGGCCCCTCCTCCTCCCTGTTCGGCCTGCCGTGCCACCTCGGGCCCTGTCTCCTCTGCTCGTCCGCCCTGCGGCGCCTCGCGGCCGCCCTGCTGGAGAGTGCTGCAGCCGTGTCCCCGCGGCGCTGTGTCGCTGTGGAGCTGTGTCGCTAACCCTGCACGATGGCTGACTTCATGCTCCGACTGGACGCTGAGGGCCACGCGGTTGACTTCGCCGCCTGGCTCTCCGAACTCTGCCGCCACCTTACAGGTCAGCGCCAGGATGGCCACTCTTTGGTTGTCCATGTCGATGGCCTGCTCCCCCGCCCCCCTGCCCCCGCTCCCCTCCCTGCTGATCCCTCCTCTGATGACCGTGAGGCCTTCTCTACTGCTGCGCTTGCCTGTGCGGTCTGGGACTCCCGCGATGCAGTAGCTCAGGCTACTATTAGTTACCCCCTCCCGGTATCTAAGCGCTCGCGTTTTGCTACGATTGATACGGCCAAAGCTTATTTAGACGCCGTTATTGCTCGCTATTCCACACCTGCATCCGCTTCGGCCGGCCACTTGCTCTTCCCGATGCTGTTCCCAGACCTTGCTGCCTTCCCTACTGTCGCAGAATTTGCCACTCGCTTGCGTGCCCTAGAGACCCGCTATCGCACTGCCAGCACTCCTGCCCAGCTCACTGCGCTCCCCCCCCCCCTTCTACATGACGCTCTATTTTATCGCCATGCGCCTCCCGGATCGCCTAGCTAGTGCTCGCGACCACTTCCTTAGCCAGCACCCAGGTGACCTCACTCTGACCGCCTTTGTCGACACCCTCACCGAGATCAAGACTCGCCAGCGCACTATCGCTCAGTCGAGCGGTGCGCCGGCAGTCTCTATCTTTTACGGCTGTGCCCCCTCCCAGTGCACGTTTACTAACGTTTCGGCTGCGGTCGCCTCTACGACCCCCCTTACCGAGACTGCTGCTACGGTCCACCCGCAGCAGCGCTCGCGTCGCGGTGGCCGTGGCCGCCAGGGAGGTCGGGGTGGTGGCGCTGGGGGTGGTGGGAGTGGTGGTGGTGACGGTAGTCCGCCTGAGAGGACTACCACCGGTGGGCAGGAGCAGATACAGTCCCCTCCGCAGCAAGAGCAGCCCCAGCAGTAGCCGCCATCCCAGCAGCAGCCGCCGCAGCCGTGGGCCCGTCTCCCGCCTGGTTGGCCCGGCACCTCTGGCGGTAGTGGCCGTAATGGTGGCCCGCGCAACTCGGCGTCTACCGGCGGCTCTGGTGCTGTGACCTGCCAGTACCAGCTTCAGCCCAGGCCTCTTCGCGGCACTCTGTGCCGTCGCCCGCACCCGACCGCCTGCCGTTTCTGCCGCCTCGACGATCTCTTTCGTCGCCGCTTTGGCCCGGCCCCGGACCTCCTCGACTGGCATTGCCTGCTCTGCCAGGGCATGCCGATCTTTGAGTTAGACATGGATCAGATAGGTGCTGCTTTGCATGCCTTGTATTCTGATGCTTCTAGTGTTGTTGGATCATATTACCTTGTGTACTCTAGTTTAGGTGTTGCACCCTTGTGTAGTTTAGCCTCCCTTGCTGCATCAGGCGTAGGGCTGCCTAGTTTGCCTAGCCTAGTCTCTGCACCGGCTCCGTTCCCGGCCTCTGCCACTGCTTCGCTGTCCTTCACTCTCGACTCCGGTGCTTCTGCCTGCTTCTTCCGCGACCGTTCTACGTTCACGCCACTTTCTGTGCCTGCTATCGTCTCTCTCGCTGACCCCTCTGCGGGTCCTGTCATCACTCGCAGCTCCACTTCCCTTCCCTGTCCAGCAGTTCCCTCGGGCTCCCTTACAGCCCTCCACGTTCCCTTGTTCTCGAGGAACCTTGTTGGTGTCGGCTGTCTCCAGGACCTCGGCGTCACCACTACGTTCCCCGGGCACGAGCGGTTCGCTGTCTGTTCTGAGGCTGTCTCAGGTTCCCCCCTTGCGACGTTCCCCCGGGACCCGGTGTCCGGTCTGTTCACCCTAGACACCGCTTCCCCCCCGGTTGGTGCATCCTCCCAGGTTACTGCAGCTTGCTCGTGTCGGTCCCTCACTCACCCGTCCCTTATGTGGCACCACCGCTTAGGTCACCCTGCTACTGCCCCCCTTTAGACCCTGCACCTGGACATCTGGGGCCCTGCTCCCGTCCCCGGACCGAGTGGTGAGCGCTACTTCCTTGTGCTCGTCGACGACTATACGCGCTACACCACGGTGTTTCCCCTGGAGCGGAAGGCCAACGTGCTCGACGTTCTTCTCCCGTGGGTTGTGGCTGCGCGTCTTCACCGCGGTCTCCCTGTGTTGTGTCTCCACTCTGACCGTGGCGGCGAGTTCGCCTCTGGTCGGCTTGGACAGTTCTGTCGTGCGGAGGGCATCACCCAGTCGTACACCTTGCCAGACTCGCCACATCAGAATGGGGTTGCTGAGCGCCGCATCGGCCTTGTCATGGAGGTTGCTCGTACCTCCATGATTCATGCCGATGCCCCCCAGTTTCTGCGGCCGTTCGTTGTTCGGTACGCTGCTCACCAGCTTAACTTGTGGCCACGCTCCCAGCGGCCGCAGGTTTCGCCGACCCTCCTTTGGACCGGGTCCCCCGGTGACGCGTCTGCGTTCCACGTCTGGGGCTGCCTTGCTCACGTTCGTACCTCTGGCACGGACAAGCTCACTGCCCGCACTGTCCCCTGTGTCTTCCTCGGTTTCCCCCTTGACTCGTCTGACTGGCTTTTCCACCACCCGCCGTCTCACCGCTTCCTCCACTCTCGTGACGTCACCTTTGACGAGTCTGTCTCCTTCTACCGCCGCTTCCCTTACCGAGGTCTCCTGGTTGCCCCGCCCCTGTTCCTTGCTCCCTCCACCCCGGTAGCCCCTGCTCCTCTCCCGCCTCGTCCTGCTCCGTCTGGTGTCTCTCATGTCACTCCCCTCCCATCGGTTGTCCCCGTTGAGGAGTCTGCCGACTCTGGTGGCACCCCCGGCCCGTCCTTGCCGCGTCCCCCTCCCCCGGTATCTCCGTCCCCACTGTCGCAGCCACCGCCTCCGTCGCCGCCGCTGCTGCCGGCGCGCTTGGCCTCTGGGGGTGCTGGCGTTGAGGAGGGTGTTCGTCCTGCGGCCCCTGGGGGTGCCGCTGGTGTTGGGGGGGGTTCTCGCTCTGGGGGTGTTGGTTTTGGGGGTGCTGCTGTTGAGTGTTCTGCCGGCAGTCGTCCTGCCAGTCTGAGGGTTCCGGCCCAGCAGTCGCAGAAGCCGCAGCAGCCGTTGCCGCCGGTCTCCGCTCTCCGCCTGCTCGGCCTTCCCTCCCCTGACCGCTTGCCGGTGTCTCCCCCACCGCCTCCTGGCTTTCCTGTTTACGGTCCTGTGTTCCCGCCGCCGGACTCGTCTCCGGCCCGTCCTCCTCGTCGTTCCCCTCCTGTGTCCCCTCCGCTGTCTCCTGACCCTACACCTCCGTCCCACGTTTGGTCTCGTCGTCCCTCCCATGCTCGTCCTGTCTCTCCTGTCCTGCGCTCCCACCCTATGTTGCTCCGTTCCCACTCGTCTCGTCCTCCCCTCCTCTCGTCCCCTCCTCCCTCGTCGCTTGCTGTTCCACCCCCTCCGTTGTCTGACTACCTCCGCGCCGCTTGTCCCCTTGTCTCTCGGGTTCTTGCCTCTCTTGTTACCGACCCTTCTGTTCGTGTCTCGCGCCTTGACGTGCTTGTCGCTGCTGTCGCTGACTTTGCCTCTACCCGCCGCCTTGACTACGCCACCGCTCTGGTCTCTGACCCTGCCAGGTGGCTCTTCAAGGTGAAGCGCCCCCCTGGAGAGCCGCCTGTCTTCAAGGTGCGCTACGTGGCCAGAGGCTTCAGTTAGCGCGAGGGGGTTGACTTCTTCCAGACCTTCGCCCCGACCCCGAAGATGACCACTCTTCGGGCGCTGCTACACGTAGCAGCACAGCGCGACTACGAGCTTCACTCCCTCGACTTCTCTACTGCCTTTCTTCAGGGCAGCCTACACGAGCAGGTCTACCTGCGCCGACCACAGGGCTTCACTGGTACATTCCCTCCTGGGACCCAGTGGCTTCTCACGTGCCCGGTCTACGGCCTGCGTCAGGCTCCCCGCGAGTGGCACGACACGCTGCGGGCCACGTTAGCAGACCTGCAGTTCTTTCCGTCCTCTGCTGACCCCTCGCTGTTTGTGCGTTCCGGCTAGACTCCATTCTACATCCTTGTCTACGTAAAGGACCTGGTCTTCGCTACTGCTGACAGGGACGCACTGGCCTCCGTGAAGGCCGAGCTGCTGAAGAGACACACCTGCACTGACCTTGGAGAGCTGCGTTGCTATCTTGGCCAGCAGATCTCTAGGGACAGAGCAGCACGCACCATCACTCTGACACAGTCACAATTCGTGCGTCAGGTC